ATCGAACGGGAAGCCGTAGCTGTGGTTTTCGGTGTTACGAAGTTCCAGAAATACTTGCTAGGGCGCCACTTCACGCTTCAAACCGACCATCAACCACTATTGAAGTTACTGGGAAACAACGAACCAGTTCCTACAATTGCATCAGCTCGCATCAAGAAATGGGCACTAATGCTAGCTGGCTATGATTATGAGATCAAGTATTTGCCAGGCAAGGAAAATGTCTACGCGGATTTCCTGTCTAGGCAACCATGTGAGAATATCAGTCCGTCTGCAGAGGAAATGGTTACGGTTCGTGTCTTGCTAGTGGAGGAAGATACGATAATCAAAGCAGACGTAGTGAAATCGGAAACAGCTCGTGACCCTGAGCTATCTAAGGTGCTCTACTATGTGGTGAATGGTTGGCCTAGCTCAGTACCCCAATCGTTTCGGTCTTACCACAATAAGAGGGATGAGCTGTCTGCGGAAGATGGTATCCTATTGTGGGGACAACGAGTTGTCATACCCAAATCACTAAGAATGGTATTGCTACGTGATTTGCACACGGAGCACTTTGGCATGGTCAAAACCAAGCAAATGGCACGACGGTACTTATGGTGGCCAAACGTGGATCAAGAGATTGAAATGTTAATCAAGGCATGTGCTCAATGCCAAGAAAGTGCGAAATGTCCACCTGCCAAGTCGGGAACCTGGTCATGGCCAAACGGTCCTTGGAAACGGGTGCATATCGACTTTGCAGGACCATTCATGGGCAAGATGTTCCTGGTTGTGGTGGATGCATACACAAAGTATCTGGATGTAATTGCAATGTCTAATGCCACATCTGCAACCACTATTGCGGCTCTGCGGCACGTGTTCTCTGTGTTTGGTCTGCCGGAGCATCTTGTTTCAGATAATGGAACCCAATTCACGAGCGAGGAATTCAAGGCTTTCCTCCGTGCCAACGACATTGTGCACACCCTGACGGCTCCAGGCCATCCGGCTACGAATGGACTTGCTGAGCGCTATGTGGGTGTGTTTAAGCAGAAGTTGAAGGAAATGGGTGCAACGAGCGAACCACTGCAAGCTCGGCTCGACAGGTTTCTGCTAACGTACCGCACGACACCCAACCATGCCGGCAGAACACCTGCGGAGATGATGTTTGGACGCCAGCCACGCACGCGGCTCAGTGCTCTGCGTCCCTCGCAGGTACGTCAACAAGCAAAGGCTTATGAGGACGGCAATCGCGTCAAGCCAGCGTTCACAGAGAGTGACTCTGTGTTTGCGCTGAATTTCGGCAAAGGTAATCGTTGGGTCCCGGGACGAATTGTGCGTGTCCTCAGTGACTACAACTATGAAGTACAAGTGGGTGATGTGTTGTGGAAGCGTCACCGAGATCAGTTGCGTCTACGGTCAGTTCCGGCAAGCTTGAGTGCATCGCTGCCAGAACCACTGTTGGATACAATCGATCAGACGTCACCGTCACCAGTGCTGTCAGACGTAGGAGAGTCGTCACTGTCCAGTGATTTTCCGGCTAGCGTCTCGCCACAGTCTGCTACTGTACAAGTTGAGGCGGATCCTCCTTGTGAGCAGTCTGCTCCTGAAGTTGGTTTACCACAGGTCGAGAATACTCCCTGTGAAACCACTGTTAGACGTTCGTCTCGGCGTAGTGTTCGTCCGGATAGACTGATTGAACAGCTTTGAGCCGTTCCCTGATGTCATTGCTGGACTGTTTAGCGAACTAGTAATTATTACCATGTACAATAGTGTGCAAGATCCTTGGTATTGCTAATATTGACTGACGGATTCCTGCGTCAGATTATGTTATTGTAGTGCTGTGTCAAAGTTTAAGAATTCACGTACGGTGGATTGATGAACTTATTTTATGTGTTTCTTCAACGATTTTTGAGGTATTTAATTGTGGTAGAATATTCCCTGGAACATTCTTGAAAGGGGGCAGTTGTTGTGTATGCAAGTTAGTCATTATATATCTACTACACCGTTTGCTACTGACTGCGCATGCTCGCATATGGTTGTTGTTGTTATTTTACTTGACCAAGAGGAATGTCTTCCAAAAGCTAGTGTAACTGTTTGTGTGTGTCAGTGAGAATGCATGAGTGTAATGGAATGTTAGTCCGCAAGGGGACATAACACACATGCACAGTATTACAGGTGAGTACATGTCATGTACACGTGTAAACAGTAACTGCTACATGTACAGTCATTCCCATTTACGACACCCACTTACAGTCCATTTATAAAAAGATGGGTCCTGGCTCTGGCGAGCTCCCGTATTTGGCGATTTTTCGTGATTTCATCGTACACAGTGCAGTGCTGCGAACTTTGAAATTTGAAAAAGGGTCCAAAAAGGGTGCCTGAACTGGGGTTCGAACCGCAGAATGCACTGTTGCAGGCGGGGTCAAACGGCCTGGATTTTGATGGTTTTTCCCAATTCAGTGCTTTTGGGGCAAAACCTGGCCGAAATCCTATTCTTGCTATGGCTTGCTTTTTGGACAAAAAAACTTCAGAAACATAATTGGAAGAGGATTCCATATGGGATTGCAGAAAAAAATTCTAAAAAAACTCAACGTTTGACCCATTTATGGCCAAAAGCTAGAAGTTCATTTTTTTCTGAATGGACTGTAGGCTTGTCCATAAAATGTTTTCAATTATTTTTGAATTTTGGTTGGATTTTCGCACTTTGAATTTTTTTGGAATTTTGTCCCCATCAGGATTGAATTTTGGCCGTTTTTGGAGAACGACAGTGATGTCACATCAGGAGAGTACATGTGCTGCTCAATATATTTGGTGTTTGATTACTGTACTGCTTGATGTCTGAATTCCAATTTTTTCCTATTTTTTCTTTTCTTTTCCTTTCCTTTCCACTTATCCCGTTATCGGCCCTCTTAAGAGTTGTGTGTATCACTGTTGAGGCATCCGATGGTAAATAAAATAAATACTACTACTACTACTACTACTACTACTACTACTACTACTACTACTACTACTACTACTACTACTATATTACCAAGTTTGACATGTGAAAACAGTACTTTCAAACACACACACCTTTGACCTTCGACCTTTTGACACCCATCCCCGAATTTGGAAGCACACAGACACACATGATAAGCAGTTTGTGGATTTTTTGTTTTTTTGGAACTATTGGGTACGAGTACTGTAAAAACCATGGCAACGGATCGAATTTTTTCTGCATTTTGGGGGATTTTTTGAATTTTCTTAAAACATTTTGACCGTTTTTTTCGCTTTTTGAATTTCAATTTTGGACAAAATAATTCGCATGATGTGGCCACCCTTACACCCACTAGTTTAGAAGTACTACATTGCACTACATGTACATGTACATGTACATGTACATGTACATGTACATGACAAACGTCATGGCGTCACTTGACTCGCCGCGCGCGTGTGAATAAGAACGGTCTGGCTAGAATCAAAAATTTAAGAACTTTCCTAGGGTGCGCTCGAGCCCCTGCGTTCTTCGGCGCCCGATCTTACTGTAGTAGCTCGCTCACTACACTCATCATAGTATCCAGGCTCCCTACTCGCCTGGATAACTAGCTACCTCTTGGACCGAAATCAGTGCGTCACAGTAAATGGAACCTTATCTGACCCCGAGTCTGTGACATCCGGAGTGCCCCAGGGCTCCATTTTAGGTCCCCTGCTCTTCCTCACATACGTTAATGACCTCCCCTATTCAATTCCCAATATTTCTTTGTTTGCAGATGATACCACTGTCCTTGCTTCCTCCCCATCTCACGCCACCCTGTACCCCAAAGTTCAGACCTGTATCAACGACATTGTTCACTGGATGAGCACTTGGTACCTTAAAAGCCAAATGTGACCAAAACCGAGCTCCTCCTGTTTCCCCCTCCCACAGATCCAGTGCCCATCTTCCACTTTCCCGATGATCCCGGTCACCCTATCTCTGTAGCGCCCCACCATAAACACCTTGGCATTGTCATAGATTCCGCCCTCTCCTGGTCTCACCATGCTGATCATGTGTCGTCCAAAGTATGCCGATCTGTCGGCATAATGTCAAGTCACTTGTCCCATTTGCCCAAAAATTGCCGGATTAATTTTTATAAATCATACATTCTTCCCCTCTTCACGTACGGCTTCCCTGCCTGGTCCACCATTAACAAAACCCACATAGGTAAATTAGAAGTTCTCCATCGCCGTATACTGCGAATCATATTCCGTACTGATCGTTATACCTCAAATCTAGACTTGTATGCTGCTGCATCCACTACCACTCTGCAACATTACCTTGATGCTTCCAAGTGCACCCTGGCGCATTCAATTTTCCTTGACCAGCACCCTGCTCATTTACAGTCCCTTAATTGGTTCAATTCAGGTGGCACCACCCGAAGCTGCGTTCGTCTCCCCCTAGCTAGGTCTACCCTATTCGTAAATTCCCCTTTCTTTTCCTCCTACTCCACGTGGCTCCAACTGCCTCCCAGTATTAGACAAGCTCCAGATATGCCCAAATTCCGTACCCTCGTCAGACAGCACTTCAGTATCTCCCAGTAAACAAAGTCACAGTCACCACTTCCGCTGCATAGCTCGCTGAGCATCCCATTGCTTTGTAAGTTGCTAATCCCTTCCCACTTTGTGTACGTGCTCTTAATTTTCTTTTTTTTCTCTTCTTCCGTGGTTGGTCTCACCCTCTCCTCAGTTCAATTGGCTGTCTTGACATGCCACGAGGTGCAGAAATAAATAAATAAATAAAATAAATCCGGACCCCGAAGTAACTAGTTACAGGCACTTTGGTCTACCGGGCACCCTTTGGGCAAGTTTCAGAGAATACTACTCTTTTGTCACTTTCGCGGAAATAGTGACGTCATATCCCATATCTGTGGCCTTTCCCTATCAAAATGTATGTGATTCGGAGTTACCCAGACCCAGACCGCCCGGATAAGCTAGGTATGAGTGGTGTACCTGCATCAACATGATGACAACCTACGGTGATCATCTCGACAAACGGTACTGCAGTTGCTTACCTGTTGGAAGTCGCCAATGAGCTTCTCCTTTTCCTCCATGATTGCATCGCACTGTTGTTTCTGCTGCACCAGGAGCTGCATTCCGTAGAGATGGGATCATGAGGCAATGAGCATCCCAGAATTGACGTTACCCGAAATTCTGAACGTGTGCGTGCGTACGTACGTGTGTGTGTGTGTGTGTGTGTGTGTGTGTGTGTGTATGTGCGTGTGTGTGGTGTGTGTGTGTGTGTGTGTGTGTGTGTGTGTGTGTGTGTGTGTGTGTGTGTGTGTGTGTGTGTGTGCGCGCGTGTGTGTGTGTTTGTGTGTTTGTGATTTATTATCATGTGCTGTACAAATGAATGGCTACAGTGCGTCGTGTTCTGTTCGGTGGAAATATTGGTAAGAGGGGTATGCTTGGTCATGATGTGAAACCTGCTTGACTGAGTACTTCTCTAGAGTACCATGGTAATAGACCAATAACCGGGTTAGAGGCCAATGTCCGGGTTAAGATGAACATGTGCAGAGAGCGCAACGAACAGGCCGACTCACATCCTGTAGCTCTTGCGCCAAGACCTTTGTCTTTGCAACGTCCCATTTCTTTGTGACCTGTTAGCACAAAAACATTCCAGCCCAGCATGCATTCTTTACAAAGAAATGAAGCAGAAAATCACCACCCACAGAGCACTGTCCACAGAGCACTGCCCACAGAGCACTGTCCACAGAGCACTTACCACAGAGCACCATCCACAGAGCACTGTCCACAGAGCACTGCCCACAGAGCACCACCCACAGAGCACCACCAACAGAGCACTGCCCACAGAGCACTGTCCACAGAGCACTTCCCACAGAGCACCATCCACAGAGCACTGTCCACAGAGCACTGCCCACAGAGCACTGTCCACAGAGCACTGCCCACAGAGCACTGCCCACAGAGCACTGTCCACAGAGCACTGCCCACAGAGCATAGCCCTGAGAGCACTACCCACAGAGCACCACCAACAGAGCACTGTCCACAGAGCACAGCCCTGAGAGCACCATCCACAGAGCACCATCCACAGTATTGTAATAGTATTGGTAGTGCTGTGAAGCACACTCTCTGACTACCAAACAGCAGGCATGACTATACATGTACTACCATGGTAAGTAAATTGGTAACGGGTTACTCCGACCGTGATAATCAAACTGATAATGCATGCCCCAATGTACACAGCACAGTTCTAGTTTGCTGGGGAGACAGGACAGTATCCATCATGCCAGGTGCTTTGCAACTTATTATTATCACTCTCCCCTTGCACGAGCAGCTACGTGGTACTATACATTGTCCTGACGTGGGTGACAAGGTGTTTGCGTTTGCGGCCCTGCATGTACCTCGAATATGCGTTCAAAAGATGCGATCTGCTCCGAATCGATCTTCTCGTTTCTGTGGAATGCAATGGAGAGAAGAAGTACAGCCATGTAGAAAGCAGTAAAATGAATATGTGCATGCCCCCCCCCCCCCCCCACACACACACACAAAATGCACACACACACGCAAAATTGCTAAGCATGCGCATACAAGAGTCAACAAACTGACGCACTGACATACATGTACTATAATCGTTATTACTTTGCACGCATACATCAACGCAATACCTGTGTGGCCAAGTGCAGGTACATTGAAACCTGTGACTAACGACCACCCCTTGGGGCCAGATAAAGCGGTCTTTAGTGGCAGGTGGTCCTTAGTTAGAGGTTAGCACCGCACAACCATATACATGAATGTGAGACCGTCCGTGTCTGGCAAAGTGGTCTGTAGTAACAGGCTGGTTGCTAGTCACGGTGGTCTTTAGTTACAGGTTTTAGTTCTACTGTACAGTCTGTATGCAGTCTGGACTGTATAGCTAACCTCTGTATGCAGTCTGGACTGTATAACTAACCTCTGTATGCAGTCTGGACTGTATAACTAACCTCTGTATGCAGTCTGGACTGTATAACTAACCTCTGTATGCAGTCTGGACTGTATAACTAACCTCTGTATGCAGTCTGGACTGTATAACTAACCTCTGTATGCAGTCTGGACTGTATAACTAACCTCTGTATGCAGTCTGGACTGTATAACTAACCTCTGTATGCAGTCTGGACTGTATAACTAACCTCTGTATGCAGTCTGGACTGTATAACTAACCTCTGTATGCAGTCTGGACTGTATAACTAACCTCTGTATGCAGTCTGGACTGTATAACTAACCTCTGGCATGAACATACATGGTATGTGCCACCCTTTGCCCTGGTCTCGCTGAAGCCTCATGCAAGGTGCAAACATGTCTTAACAAGGCAGCATACAAAAATCCTATACTAGGACTGCGTGACTTTGTCCAGGACTGTGTGTTCTGTCCAGTTCTAGGGATGTGGTGTGCTACATCGCACACGGGTGACTGTTCTTCACTGACCGCGCTTTTAAGTTGTCAGTCTCGTCTCCACGGCGCTGCAGCTCCCGTGCGGTGAACGCCACCCGCACGTTCTCCGACATATCCATTCCATCTTTCTTCAGCTTGTAAAGACGCTGCAGGTCAAACGAGTGTCATGGATTCGAGTAGCAAATGTGTCATGGATTCGAGTAGCAAATGGCAAAGATACCAGCACAATAAGTAACTGTACATTCCGGCAAGCCATGATGGTGACTTGACTTTCAAAGTGACCACATGCAAGACTCACTATGTACGAGTACTAGATATGGTCTTGAAACCTGCCTACGGTTCAGAACCAGGCTATGACTGAGATCAGATGTTTTCAGACCAGTGAGATGTGTAAGAATTGAAACAATCAAGCCATTACACCCTGCTTATTTAAAGTCTTTATCTCCCGCCTTTGCTTGTAGTTGCTTAAAGGTGCAAAAACAAGTGAAATGTTACCTATCTCTTAATCTTAGTCTTGGATGGCAGGGATTCCACCTCTGCATCACTGACGTGGAGATGTGCATGCATTCACAAAGGCGCATTCGCAAGGACATACCAGTCGTGAGGCGATCTTCTGTTGCACACTCTTTCTGTTCTTCTCACGGAGCGCCCTCAGGTCGTCTTCGTTCAGCTCGCGCCTACCTTGCACCACTCTGATAAGCACAAGAAAAACAAGTTGCAATGACGTGCTGATGTGAAAATTATGACTCTGACTGCATACAGTAGGTGAGCTGATATTTGTCAGTCTGTTGGCCCTGTCAAAAAGGCCAAACATTGCATCTTTGCTACAAATGTACAAATTAAAAAACTACAAATGTGCCGGGCCAATTCTAACACACCTGGGATTTACAAGCCTGGATGAATACCTTGTGACCGCATGGTTTTCCTTTAGTTCCCTTTGAAACCGATCGCACAATGCAGGACTGAAATGTATATTATAAACTGCACAATAGATAGTACTGTACTGGTTTCTTCAATCTGAGAGTGGCAGTCCTACATGTACATGTCCTGTGCCCACCTTCAGTAGCTGCGGTTGAATGCACTGAGCCCAGGGGATCTAGAGGAGGCTCGTTGCTCTCTCCGGACTGTAGGGCTGTAGCAAGGACTGACTAGGTGAAAAGTGTCGACTTGTGATGAGTCAAGCACTTAGAAGTCGCGCACACTTGCAATACGCAACGCACTCTTCTTGTGTGTCAGGCAACATGTACGATATATACAGAGTCTGCACGTCTTCGCACTTCCGACAAGTCGTGCAATTTTGGCCCCAGCACGGAGTGAGGTCTGCATTCGCCACTAAGGTGAACAGGCATAGTGGTGGCATGCGGGTGCGAAGGCTAGTTTGTGTGTTTCTGAACATTCAAACGATGCCGACGCGGATCCCGCGAATATACTTTTTTTTTTTTTTTTTTACTATTGACACATCCCTACTGGAAAACAGGTGGAGAACAAAAAGAAACGAGGAAAAGGACAAAACATAGGGGATGTAGGGACGACGTGCTGATGTGCTGGGAGCAACTCAACCGACCAGAGGTCTCGGCGTCAGCGTTGCAACTAGGCATCGAAAAATGTGTGTGTGTGTGTGGGGGGGGGGGGGTTGCACAAGAACAACTGCAAAACAAACAGAAGCTGGAGAATACCACAAATAATAACTTGGTGCGAAATAATGAGAAGAAAATAATGACGCCCAAAAGCGCTAAATACGAAATTAAGAAAAAGGAAATAATAAACCACATAGCGCTAAAGCTGCACCAAATAATAATTTACTATACTAGGACGGAGTGCGTGACTTCGCGACAGTATCAGTAGACTGCCACGGTATTTACGTGTATCGCTCATCACCTCCTTGTGCGTGTGTAATCAATGAAGCAGGCAGCAGTGCAGTGCTACTATTCGCCACTAAGCAAGTCTGACTCCGAGGTACTGCTATGAGCTACTAGTATGAGGTACTGGTCATGATGAGGTACTGATATGAGGTACTGGGGGGGGGGGGTATAAGGTACTTGGGGGGGGGGGTATGAGGTACTTGGGGGGGGGGGGGGTATGAGGTACTGGTATATGCAGTAGCTGCTATTAGTATCCAGAAACGTCCTGGGGTCCAGCTTCAAGTAATAGGTGACAACTGTGGCGTGCACGTGCTGCGTTGCAGTACACGGCACAGTGACCTCTACTCAGTACTGATTATGAGGACGATTCTGGACTTGACGGTCACCACCGCCACTGCTAGTATTCGTATATGTATTGTCGTATTGTCTCACATGGTATTGTGTGAATCTTTTACTCAATACTGAGAATACACTATATTTCACATCAGTGTATGAAAAATCGTTAATACGCTCTCTAATTCTAATCAATAGACTACTTGGAAGTGAACTCATCTACATGTACATGTACAAGTATACTGATAATTGCAGAACTCACTTCTTTGCTTCTTCCAGCCGCGCAGCAATGCGCCGCCGTCGAGCTTCGATGCGCTCCCATTGATCGGTAGATTTTGTCGAGAAAGCCACATCGTCTTCCTCTGGCGATATCATAGCTGCTTCTGCTGCTGCTGCTGCTCTCCGTTACTACTACTACATGTACCCGTACCGGTGCTCAGTCTTTGGTCTAATCAGATAACTCTACCAACAGGCGTCAGTATTAGAAGCTAGATAAAGGGTTTCTCGAGGAATCCGTATGGGCGTTCAGCAAGACAAATTCAAATACGTCAGCTCACCAACGGACTGTGCTGCTCCTTCATCGACCTCGATGCGACGATGGACGATACGTCTTTACAAGCCGCTGAGAATGCTGGATAGCCCCGATGCAGCGACACTGCTCGTGGAGACAGGGTCCGGTCTAGTGAATGCAGTGGGGATTGGAATCGCTTGGGTATTTGTGCTTGTGACGCTGAATAATATTGAGCCTTGACTCAAGGCTGGAGAAAGGGGACGATTCATGTTCATTTTGACGAACGCGAACAGCAAGCACGCTACTCGCTAGCAATCATGCCAGTCCAGTGGCAGCCTGGCAGGGCTACAGAACTATGTCAGTAGTACAGACTCAAGTCAGTCAGTCCAGACATAACCATGATAACTGTCTTGGTCGTCACCTGCGAAGTAACAGTTGTGTGATCATCATGCAGACATGTCATGGCAATGCGCTAATACCATTGGCAGTTATTTGAGTGTCGCGGTGATGCCACTACCACGGCAACGCAGATACTAGGCAACGATCCGATTCACAACGCATCAACTACGAGTACGTACTTTCTGCGACGCGACAAGCGACTTGCGACACATGCGACGAGCTGCGACAGCGACACACGCGTCCAGCCCTCTGAAGCAGATGCTGCCTAAACCAGCCACTCACCGTGCCCCCGAGACAAGACCTACCCGTCAGTCTCTCCAGCTGCAGGATTCCCATCCATACCAGATCACGGCAGATGACAACTGGCCTGCCTGCCAACACCCGGAATAGCTGTCTCCAAGGATTCCCTGCTTGCACCGTTGCAACATGGAATGCCCTGCCACCAGACCTGTTCCACCACCCACCCGCCCAGCCCCACATGCAAAGGTGTACCGTCACCTTCTTGCTCAGGACTGGCTCTCTGCTACTGATGCACTTTGAATCTGCTCGCCAACGCTTTCCCTGTTCTTATGAGTGTTCAGCTGCTTACCTTATAACCCTGCTGCCATCATCACCAATATTCTGATTCTCATGCACATATCCCAGAACCTGCTATCCTTCGCAGCCCCCATCACCAAGAGCACTGTGCTCTTCTATCTCCCAGCTCTCTCTCTATCTCTCTCTCTCTCTCTCTCTCTCTCTCTCTCTCTCTCTCTCTCTCTCTCTCTCTCTCTCTCTCTCTCTCTCTCTCTCTCTCTCTCTCTCTCTCTCTCTCTCTCTCTCTCTCTCTCTCTCTCTCTCTCTCTCTCTCTCTCGCTCGCTCTCTCTCTCGCTCTCTCTCTCTCTCTCTCTCTCTCTCTCTCTCTCTCTCTCTCTCTCTCTCTCTCTCTCTCTCTCTCTCTCTCTCTCTCTCTCTCTCGCGCGCGCTCTCTCTCGCGCTCTCTCGCTCTCTCTCGCTCTCTCTCGCTCTCTCTCTCTCTCTCTCTCTCTCTCTCTCTCTCTCTCTCTCTCTCTCTCTCTCTCTCTCTCTCTCTCTCTCTCTCTCTTTCTTTCTTCTCTTCTTCTTCCCCCCCCCCATCTCCCGATAATTATTAGCCCCCGTTTTCTTTCGACGCGTTTGCTGTGCAGTGAAGCCGAGACCCTAGGACGCTAGGTCGGTGGAGCACATCAGACCCCGTCACGATCACCACGTCCACGATTCATGCCTGCGATGCTGCACCGCTGCTTTGCATGTCATGATTGGAACCGGAAGCTGTGGCCTTAGTAAAAAAAAAAAAAAAAAAAAAAAAAAAAACACGGTTCACAATATTCTTCATGTTTGCGACATCTGCATCCTCGACCTCATGCACGTGACCTAGCCTGGGTGCACGTACGTGCAGTGTACGTGCATAGTACTACTTGTGCGCCAGGCCTGCAGGGTAGGCAAAGCCCGATTTTGCCGGGGTAATGTCGATATTTTGCCGCAAAATTTTGCTTGCTCATCGTCGATATTTTGCTTTCATTTTGCCAGGTCACTCGATATTTTGCTCCAAGACAAGGCCAAACTTGGGTCACGTGTAGGAAAACTGACCGAAAGTGGGTCACGTGTTGGCAAAATGAGAAAAAAATGAGTCACGTGTTCGCAAAAATGTACGAAAATGAGTCACATGCACCGTATGTGTAAAATCTCCCAACTTCCAGCGAACATACCGATATTTTGCTCCGTTTTGCCAGCAAATTCTCTCGTCAAAATTCTTCGATATTTTGCCAGCAGAATTGCTAGCAAAATCGGGCTATGTCTACTGCAGGGTCGAAGCTGTAACTCCATTTGTGTATCTGTATAGAGATCGACCTCCGGAAGACAATCGGTCAGCGCATTGTAGCCGTGGGTATGGGGGTGTTGCCGTACTTGTCCGTTCGGACTCCTTTCCGTACGTCTCCCCTCGTGCCGACCTTCAACGCCCTGGCTGCGAGTCTGTGTGGCTTGAACTTGGCTCCCCCTCTACTCAATCTCAGAATCCCATCTTACTATGCTGCATGTATCGACCACCCTCACAGAGCACAATGCAATTGTCGTACTTTTGTGACATGTTTGTTGAGGCATTACAGTCAGTCTGTTTAGATTCTTATGATCTGTTAGTGACTGGCGATTTCAACGCCCACAACTCAAGCTGGTGTCCCACCGATTCTACCTCGAAGGCTGGTGATCTCCTTAGCACAGTATTTTCTGCTCTTGGGCTCCACCAGATGGTTGACTTCCCCACTCATTCCTCGCCTAATGGCTCTGTTTCGTGTCTGGACTTGGTGATCACCAACCGACCACGCCTCGTGCGCTCAATTGATCAAGCACCTCCCTTGGGTATGTCTGACCATATACAGATTGTTTGCACTTTATGTTACGCCCCTATTTCGAACTACTTCCCCAACTCTTCCACTGGTCCTCCCTCTTCACTGTATCGCTTCAAACAAGTACCTTCGCACCTTTGGCAATTAATCAACGCTGATTTAGCTGGCTACAACTGGTCCTCTCTGAACTCGTACACTGATGTTAATGACGCACTTCATCACTTTGATTGTGAGCTCCAGTCCGCCTTCCGTCGTCACCTCACCTCATTCGGAGCCACCCACACTGTGACATCTCCACGACCCCGCATGCAATCTCCACCATGGGTTACTGCTGAGCTCAGGTCTGCTGTAAAACGCAAGCGTGATCTATACAGTGTGTACAAAAAATATCCGACAGCAGTAAATCATGCAGCTTAATATAACCGACAAAGGAATGCTGTAAAGCACCTGTCTCGGCAAGCACATCGTCAATATATACGCTCCATCCAAGCATCACTAACGTCACCGAATCGACCTACACTCTTTCAGTTTGTGCGAGCACAGCGGCACACTTCCGGCCGTGTCATGCCCCAAACGATGATAGCATCCGACGGTACGGTCGCCACGTCCCCCAAGAGCATAGCTGATGTTCTGAACACTCAGTTCACCTCATTTGGGCTACCTGATGATCCTTTGTGGCGCATTCCCCCTTTGTCCCAGTCGCCTTTCATATCTGTTCCGTTCCGTACAATCACTGTCACTACGTTTCAAGTTCGGAAATATCTGAAGCGCCTGAAATGTGGAAAGTCTCCCGGCTCAGATGGGATCCCGAATGAAGTGCTGCAGTCTCTTGCACCATCAATAGCCTATCCTCTCGCCATTATTTTTAATATGTCATTTCGAACTGGTACATTCCCACAGGATTGGAAATCCGCCATCGTGACACCGCTTTACAAGAATAAAGGCTCCCGTGCTTGCCCGGCAAACTACCGCCCCATCTCTCTGCTGCGCACAGTTTCCAAACTTTGTGAGCGTATTGTATTCGATTCCCTCTACCTGCACATCGCTCCGGCTCTCTCACCAGCTCAGTCGGGATTCTGCCGTGGTGACTCAACTCAATACCAGGTGACTCGACTTGTCCAAGACATAGCGACAAAGAGGAACTGTGGGGAGCATGTGGGAATGGTGTTTTTCGACTTGGCTAAGGCATTCGACACCGTTTGGCATCGTGGCTTACTTGCCAAGTTGGAGGTCACCTTCCGGGTGGAGGATGCTGCCTTGCGTTGGATATCCTCGTATCTGTCTGCTCGTTCTCAGGCTGTTCGCTTGTCTTATTTCTTGTCTGATCCCCTCCCTGTAACGTCTGGAGTGCCCCAAGGTTCCATTCTGGGTCCTTTGTTATTCTTGCTTTACGTTAATGACCTACCTTCAGTTGTCCCCGATGTTAGTTTGTATGCGGATGACACTGGCCTGATCTGTTCTGATTCCTCCCCTGCACAATTACTCCTTACCATGCAGCATCGCATCAACAGCACTGTCATGTGGATGCAAACGTGGAAACTCCAGCCCAATTTAGACAAGACAGAAGCCATGTATATTTCTTCATCCCCTCCTGATCAACCATTATACTTCCCTGACTCGACTATGCCTATCCGTGTTGTTACTCAGCACAAACATCTAGGTGTGATGTTTGACCGCAAACTCTCTTGGGCTGCACATGTCAACTGTGTATGCAAGCGAACCAGTTCAGCATTAGGGGTACTACAACCACATTGCACTCATTTGCCCATCCAGTGTAAACTATTATTTTATCAGTGCTATATTCTCCCTATATTCGACTATTGCGATACCGCTTGGTGTGGCCTTTCTGACACAACTCTGAACCAATTAGAAGTCCACCATAGATTTATACTTAAAATTCTTTACAACAAGGATCGATGTTTTCCTTCGGATGCCCTTTATCGACTTGCACACACTTCTCCTCTCTCCGTTCGTCATAAGCACCATCTCTGTACACTGGTTCATAAAATATTTCTTCATAAAACCCCTTCACACATGATGAAGTACAATAACGACAAGCTCAACCCGTAACGCGCTCATCCTGCCTCTTGTTAAGTCAGCCCAGTATCTAAAGTCCCCTTTGTTTTCCGGCTACTCTCATTGGTTATCATTACCATACGGTCTGAAAACTTGTTCTTCTATTGGTCAGTTTAAAGATCTACTATCACAACTGAACTAGACGCAATAATTATCATCGAAGAACATTCTCGAATACCTGGGTGATGCACGAATTTTGATAGTGCTCACTTCCGTTAATCGTTTTTCTTTGTAATTTTCCATTCATTTTCTGCTCTAACTCATATTTGCTTTGTTTTCCTAGCTTACTATTGCCGTGGCTGGCTCAACGCCCTTGTCTCAGGGGATTCTGTCCCTGCATTAGCTATGCTTGTCACATGCTATGAGATTGTGTCTAATAATAATAATAATAATAAGTATGTTGTGTCGCATGTCGCAAAAGTTGAACTTTCTTCAACTTCTGCGACAGGTGCATTGCGACAGCTTGCGACAGCTCGCGACAGGCAGTTTCTTGTCGCAACTGTCGCAGATCGCGTGTCGCGTCGCAGAAAGTTGTATTGTGAATCGGGCTCAGCACCACTACCATACAGCAATCAGAATGAGAAACAAGATGCTTGTACGCCGATGGCGTCCTACTACACAACACACGCCCGTGCTCACCCTCACCCACACAATCACTCATTCAGCAGCACTAAGCAGCACCAACAGCCACACCAACAGGCAACTGAACAGCCACACCAACTGAACAGCCACACCAACTGAACAGCACACCAACTGAACAGCCACACCGACTGAACAGCCGCACCAACAGCCGCACCAACAACCGCACCAACAACCGCCAGCCGCCCCAACAGCCACACCAACAACACCAACCACACAAGGAAGATAAGGGCTGTTGTTGGTGGTCAGACCTCCTCGCACTTCCCAATCCAAGCCGGTGTGCCGCAAGGCAGTATATTCGGATCAACGCTCTTCCTTATCTATGTCAACGACATCTCTGACTGTGTCTCCCCAGAATGCCAGCTAGCGTCGTATGCAGACGACACAACACTGTACTGCCTGATCCGTGCCGATGACGTTTCCCCCGCCACTTTAAAGTTTAAACTCACTGCAAGCCTCCCTCGATGAGCTCCAAGCTTGGGGATCGAGATGGAAGGTCCAGTTTGAGCCGACAAAGTGCCAAGGAATGTCGATGAGCAGACGATCAACATCAATACCCCTCCCACCCTCTTCTCTCAGCTTCGATGGTACCGTGATCAGAGAGGAAACCGATGTTAAGCTTCTCGGTGTGACCTTCGACCGCAAACTGCTGTTCCGCAACCATCTCCACCAGGTTGCAGCCAGATCCAGCCAGCGCCTTGGCTTCTTCAGGAAGGTGTGCCCAGTACTCGACCGCAACGGCTGCCTCAGCGTATACAAAGGCTTCATCCGCCCAACCATGGAATATACTCCCCTAGTCTGGCAAGGCGCAGCCCGGTCCAACCTGGCGAAGCTTGACCACATTCAGGAACGGTGTATGCGCAGCATTGGCGCTGGGGCCATGTTCCCAAGCTTATCAGTGCGTCGGCAAGTGTCGGGACTGTGCTACCTTTTCAAGCTGCACTACATTTCCGGTCTGTCTCAGCTGACAGACATGCTGCCACCTGCTGCCCCTGAGCCCGCCCGCCCCAGAACCCGCCACCAACATCAAGTGAAACACTCCCATGCCTTCCAGTTGTCAAACCCCCTCCCCGCCACAAGTCCTGACATCCTACACCGATCCTTCCCGTTCGGCCTACTCACAACATGGAATGCTCTACCCTCTGCCATCCTGAACGCTCCCCCATCCAAGGCAGCGCTGCAACGCTTCAAGTAGCAGTTTACAAGTACCTCCTCGAGCAAACTTGTGGGACTGCCGTCGACGTGTACACCACAGACAGCATACTATTACTAGCTGATGGCCTAACTCTTTCTTCTTTAAACAATCGACGAGGAGACAATAGTCGTAAAATGGCAATAAATAAGATAAATTGTACACTCATAACAACAGCAAAAATGAAGAAAGTCAAGTTCCATAACGTTTTCTTGTGACTGTCATCAGTTTTTATGTGACGGCGTTCCACTGATGACAGTCACAAGAAAACGTTATGGAACTTGACTTTCTTCATCTTTCTTCTTTCTTTCTTTTTTAACCTCCTGGTGCGCGTTGTGTGCAAGGATACCGAGACCTTTGGTCGGAGGAGTCCACAACGCCCCACCTACGCAGCTGCACTAGTGGATAGTAGTCAGCCCCCGACTCAGTAGTTTGTTGTTTTGTTTTTTGTTTTTTTTACTTGAAACCACGCACCCAATTCGTAAAAGAAGAAAGAAGCAGGAAATGACAAAACAACAGACTAACAAGACATTGACTGAATGGGGCTGCAAATGCAACGCAGCGGTGGTGATGGGGTGCTGCAGGCTCCGCCGACCAACATCTGCGCCTACTTCACGCATCAGAAAATCGGGAGAAGAAGAGAAACAAAAAAAGATTGAAATGTTTGTTCTGTCAACCCTCAACTTCTGTATTCTAGTTGTGTCTTCGTTCTCCGGACTCCCTGCATGCACTGTGACTTTGTTATCTTTCTTGTTATTATTTTTTGTCTCGAGCCGGGTTTGTGTTCTTTGCAAAAAATAAAAAATAATAAACACCAGCGACAGCAGGTGCAACACTGGTATTATTGGGGGGTTATGGGCAACAGCTGCAACAGCTGCTACTCCCTGTACGACTACGAGAGCTCGTTACGTAGTCTACTGGTCTGGGCCGCTCTGTCCGCAGTCGACTAGTCGTCACTTCGACCTCGCACGTACCTGTCGACCTCGTCCAGGCTGAGGCTCGTCTGGCTCGACCAGGGAGTCGTAAAGTGAAATATGTATTTTGCGACTCCCTACATGTATACAGTAGCTCTGACTATTATTATCCGACGTGTATTTACCACCATCATTGCCAGGTGTGTATCTACCACTATAGTATAATATAATCAAGAGTTCATAACCCCGGGTTATGAACTCTTGATATTACATAATTGTACTACTTGTAGTGTACTGATGATGTCAAACACTCCTACTACATGTAGTAGATCTACGAGTCGAGTACGAATCGTAGAGCGAGTGTACGAGACACAGCAAGCAACTATTACTTTTGTTGACACGTACGTGAAACCACAGCCTTTGCGGTTTCCCGCACTTGAAAATGACGAAAATCGGATGTAGTCGTGATCAGGCTCGCGCTATACATGCAATTCAGTCCATCCTCAAGTTCAAAAAAGCATGAAAACTGCAACAAAACTCGAAAGCGTCCGCGTCCGCGGGGCATGTGCACAACGTATCAGCCAGCCAATAGCTAGCTGTGTACGACAGAGTACCTCGTTCTCGTAGAGAACTCTTGCTTGCACCAAGATCAGAGTACGAGTAGAAAAAAACCATTTCATGTACTCTTGCTTGCACCCGGTACCCTGGAGCCCCAGAAACCACAAATGCAAAGTTGAAACTGCATGCGGAGTTGCGGCTTGACTTGTTTGTGAGTTCGGATCAATCACCTCTTTCAGCAGGGCATCGTTGGTGAACAGTTGTTTTGGACAAGGCTAGGAATAGTTCTCGGCAGGATGAGTTCCTCTCAGGAGGGCGTAAGTACAATGTGCAATACATAGTATATTCTAGTATTGGCGCTGAGCAGAATTAGTCTTTAGAAATGTGTGAAATAGGAATCAAGGTTTGTCCGCATTGGGTTGTTTGTTGGTGCGACGGCGATCCTTTCTTGCTTGTTTTTCTTTCATACAATATATGCGCAAACTGTACTCTTGTATCGTCAAATTTCCTTGTAAGAATCGTTGAGTGGACAACCACAGTGTAATAGCTTTCGTAAATGTTCACAGTGACACTGTAGTGGTACGATGTCGCACGGATACGAACACAGTATGGGACATCCTGGCGGTAGGGACTTTTCACACAACAGATACACACACACACACACACACACACACACACACACACACACACACACACACACACACACACACACACACACACACACACACACACACCGCACACACACACACACACACACACACACACACACACACACACACACACACACACACACACACACACACACACACACACACACACACACACACACACACACACACACACACACACACACACACACACACACACACACACACACACACACACACACACACACACACACACACACACACACACACACACACACACACACACACACACACACACACACACACACACACACACACACACACACACACACACACACACACACACACACACACACACACACACACACACACACACACACACACACACACACACACACACACACACACACACACACACACACACACACACACACACACACACACACACACACACACACACACACACACACACATGCACACACACACACACGCATACACATGCACGCACGCACACATGGCTGTTCTGTCCTGTCATGAACAGTGCTGTAAAGCGGCCTCATGTCCCTTCGTACGAGTGGCCGACAGGCACAGGGTAGACTGGTCGAGCACTGTACGCAGCACAATAGCATTCCGCAGGTTAGCGTCCAGCAAGAGTTCTCATACACTTGGCACAACTGTGAAGTTGAAAAATTCTCTTCGACCGGCAGCACCTGGCAGAGGCGCTGCAATGAGCCTGACAGCAAGGTAGTGAGATCTGAGTCCTCCCCGGCATGGGTACTACTGCGACTGAGTCGCGTGTAGTAGAAGAAGGAGAGTTCGATGCTGGGCACGTATGAGCACCTCTGGGGATTTGGAGCCAACACTGACATGTAGAGCCTTTCCTGCTCCCAAGCCGTCCTGATAGCGGCTTGCTGCACTCCTGCTTGCATTTATGTCAGGCCATGCCACTTCTCGAAAGCGACCTCCCGCAGATTTTACATGGTGTGCGTTGTTTTTTGCATGGTCCAGATGCAGTAGTGCTGGAGTATGTCCCTCGCCATTCACCACACTCCTGCACCAGAGCAAACCAGTTCTCACCACCCGGGTCGAGACAACGGACATCTGAAACCCATGGTATCACACCATCTTTTCCGAAGGCCACAGGCAGGGTGAGTCGGCAAGAGGGAACCAACCAGCAGTTGACGCGGAGTGCACTCTTCCAGTCTACAGAGATGGCCTAGCCATTCCATCCGACGGTGCTTTAGACAGGTCGGTATATCATCCTGTCTGGCGGAGTTCCAAACTGCCAGTACCTCGGTGTTCGTCAGACGAGGTGTCCACACGTCAAGTTGGGTACTGCTCAAGGCATGCAGAAACTGGCGCCAATTAGACCTCTCTGAGGCGATGTCGAACCAGTTTGGAAGACGTTGGAGATCACCACGCAACACATCCTTCCAGCGCCGACGAGGACCATGGGCAGGCCGGGTGGTTTCCAGGGACCCAAACAAGAGCTGTCGCAGCGCACGTTCAGGTTCAAGATGCACCACGCGACCAAGCCACTCAAGGCGCCGATGCCGGATCTTCTCTGATAGCGTAATGGGATCTCCCCAGCGATCCCGCAGCTGCTGAGAGATTGTGATGGTTCCACTGAGCGTTTCTGAACACACCAAGGATAGCCCGCAAGCATCGATGGTGGTAATAGTGGTAGGTGTATACGTCTGAGATCGGCTTGGAGTTGGGTCCTATGTTCAGCACCGTACAGCAGTATTGACATGACACAGGCACTCTTGGTGGACAGAGACGATGTTGAATCACGGAACACCTCCAACAATGCACCAAATGCTTTAGCAGCGTTAGCAACGCGATGAGCGATATCACGACAAGATCTGGTGTCAGGTGTGATGGCGCTTCCGAGATAAACAAAAGATGGTACACATTTGACTTGGTCGCCAACAACCAGAATAGGAGCACAATCCGCCTCAGAGACAAAAATGACCCGCAACAATAAACTTCGTTTTGGGAATGCTAACATTGGAACACAGGTACACACACACACACACACACACACACACACACACACACACACACACACACACACACACACACACACACACACACACACACTCACACATACTCACACATACTCACACATACTCACACATACATACACATATATACAGTTGTGGCAAGTGAAATCCTACACTTGCCATAGGGGACAGCGCCACAAATGGACACCAATGTTGTAATGCACTGCACCTAATTTGTACTCCAGAGCCGTATACATCCCAAAAACATCGAAAGGTCACAAGCTAGATACACATAGTTCACAAACATGGTACACATAAGGAGTATTGGTATCCAATCCCCATTCATTTTTGCCAGCACCTTTTGAACCTTGACTGTGATGAGTACGAGTTTTGTCATCGGACAGATAAAGTTGTATGTAACACATGTACTGTACGCATGCAGGGCTGCAGACTGCATGGTGCAGTCCCTTATGCCAAGTGTCGGATTTCACTTGCCACAACTGTACATACATACAAACATACATACATACATCTTGATCTTGATCCTACTGCCAAGTCTGGCTACGCAGTCCCTACAGGGACAAGTCAAATGGTACTAGTCACCCTGCTGCATCGGTGGCGTGTCCGGCCGCTAGTCGAGCGGAAGGTCCGGTGACAGGCGGAGCACTCCAGGGGTGGTGCCGCTGTAGTTTGGATGTCAGTCAGTTTGCACTTGTGTCGAGTCCTTCCACTGATGGACGTGAAGGTTCGCTGGCATACAAGGCACGTCAAACCTGCCCCGTCTACTTGTCAGCTCGTCTCCTTCCTTCTCAACAAGGGTTCTGACATTCCACGACGCAATAGGGAGCACAGTACCACAACCTGCTGGTGCGTTGGCCTTCCTAGGTGGGTGTTCTGGACGAGGGAACGCAACTCCTCTACATCCAGGTGAGGCGGGAGAAAGTCGATTGTTCGCATCGGGCGCGAACCAGTGATCGACTTTTCTCTGAGCCCCGGTCTCACGACGACAGCTGGGCGTCATCTTTCCTAGGAGACCTATTATGTATGTCTACAACTAAGCCAGCCCGTGGCACAAAAAATCTTACTACGAAGGGAGCTCCGAAAAGTGCTTCCTTCCCTGAAACTCACATACATACATACATACATACATACATACATACATACATACATACATACATACATACGCACACACACACATACATACACAACCAGGACAGACTCAGTTCTGAGTTGTAGTAGATAAGAGTGATCGTAAAGTTCTCCAGATACAGTAGAGTAACAAGTAGCAGTACCCCAGTAGAGTTACCGGTAGTCAATTTTCCCCTTACTAGTACTTGACACGCTTCAACTTCCGTGAGCTTCAACAGAGGTCTTTCAATGAAATCGCTATTGAATACCGGTGCTCCCAGGGGAAGGTTTTGTTTCAAGTCACCGACACACACACACGTGCACACACCACACACACACACACACACACACACACACACACACACACACACACACACACACACACACACACCTTGACCTTGACCTTGACCTTGACAAACAGCTGCCGTTAAACGGCTAAGCTGCCCTCATGAGGAGGGGAACAAAGGGGTAGCATCACGGCGTCGCGGCAGAACATCCAGCCTCATGCCGCTGCAGATCCTGCTGTCTGCGATATCTCTCGCCGCACGCACAGCAGAACTTGAACTCAAGACGCTCCCTCGCTGTTGGTCGCTTGCCACGCTCGCAATTGTGCCGTTTAAACCCAGCAGCAGATCGAAAGCACCGGTTACATGACGGGCAGTGGAATGGGCAACATTGTTGGTGTTGAAGCACTAGGCGAGGTGCAGGATCGACAGAGTCCGAAGGCTGTTGGGAGGAACCTGCGAGAGGGCACTTATGTACCTTCAGCCCACCAGCACTCTTGAACCATCTACCACAACGCTGACACGACTTTGCACCAGGCTGTTGGCTGACAGGAAGTTGACGCGCTGCACTGCACTTATGCCGCTTGTACCCAGACGCACTAAGATGATGGTCGCAAACACTGCAGTGCACAGTTGGCTTAGATGGTGGTGGTGGAGGCACAACATCAACGACACTCGATCTCCACAAAGGTCGATCCTGGGCTGTTGCAAACCATGGTGTATCCAAGGAGCGTAGGTCGTGATGAACACGGTCCTTGAGCCGAAGGCGTGGACCTTGTGCCGGACGAGCCTTGCCAAGCCATCCAAACAACAACTGCTTAGGTTGCCTGGTATCCGGCATACGTGCAATATGTCCAAGCCACTCCATGCGCCGCTTGCGGATGCAGGTGGATAACAATTCTGGCTTTCCCCATCGTCGCCTCAACTCTTCATTGGTCACCGAATCTGACTGTTGATCTCGCCAAGACACACCCAAGATGATACGCAAGCAAGAGTGGTGGAAACCATCAATGCGGAATTCGTCACGCCGCAGGACTGGCCAACACTCGGAGCCGTACAGCACACACACACACACACACACACACACACACACACACACACACACACACACACACACACACACACACAGAAAGCCTGCCAGAAAGCCTGCCAGAAAGATGCGTATTCCGTCCATGTCAAACAGAATATTTTGGTAGTGACTAGTAGCAGGCTACTGTGTGATTGTCAGCAATACAGATGGAAAATAAAAGAATACTACTACTACTAATACAGGTAAACAGCAAAGCATGCTAGCATGTGCTAGACATTCTGGGATCGGATGGCATGACCCGTTCAACTCCTAATACTCGTGTGTGTTTTGTATATGTGTGTGTGTGTGTGTGTTTGTGCGTACATGTGTGTGTGTGTGTGTGTCTGTCTGTCTGTATGTTCACATTGATGTCTCTGCCGATGCAACGGCAACAGGGTGAGTCTTTCTTGACACTGTCCTTTTTGGAATTGTTTGCAGACTCCGATGCAGCCACTTACAAACCACTCATATCTCTACCTATCCCCCCCCCCCCCCCCGTCTTTTTTTATGTCAATTCTTTACTTTTACTCTGATGATAGGCTATGCCCAAAACTCATTTAGTGGTCGTATATAATTATCGAAAATTTTAAAATCCGTCTTCGTGCAAAAAAGGGGTGTAGATGTTGGTGAGCGCTGGTGGAATTTCATTTTTAGATGTTTCGTAGACTTGTTGCACTGTATACATGTAGTGAAGATTGTTGATTGTTGCAAACGCTGCGGTACTTGCGTTGTGATCATGCCACTTGTCACAATGTCAGTGCTGCAGTGAGCTGCATGCAGTCATTGTGCATGTACTATGAATACGATTGGTATTTGATAAGGGTTCAACCTCACGAATAACCACAACTCGTGAATAACAGCAGTTTCTCATGTCCGATCGAGGGTTGTTATTCTCAAAGATGACTGTACATTGCTTGCTCCGTTGCATATCCAGAATTAGCCTCTTTCTGTAGCCTTGCTTCTCGCAGCCGTGTTGATGGTTGGCTGGACTTGTGTGCGTTGTGAATATTTACAGACTCGGCGGGCGGGGCACCACCGCCAGCACCCGCACCACCGCCAGTTGCGCCTAACCTGCCCGGATCGCCGTCGATAGGCAACGTGCAGGCGGGAAGTGCCGTGCCACCGGGCATGAACAAGCTGCGTCAGGTGACACCGGGTATCAAGCTACGCCCGCTGCATTGGACACGTGTGCCCAACCAAAGGGTAGGTGCTCAATTCCATCACGGACACCAATAAGAGTTCTTTCACTTTTAAACACCTCCTCCTTGATTGGCCTTGGCCATGAGTGTGTGCGTAATAATAATAATAAAACAAAGTAGAAAATTAGTTGTGAGCAACACTGGCTCACACTCAAATCACTGCTTTTCACCAGTTTTGCTCACAACTAATTTTTTACTTATGAAGCTGCGTGATGCGTCCTACAAGATTTTAAAACAAAGTAGGACAACTCTTTATGAACTCATGCCATGAATGAAGGTCACTGGTTGTCTTTTAAGGCTTGTTCTCTGTACAACATGGGGTACAACACAACATGGGGTACAACACAACATGGGGTACAACACAACATGGGGTACAACACAACATGGGGTACAACACAACATGAGGTACAACACAACATGGGGTACAACACAACATGGGGTACAACACAACATGGGGTAGCTGTGAAAAACCGCCGTCACCACATGAAATACTATGTGTATATTTGTACCAGTATCGTGATGTGCTCTTGCCAAGGTCAGTGATGACTGGCTTGTCACTACGGTATTGAAGATTCTTCTTGTTGTCTTGGTAATGGGCACGCCTCTTCTTGTTGTCTTGGTAATGGGCACACCTCTGGTGCGTACATATGCGTATGTACATTGGTAGCTAGGTGTGGCGTCGGTGTCAGTATGAACAAGAGTACATAACTACACACTGTGTAGTTATGTACTCTTGGTATGAAGAATTCCTCCGATGTCAATTGTACATTTTCGGTGAAGATTCTTGTCAATGTGTCAGTTTGTTTTCTTTGGACCACTGTGTGTGCACGCGCACTTACGTGTCCCTGTATACATGTATGTCTGTGCACATTGCATGTGCATGTGCGTGTGTGTATGTGTGTATGTGTGTTTTTATGATGACGCTGTTACCGCAGTTGACAGAGTCTATATGGAAAGCAGCTGACGATCGGATCAACCTCATCAATGGCCAGCAGTTGAAGCAGTACTTTGCGTCAACCATGGTCGTCAAGCAGGCAGCCTCAAGTAAGTGCTAGAGTGTAAAGACCTTCAGATGTGGAGATAGCAATGTACATGATGTGCTCAGTGTGTGCTCATTGTGTGCTGGAGTGGCCATTGCCAGACAGTGCATTACTTCGAAGAATATCCATTCACTGATGAGGTGCATAGCAGCATACTTTAAGCAGGTCTCTTGCTGACACACCTATTGAATTGTGCACACTGGGCCACATTCTGTCACTTCCTTGCATCAACTACATGTCTGACTGGTAACACCATCCATAACTGTGTGCAGGATGAGCTATGCTAAGCAAGCCTGTAAGTTGTTGTTCTGCGCTCCTCTGCTTCTCGCCAGCTTTCCTTGGCAGCAAAAACAATGACCTCATCATGGACAACGACAAGGCACGAATTGTTGGTAAGTGCTACGCTGATTGGTTATATGAAGTCCTTGCAGAACTCTTGTGCTAGTTCACCCACTGTTTACTTTTTTAACGTTTTTGTTACACTACTGCATACATCTGATCTTGCTTTCTACGGTGTGCAATGTACATGACTGTGTGCTTTCCTACATCCTGCTTCTGCCAGGCATCTTCCTGAGCAGTGGCAAGATGGCCGTGAAGGACATTGCACATCGTCTGCTGGATACTGATACATCCACACGGCTAACTCTTGACCAGATCACCGCATTACAAAGGTAGGTGAAAACTGAAAAGCAGTGGATCTTGGTGAGTTTACTCAAAAAGGTTTTTTTGCGTGGGCAATCTAGTTTTAAAGGACTTTGGGCAGTGGTAATCTCTCGAAAATTCCATGACTCGGATCATATGATTGTATCAAGATTTATTTGTAGCGTAGTGAACATGTTCTGCAGCCATGTTGGGACCAGTATCGCATCCCTGATGCAAATGTTTCACAATCCTTATTTCAGATGGTGAGCCAATTAAATTATGGTGAAAAAAGGAGGACAAAATGTTACGAGTTATGACTAATAACTGTCCACCAACGTAACCAGATCTTATACAGTCAGCGAGTGCGACAAAATGGCACAAAACTAACAAGGAGTACTGAGACATTTGGCGACCTGACACCTAGCTCCAACACTTCTCCAAGGCGCAAACCAACAACCTTCCAACTTGGAAGGCTTAGGTTCGGAAAGGTCCAAGAGGGGAAGGAAAGCGGTTACGTTGGTGGACAGTTAGTCAGAACTCGTAACATTTTGTCCTCCTTTTTTTCACCATAATCCTTATTTCATGCAAGCACGTAACTTGTCCAGCCTGGATCCAGTCTTACAATACTAGGACCAATGGACTGGAGAGTACCTCCTTCAACATCAAATACCGGGTTCTCTGGAGGAGGTAGTAATCATCCTTCTGTTCGATATCATAATCATCCAAGCAGTGTGCGGCAAGCAGGCTTATTGACGCACCTGTGTCCATCAAGAATTGGATTTTTCTTCCGTTCAGGAAGCCTGTAACCGTCATGCGTGAGGCTCCTCGTTGCTGAGGACCACTGGCGGACGGGCCTGGTTTGGGATCCATGCAATACTTGGCCGAGGGCTGATCCCGCACCCTGGTCAATGTCCGTTTCCCGCCTGGCCTAAGCCCGGCTTATCCTTCCGTATTGTGTTTGGGTAGTCACGTACCATGTGGCCATTTCCCCCACATCCGAACCACTCCGCCCTGAATGGTCCACGTGGTCAGCGTTCGCGGACTTCCAATCTGTCTAACCTGTCGGCTAGTTTGTCCAGAGTGCGTGACATACAGCTCCAGGGATCCTCCCAGTATGCCGCAGCCACTAACATGGGAGAGTTATCTCTCTCTGGTATCGTAGTATGACGTGGTGCACCCATATCGTGTGTGTCCCCGACTCCCACACCCTTTCCAGGTGTAGGGCCCGCTCTTCAGCAGTCTATGTGGTAACTACAGCTAATTCTAGGAGCCGAGTCCTAAGCCAGGCCGTGAACCAGTTCCTCTCTCAAATCCTTTGTAGCTGTCGGGTAAGCCTGAGTCACCAACTATCACAACTCATCCGTTACTAATGGAATGGATTCGTCTGGATTTTGTCTCCGAGCCCTTAATTTATATTTCGCAACCTCACTTGCCGTTGCAACACGCTTCCCCGCGTCGGTTATCGGCGAATACACGGAAAAGATAGTCGGATTGCAGTAGGTTCCAGAGAGATCATGGAAAGATGCAGAAAGTTGTCACACAATTTCAACTTTTGGGGAAGAGGGGCCCAGAAATGATAGCTAACGAAAACACGCATGTGACGCATGGAGTTATTTCTTGCACTAGGGGTTAACCAACTTCATTTTGGGCATGTAATTGGGCCCTGCTGATTGAGTGTCACACGGTATGCAGAATATTGCTCTCCAAATTCTGCAATGTATTAGTTCTAGCTGTGTAAACAATCCAGCGCCAGCACTGCACCACCCAACACATCTGCAATTGTCAAACTCGAAATACAGAAAGATGCTTGTAGTGCTGTGTGCCTCTCTGCCTTTTCCATGGATGTTCATTGTTTCTTGGCCTCTGGTGTGTTGGGATGCTGTACAGGATCCAGCCGAGCAGTGAGGAGCGGAAAAAGTACGAAAAGGTTGGAAGTGTCAATACCGACATGCACTCTGTGGACGCTTTCATGCTGGAGGTAAGCTGTGTGACTATACACTATTGGTACTCAGTGAGAGGTGAATGTGCATGGTGATCCATCATGGGTTTAATCAAGACTACAGTCATTTAATAAGAGCGTGCAACTCTACAGCTTGTGTGTGTATGTGTGTGTATGTGTGTGGATTATGGTCGCACACGTCTTTCTTCTCTTTCTCATTCTCATAGCTCTTCTTTCATAATCCTGGGTGGCTACCAACAGCCAGTGTATGCCGGAGTATGTGGTGTGGCATGTATGTCCAAAAAAATGAAAAAAAAGGGAAAAATGAAAAAAGGGATTCACTGGCCAGAATAAGCCACTTCAATCAGCTGTGTAGTGGCTACCAGGCTAAAATTAGTGGCGGTCAATTCATCAGACTTGCAAGCTGTTGAATGGCGTAATTCCAGCACAAGTTGCTATGTCTAATATAGCTGTTCGCTATCATCGCTTCCGCGATGGGCAGGTCTGAGGTATGTGTGTGTGTGTGTGTGTGTGTGTGTGTGTGTGTGTGTGTGTGTGTGTGTGTGTGCGAAACGGATGTCACGTGCAGCCAGGAACAACTGCCGTCATGAATGCGAGCATTGCGAAAGGCGGTTCTCAAGGCCACAGGACTTGCAACGCCATGCCCAATTCTGTTGACTTTGCGATTTCTCTCTCTTCTCTTCTCTCTTCTTGTCATTGTCTCCCGCTTCTGGGAGCGGCGTGGCCCGATAGGGTAGCTGCACATAGTAGTAGTACCGTAAAGTACCGCCAGAGCGCCCCGTCTCGCGAGAGCGCCCCACCTTGATTTTACAGCCAGAGAAAGGAAAATCGTATGGCAGAGTGCAACGAAGTTTGTACGATGTAAGAATCTTAGTGTACTAAGGTCACACTTGGCAGGTTTTGTGTGGAGCTTGTGTCCGCTCGAAGGTACGGATTGACTGCAAAACGTGCTATATGTGTACAAGGTTCATGTCGTATGACCTACAGACAGCAGACCACCTCCACAATACGACCACGAAAGGATGAGATGGTGGGGCGCTCTGGCGGTACTTTACGGTAGTAGTAGTAGTAGTACATGTAGTACCGGTAGTAGTAGTAGTGTGTGTGCGTGTGTGTGTGTGTGTGGTGCCAGCTAGTTCGGTTGGTGGGTACACTTATGCCAGATAGTGTTGGGCCTGTTGCCAACGGGCTCGGCTGCTTGAAGGTGTATTGTTGTACCTACCACCTTTGTTGGTTTCAGGGTTCATATACTTTCTATTTGAAGTATACATACCTGTTAACCATGGACTGCTTCTGGCTAGATTAACTCTTGTGTAATCAATGGTGCTAGTGAAGCTTATATCAGATCCACTCTGATTTAGCCACCCACACTAGTACCAAGTATTACCTTCACTGGGGGCAGGGGTACCTGCAGTTGGATCCCGGAACGGATACCCTGATGCCGTCAATCCTTTTTCTGCACCTTGTCCTCACCCACTTACTGAGGTGTGGTGAGCCCATAAGTGGGATCATTTCAAGTCCACCCTAGTTTGGGGATTTCAGGGGGTGTCGGCCGTTGGGTGGTTCAATGGCCAATTGAGTCATCTTTCCAAGATTCCTTTTGAGTCTCTCTCCCCTCTCCCGGGGAGACCCACGTGACCAGTTTTGGCAGTGAGCAAGTACAAGTGTGTGTGTGTGTGTGTGTGTGTGTGTGTTCGTGCATGTTTGCATATGTGCACGTTCGCTTGCATGTAAGTGCATGCATGTCATTGTTAGCATTCATGGGTTGTGCAATTCTGATCACTGTTGCCGCTACCTGTGTCTCGCAGCTGTGCAAGATCGACAACCTTCATCATTTCCTGGAGGTGCAGCAGCTTGTACAGGAAATCCCACATCATCTCGCCAGTATTCCTCCGGTGAGTTGAAGTCAGTTGAGTGCAACAATGCAGGATCTCTGCCTCATTCAGTATGTAGCAACCACAGAGAGATATCACCCTATCCTTGGTACATACTGGTGTGTAAAACCAATGTGCTATACCGTGTACAATACCAGTGCGCTATCAGCTATGGGTTAGATCAAATAGATTACAGAGTAGAGTCAGTGGATAGCTTGGAGTTTGCCGGGGCTGTAGAGACGGATGCCTGATCTGTTGCGAAACAGAACCTCACCGAACCTCCTCCTTGGCGCCTGCAACCACAAGTTCTGCAGCACTGCACAATGCCAGTGGACATCATATGTCGCGTAATTCTCAGAAACATGCTCTGCTGCCAAGTAGCCTAATCTTTGAAATCATTCACTAAACCAGCCTAATCTTTGAAATCATTCACTAAACCAGCCTAATCTTTGAAATCATTCACTAAACCAAGAGTTTGTATGTGTTTGTTTGTCTGTCTGTGTATGTTCTAGCTGATGGATTTGATGATCTCAGCCTGTGAAGAAGTTTTCCACCCGGCCTTCAAGCGCATGTTGGAGTACATGCTGGCAGTTGGTAACTATGTCAACTCGGGCACGCCCAGAGGAAACTGCTATGGGTTCAAGATATCTTCTCTGGCACAGGTGAGGGTCACAGTGATCACCGTTTATGTCTTTGAATGTGCCATCGTGAATCGTGATCATGGTCTGTGAAGCAAACACAGCCGGGTATTACAAGTGACGGTGAACCTGGTTTCATTTGCTTTCTCTGGTCTTGTATCTGCGCATATTCTACATGTATTATCATTCTTGGTCAGCCCAAAGTACTTTGGAATAGCTGAATGCCCTGTGTGCATTCCGAGAGTGTCACTTGTAATGTTGTACACTTGTACAAGTATTGTTGTATGCATCTTGTCTTAGCACACGTTCATGCCCTGTTCTGTAATCTTTGTGCATGTATCTGGAGGAGCTGTGGCCTTGTTTAGAATATGCTCCTGGTCTCTTGTGCCCTCTCATTTCCAGATCTATACAATGAAATCGCAAGTGAAGGGCTACACGGTGCTCAATTACCTCATCGACACTATCTTTCCCCACGAGAAAGAACTCGAGAGGCTGCCCAGGATAATGGGCAATGCCCGTGATGCTGCAGGATGTAAGCGACGTGTACGTGTGACCTATCAAGTGTGCATGTATCAGAGTACTAGTAATCAGCAGCTGATAAACTGATTTTATCTGTCACTGGTAGTACCCTGTGAAATGGTAGTCTACAGCCCAAACATCACACTCCTTGTACTGGCCACCATTATACACAGACTAGGTAGACTGCATGTGGACTCTTCAAATTGCTATCACTAGTCTTCACTCGGGTAGAAGTCCTAGCTGAGGGCATCACACTGCTATGCAGTACGGTAGTGGACGGTGTCTGGAAAACAAGTGCCTTTGTACTGTTGTACAGGCACGGGCTGTGTACATGCACGATTTAGGGAGTATGAAGTGTGTGCAGTATAGGAGTGGACACAATACATGTACTTTCTGTGTGTAACTGTGAATATGATGTGTGCATGGGTGTGTCCTATGGCTGTGTTTGTGCTTGCCCACCTGCACTGCGACCCTCTTCAGTGTCAATGAGAGACGTTGCAATGGACGTGACAAAACTCGAATCGAGCTTGGACAGGATTTTGTCTTGTGCCAATCAAATAATGGCCGGAAAACCATCGCCTGCTCAGCAAACCTTCTGCACCAAGATTCTGGTAGGTGCAGCACCATGGCCAATATGCATTGAGTGGAACAGATGGTTTGCGTACACTTCGATCATCCTTCGCTGTATCACAGCACAGTGCGTTGTCCACATTTCTCTCAGCTTCTTTACCCTGCATACGACAACGTCACTGGTAAAGGCAATGCTTGTGGTCTTGTAAGCCCACGCTCAGACCCTGCTTGCATTGGAGGCAAGGGTGTATTCAAGCCGCAACTTCATGCAGAGGTCTTCACAGTTCCATACAGCTCGTCAGATCATGCTTTCCCTAGAGTCATTGTGTTATGCACAGCATTACCGTATCTGTCATGAGTCAGGTTTTGTGGATTGTGACTGCTGAGCGAAGGCTACAATATCCACGCTACCTTGAACAATTCTGAGAATTTCTCAATTTCAAAATTAATAATCTTCCACCTGCGCTGTTTTTATCTGTGTTTCACGTGTAGAAAGTTGGCCAGACGTATCGCGTCATGACGTCCAAGCTGACGAAGAAGAGGGACATGATGGTGGCCAAACTGATGAAGATGGCGGTGAGTGTTGAACCAGAGCCTTGCCATGATCTGCTTTCAAATCATCACCAAATATCCCAGTGCATGTTTGATTCTGATAGGTCTGGGTCACAGTGCCCATCTGGCCAATAAGCTGATGTCAAGGTTCATGCAGTAAAGGTTGATATACCATGTGTAAGGCAAATGAAATTTTCAAAAAATCACGTCTTTGGGTGGTAGTCCATTTGCTGGCTTAATGATGTGGTGTCCGGACAGAATCTTTCTTGAATCTTTGAAGTAAAGATGGGGCGTGTCAGCACATGTCATGGCTTTTCACACACACACATACAGCATTTAAAAGTATGTGTGTGTGTAGTACTGTGTACGTGTGTACGTGTGTTGATGACACCACGTCATGTCATGATGTCATCATGTCTTGTGTTTGCATATAGGTCTATCTTGGAGAAGTGGCTGATGATGACCCAGCGGAGTTGTTCATCCCTATTGCGCAATTTCTCTCGGAGCTTGAGACAGCAACAGAGAAAGCAGCTAAAGCAACAGCAACTCGAGCGTGAGTTGTGACGGGAGGATGGGGGGGGGGGGGGGGGGGAGGAGGTTAGAAAGTACAAACTGGTTTTGGTGCTCTCTGGTTGTGACTGGTGTGTCATTTCAGGCAAGAGCAATGGGAAAGAAGGGTTGATTTGTTGTGATGTCTGGGCAAGCACCAACACGGAGTTACTCAGGAGAGCCTAGAGCTGATTATTCACATAAAACAGAGATCTCAGCTTGCAAGCTGAAAGTACTACGAAGTGGTGCTAATAGGCCAAAGGCTAGCACAGGCTTATCCATTGGAGCCTGATTTCTTAGCTGTCTGTGGTTCATGGGATGGTGATTGTCTTCTGGTGCTGGCCACATGGCACACCCTATTACATGTACTCAGGGTCTTGAAATACATGTACCGTAAAGTACCGCTAGAGCGCCCCACCGTTTCGTCCTTTCGTGGTCCTAGTGTGGAGGTGGTCTGCTGTCTGTAGGTCATACGACACGAACCTTGTACACATATTCCACATTTTGCAGTCAATCCGTACCTTCGAGCGGACACAAGCTCCACACAAAAACCTGCCAAGTGTGCCCTGAGTACACTAAGGTTCTCACATCGTACAAACTTCGTTGCACTCTGCCATACAACGTTCCTTTCAATGGCTGTAAAATCAAGGTGGGGCGCTCTGGCGGTACTTTATGGTACTTCTACGCCAGTTGAATTTAAAGGAATGGTCCAATACTAGTAGTATGTCATGCAGTTCTCTCTCTCTCACACACACACTGCTGCTGCTGCTGAGCACGTCGACTATAGATAGCTTGTTTATGAGTGCACGTAGCTTCTTCTCTTGCTAATGACAATTCAATTACCCTACAACATACATATTATACATACTTCTACGCACTGTTACCGCTGTACAGACGGTAACGGGGCTCAACAAGTTGTGTCACGTATCGCTGGTATGCACCGGGGTTGGGGCCAGGAGTGCATTGTGCAACCTCTCCCCATCTGAACATCGCCCAACTCCCTGGTGCCAGCTGCAGGTTATTTCTGCACGATTAAGGTGCGCGCATTGCACCACTCACAAACTACATACCACCGGGAGAGGTCCGGGCGTAACAGTATCTGAGAATTGGGTCGTAGTTCGAACCTCGAACACGTCAAGTGCGCCTAATTAAAAGTCCCACGAAATCTGCGTACATAGAACATGCATGGGATTTGTGCTGATAACATCTAAGTTCACTGTACACGTCAGTTTAGTGTGCGCAAGCAGACTGTACTGACCAGTTCAGAGTGCACGTTGCAACTCTCCGGACAGTGTGAGCAGTTTGGCATGCATATTGTGTTGTGGGCACTTATTTGGATAATTAGATTGTCCAGATAATCAGATGTTCTTCCTCGGCAATTTGGGGTTGGAATTACCCGTAAAGTCGTGTATAAAAGCCGCAGCTTATATGACTTTTTTGGGAAATTTTGCAGGCTTCTATTAAAGTTCTTTGTGTAAATTATGAGACAGGCTTCTATACAAGACAGGTATGTCTATGTATGTCAACACTAAAACCAGACGTATGTACCAACAGTGCATCTCGAAACATCAGGCTTGTATTCAAAACAGGCTTCTAAAAGAAACAGGCTTTTACACAAGACACTATGGTATCAGGATTCCACCTGTACAGTGTACATGTATCACTGTGCGTATTGGCAATACACACACTGCAAATTCCCCAAGACTTCAGTTCATTCAATATCTATTTTTATTTGTTATTTTCCGCGCCTTCTTCTGTTTCGCCCAACCTGTAGAGCATCAGTAAAGAGCGCGAAGGCAACCGGTGGCAACGGTGATGGAGTAGCCTCAGCCACAGTCTCACAAACTTCACTTCCGGTAGGGCATGACGTTGTTACAAGCAAGTGCATCTAACATTTACCTATAGAAGTTCTTTTGTAACACTCTGCATGTGCAGTTGCGCTCGGTGAAATCCGACTCAACGTGCATATTTGGCGCCCTCGGCTTGCACAGCTCTTGACGCCCGGAACGGAGTACGAATGTGGCTGGGCGTACACCTGTACAAGTACAGCCACAAGTACAGTGATGTAACCGGAACTGGTCCAGGACGCCAGTTGGGCGCTTTGGGTCGGGTTTCAGAGCGCAACTGTAATGTTGGAGATGCAATAGTATTAGATATGTGTGCATATATTGGGGATAGTACAGTACACGTTCACAGGGTTCCATGTACATGTATGTGGTTGTTAAACCTCCACTGTACAACTCCACTGTACAACTCCACTGTACCATATTTCACCGTTTGTACTTCGAATTAAGTTGACCTTTTGTGCACCAAAAAGAACCAGAATGGGTGGGGAGTAGCTAACGGGGCGTTCGTTTTTGATCTACAGATCTTGGTAGAAACTACTTTTTTCGGTAGAGGTATTCGTTTTTTCTACTCAAAAGTAGGGGTTCCAGGATTTGGCCGACTGGGTTCGAGGACTTTCTCCACGCGCTACACACAAAAGTTTGGTCGCGCGATGACGGCTCATTCTAGTCCAGTGCGCTGGGATATCGTAAGTTCTGGAGGGTTTTTGAAGTCACCAGTGGCTTCCTGAGGTTTTCAGCTGTCCAATGTGGGGTTTTTGATCGCCGTGCGGCGAAATTAGGCCATTGCGATCAGTCAATCGAACTGGTTGGTGTTGGAGCTGATGCCGTATCTCTCACCATGATCAGCCTGATCCCAGCTCCCATCGACAGCGTCTTCTGGATTTGGTTCGCAACTTGCAAGCTCTGCAGAGGACGGCAACATCAACATTGGCGTGTTTGTGACTTGCCGTCCTTGTCGGCAATGGCCAAAGCCGTGCTGGTGACTTGACGTCCTTGTCGGCCAAAGCCGTGTGAAGAAGAGGGGTAGGTTCGCCGAATCGAAGCGTGCATATGTCATCTGCTCAAGGCAAGGATAAGAGGCCGGCTGTGAACAAAATTTCATCTGATCCGTGTGAAAATGTATGTAGCTACAAGTAGGTGGTGGCTATGCAGTAGTTTGACCATGTTTTGAGCCGATTTCCCATTTGATCGCCAGAGAAAAATATACCCATTTCGCTGTAGAAAAATGGCTATAACTTTCGAATGCCTGGACCGATTTTGATAAAATTGGTACCATAGGATTTCTCATTACCTCGGTGACATTGTCCAAGAACAAGCTTGCTTGAATTATGAATTTGAAATTTTGACTGGAATCCCTATCAAAAGGGTAGATTCTACTTTCCTCTACCGGCTCTACCAGGAAAAGTTGGTAGAAGCCGGTAGAAGTTGGTAGAGCTACGGGATTTCCAGCCAAATCAAGGAGTTGTACACAACTCCATACAGAAGAAAAACATTTCATGTACATTATCGTGAAAAACTACTAAATCTGGTAGAACAGCGTTCGTGCACGTACCTCTACTATCTACCTCTATTGGTAGAGTGATTCTACTCTACTCTACCAGGTAGCTAAAAACGACCTAGGGCCTGTTTGCATGAGAAATGAACGAGTACAGGTTTATCAGTCCCTAGCCCTAGGCCCTGCCTCCCTGGGTGCTAGGCCTAGCCCAAATTTGCCGGCAATTCTTCCAGCAAAATATCGAATTTTCCAACGAAAAGAAATTGCTGGCAAATTCCGAGCAAAATATCGAATTTACAGAGGATCCGGGTGTGTTTTGGCAATTTTATTCAAATTTCTTTGGTTTCATTGGGCCAACGTCGTGCTGAAATAGCTCGTGCAGGTTGTCATTTTACGACTCCCTGATTGGGGCTTATGTTAGGGTGTTCGGTGCCTCGAACCCAGGCGCATTTTGAGCGGAAACAGTTTTGTACGGGGTCCGTGGCACAATCGTACATCACTGCACTGTGCTTCTTGCCTTGGCAAGGTAAAATTTTAGCAGCTCAGGACGAGTTTGTTTCTTTGTTGGAAAGAGGAGATGTCTCTGCTGTTGAGACCGTAAGTCCCGTTTCCACACGACGAATTTTAGCAATGTTACGCCCTGCGCAACTTCAGGGTATCGATTTCGGCCTGTTCTGGGCCGGTCGCAACGCCGGCGACCATTCCATCGTCTTCAGCGTCGAAAACTACGCAGTGTGTGAAATTTGGAGGCTGTACGATGCTGTCTTCTTGTTCTATGAGCGATCGATTTGCGCCAGGATTAATGTATGGAGTACATGTACATGTACATGGAGTTGGTGGACTTGGCTGTAGTGCTGTTTATTTGTAGTAGTAAGTTCGCTGAGCTACCACATCAGATAAACCTCTGGTCGCTGTATCTGGAGAGTGAAGAAAGCCATTGTGCAGACAAATTGGTCAAGAACAGATTTCCTGCCAATACTGCGTTCAATATGCAGCTGAAAATCTGCACAGAATTGACACACTGAGGATTTGCAAAATTGCAGCGCGCTAACGCAGTGCAGCTATGCAATGCCGTATGCACCGTGTCTGGAGTACATTGTCATCCACATAGCATGGGCAATGTAGGGCCAGTGTATTTGTCGACTTTATAATTTACATCCAAATTACGCTTGCACAATCATCCGATAAATGAACTGTCTGTTGATTGTGCAAATCGTATGAATGAATTACATGTGACGTGCGACACCAATTGCCCCGGAGTGCTGCACGCGCCGTATATGACTGGGAACAAGTTGTCCTTCTAAAGCTGATGATTAGCAGGACTGCTGCTGCCTTGGCCTGGCTGAAGCTTACATCGTGTTGCAATGGTGCAGCATACCTGTTAATTGGCTGCATGCATCCGGTCCCGCGGCGCAACATGCCCGGGTGTGGGTGCCGTCTCGGCTCAGTGCGTATGTTATTTTCTTGGATGCTTCATCTACATGGGGTAGATAACTGTAATCTCCTCCTGGTGATGCGTCTTTGTAGTACCCGTACTCCAATTAGCTTCAGCCTGTGAAGGGTTACATCTTTCGCATCTATTTCGACTAATTTGTATGCGTTGCTATGGTGGTTGCTATGGGCGTAATTTGAATTTGGCTAGATGGAATACCAAAAAAATTGGTCAAGTGATGGAAGCTCTCTATTGCCTTATTGGCTATCATCTGTGAAAATTTGAAAGACCCTGAACGAAATTGATTTTCACCTTGTTCTAGTTGGTTTTGAATTTCCCGGTTTTGTGCCACTGGCCTGCATCAAAACTGTTCCAGCAAAAGTGCCAACAAGCGCACTTCAAACGATCATAACTCTTGAACGTCTGGTCGGATTTAGACAAACCTTATATATTTCCCGGCTAGTTTATCCTACTCTTTCCAATGAGACTAAAATCGAGGAGGTCGGAGCAACTTTCAAAATCGTCCGAACACCCTACTTATGTCCTCTTACTTTGAAGTATAATACAGTAGTAGTACAATAATGGACTCGGGTGGAGAGCCAAGGATAAGTTTATAGGAAAGAAAAAGGACCAAGGAACTACATTGGACATTACATGTATAGCGTAACTTGTACTTCAGTAGTTCCTTGGTCCTTTTTCTTTCCTATAATAGTACAATCATGTATTATGTTCATGTACTGACATGCTTGCTGAGGTGCAACACTGCTGTTTACAATTACAACTGATCATCAAGTCCTCTCTTTGTCCACTTGCAGAGCGTTGGCCCTCAAAGCCATGCCGTATCGGCTATCAAACCAACCCGGTCTGGCTGGATGGACAAGCTGGGTACTGGTGCCGGTATTGTCAAGATCGACAAACGTTGGTTTGAACTGGACGACTCTGGCAGTATCTATTACTACAAGAAGGAGGGTGGCAAGCCTCTCGGCAGTGTCTACCTGCGCGGAATGTCGCCGCCTCCAGCACTGGACGAGTCGCACACGGGAATGATCGTGTTCTTTGTGGAGGGCAAGAAGTGGCAGCTGGTCAGCAAAACGCGCGAGGAGGCCTCAGCCTGGCTGCGGGATATGCTCTACTACAAGTGATTATACATGCCTCCTTCTCGCTCACTCAATCTGTTTTTGATCTTTTTACATGTGAATATGCATGCCTCGTTGAGTCAAGCAGTCTTTAATACTGAACTACCCAATGTACATCATAGCTGTCACGTTTGTCCCAAGTTAGTTTATTTTCTATGCATGCGGCATACCTTCTGTGTGTAGGACTATCCAGAACATCTTACTCTCTCTCTCAAAACAAAACTATACAGACATAAAGATATCATCCCTTGAATTCAACCAAGAATTACATGACATTGTAGTATACCAAGAGTCCATCTGGGATTGCCCTAATAAAGTATACTATTATTCGTTTTCTAATAGCTAATAGCAATTATTTCGTGTACAGTAATAGCCCTCTTTAGAGGCGCATGAAATGCTTTTTTTGTGCTGTGAGTTGTTCTCTAGCATGCATAGACCCCAGAAATGAGCCGTCAGATGCAAAAAGGTACCGGTATTCATAGCGGGGGGGGGGGGGGGGTAATTATGCTTCTTGTTGTACTTTAAGGTGGCTGGGGCGGTACAACTTTTTTGGGAAATTTTTGACTGCATTTTTGAGTTTATCGGCAAGGCAGAGATGAAATATGAAAATGTTTTCTGGTGAATCTCTGGAGAATAGCCTTCTCTAGCTTCCTATAGTTTTATTTTTACTTTTGGACAAAATTTGAAAACGTTTTATGAAAGGTTCGTGTTATTTTTTCACGGACCTTTCATAAAACTTTTTCAAATTTTGTCCAAAAGTAAAAATAAAACTATAGGAGGCTAGAGAAGGCTCTTCTCCAGAGATTCACCAGAAAACATTTTCAAATTTCATCTCCACCTTGCCGATAAACTCAAAAATGCAGTCAAAATGTGATCAAAATGACCCCTAAAAAGTTGTACCGCCCCAGCCACCTTAATATGAGGACTCGAAGTTCAGATGCAGTAAAACCTGTAACTAAAGACCACCGTGACAAGCGACCAGCCTGGTACTACAGACCACTTCGCCAGGCACGGACGGTCTCACATTATTATGGTTGTGTGGTGCAAACCTCTATTATACTAAGGATCACCTGCCACTAAAGACGGCAAACACTGGGCCCAAAGGGGTGGTCGTTACTCACAGGTTTTATTGTAATTGGGATGTTGCGCTTTTTTTTGTGCTGGCACCAAACAATGTGAAGCACGGGTCAGACTTCGTTAGCTTGCCACCACATAGCCATCCAGTACACGACTGTCGCAGTCTACGACTCTGAGTCAGTGGCACTCAGTAGAAAATGTCCAACATGATAGCGTTAAACTCGTGCTCAAAAAGAAAATAATTGCCAAAGTCGGCCGAGCACTAACCAAGAAGCCATCCAGCGGTCCTCAGTACAAAATAGCGTGCTTGTATGTGCATGTGCGTGTGTGTGTGTGTATGTGTGTGTTTATGTTTAACTACATCATGTGCAGTAATTGCACATACAGCAACAGTGGCGGCAGCAGCAGTGGGGGTTGCTCTGGTAGAAATGATGATCATATTCAAGAATAATATTAGTAAACTGAGCGCAACCGAATCAGAACGTGTCTCACGAACACAGGAATTGTCAACTTTGGCAACATTCAGCCTAATATGGGGAGGGTAAGAAGTGTGATGTGGATGGGCTCAGCCGTCCCTTTTCACAGTAGCTACATGAAAGCAGAATAGAGGACAGTTCAGCTCCCTCTGCTAAATTCCAGGACAAAGAAACACATGAAACGACGTTGCCTGGACGATTGGGGAGTGGAAAGAAGTCCCCATCAGGGGCAGAATTCAGGGTGAAGTGAGATAAAATACAATGCTACATGCATAAAAACAAAATACGACAAAAACTATAATATTATAAAACCATACTTCACGCATGTCCAGAATGCGTATTGATAAAAGGGAGTTTGAAGATCCACAGGTAATGCACAAGGACGAACACCCACCTGCAGCTGTCTAGGAAAGGCACCGGGTGGTGGCGCAAAGCACTACTACTGTCTTGGCACTAAACAGGGCAGTACATTCCTAGCACTAATCCACCGACATCCAGGCCAGGAGGAATCAGTGTGGAGTAAAACCAATGAGAACATCACGGGGAGAAGATGGCTACGGTATGATCCCATGCCCGGGGAGGGAATGTGCTGGGAATGGCCGAGGCCGTCGCAACATGACGCGCTAGTCCAGGGATGATATTACAAGACGGGAATAAAAAAATAACTTACTCCGTACATGGTACGGGGAGCTATCAGCATGAAGCGGTGGCTTTGTCTTTCTGCTGCACCAGCACCTGCTGGTAGCGTTTACTTGGCAGGTTGATGGCCGCGATACTCTGGAAGAGCTCGTCAACGTTAATATCATCCGGAAGATGTGTGAAAAACTGCGCCAGGTCACTGAACTCCATCTCCAGCATGCGCGGCTGGTACAAATGAAGAATACCTGATCAGTACACACACAGGCGCGCACACACGCACACACACGAAAGCAAAATGCATTCACCATCATTATGCATGAGCTCTACGCATGCTGCATCAATTACTTTCCGGTTTGCACCCTAGCTGTTGTGTCATCATGAGTTGTCATGACTGGTGACAATTATTACTTGCATTGAACACTCAATTATTCTCACTAAGGGGCCGTCCGTAAATATCGAACTTTTTTTCACCAAACGAATTATTTTAGTTTAGACTCAACCCCTCCCTCCCTCCCCCTCAGAACGAAAAAATGTTGACATACATGCATATACAACGGCCATGTACATGAATCAATGTTTTCTGAAACGAAATTGGTCAACCCCCTCCCACCCCATAACGAAATTATTTCGTTTTGTGAAAAAAGTTCGATATTTATGGACGACCCCTAATTTGTAATTCTTATCTGCAATTCTTCGATTCAGGTTTCTGCTTAGGGGCCGTCCGGGGTTACCGATTGTTTTTACAAAACGAAATGTTTTAGTATTTTTCAGCCCCCACCCACCCACCCACCTTTTCTGCAGGTAAAACGAATTCCAATAAAACATGGTGTCATATCTTGTGTCACAGTATACTAGTAGTCCTTACAAGTTCGTTAAGTGCTTTCGCAGTTTTTCCTGTTATTACCTTAGTGCTAGGATTATCATTTTCATAGGTGTTGTTTCTTCTCACTCCATTTCTCTTTATTAGTATCTTTCTGGATTGTTTTTCATTAGTACAACGTAGCTTCCTGAGGAGTGTTGTGCGAAAACTAGTTCGAAGTACAAATTTTTTGTTCATCATTTTTTTCCATATCACATTTTTTCTTTCTTCCATGTTCTTCACTGCCTTCGTATCCACTCGTTTTTTTGAAAACAATAAAAGCCTTTGTGAAATGTCGGTTCAGCTCGTTCTGTTGATCGCAATTCTAAAACTATTGTCGCCTCGACGCCTATTTAAATAAAATATTGATGTTAATTTTCGACACCCAGAAGTAACTGGGCATTCTCCATCAGCATTCAATAATTATTTTCAAAACGAAACTCCGTCAAACCCACCCACCCACAAACGAAAACATTTCGTTTTGAAAATATTATTGGTAACCTTGGACGGCCCCTTACTTGATCGCTTCGCGTAAATTTTATTTCTTTGATTCTTTGTGCTTGCACGTGTTAACACAGTTTGAATTCTGTTGCTTTGGCAACCAGGAAGGCTTGAACTGCGATCGCCACTTTGTCAAGTATTCTTGATGCGCATGTAGTTTTTAGAGTTGTCAAGAGACACGAGTTTTTGAGCATTCACGGTGATGATTCTGTAGTTTTCCTTTCAGCTTTGTGGTTCCTTTACCATGTTTACCTTCATTCCATTTTTGTAATCTTCAATCGTTCAGTTTGAACCAAACTGCCTGACCTGATGGTCTGCGAGCGTGACTGTGGTGTGGCCTAGAGTGGAAGGAGTGAGTTTGACTGATTGGTTCACCCACAACCCGTGTTGACTACAGGCCACGGCGGCGGTGTCAGCGCCTGTTCCAGTAGCCACGGCATGCAAAGTGTTTGTCCACCTTGTGCAAGCGGTACTGCGACGATAGCACAGCAGAGATAGCCAGATCATGGCGTGGCCAGCTATTAACATTGACCAAAGAGCATACATGTGCCATGGGCAAGTGAATGAGTTACATCACAATGACACAAGCAGTAGCAATACGCTGCACAGCTCAGTGGAATGCGAGGTACGAAAGTTGACGAAACCCAACGGCAACGAGAACAACAATGAAAACAACAATCAAGCATGCCACAAAACTCACCGAGACCAGTTTTGTACAGAAACTCGTCACCATCGCGAAAGTACACATCCCACACTCGAGACGCAACGTCCAGCGGCAGAGACTTGCTAAACGATGTAAAGAACCTAGGCGGGAGACACGTGAGAGCAGAGACACACACTACACTCAAGAAAGGAACATGGCTAAGATAAACTCCCGCCATCAAAAGGCAACAGCAGCACAGGTCCAAAGGCCACTAGACTCCAGTACATGGTACCAAGCTGTACTATAGCTGGAGGGGGGGGGGGGGGGGGGGGGGGGTAATTATCAGTGATATACCAGTATTAGACAGGCACAGCCACTGAGCCAGCTGTAATGTTAACATATCGGCTGGCATTCTACACTGGGCTAGAACCACAGTGGGTGCAGCTGAAATGAACTTGCCCCGCCAACAAATTAAAGACGGGAAGACGCATACGATGTGCCATTATTGTACTGCTTGAAATAATTCCAGCAACGAGTATACATGCACACATACACACACAGGTGGGGTCCCTTCACAAACACATGCAGCAGCAGCAGTACTCCACTCACCATTCCACCAAGAACGTGGCTGGCTCAACACCCTGGGTCTTGAAGTGGGACGCCAGCTTGGGTAATGTCTCATCAAGTAGTATGGCAAAAGTGTTGAAGTACAGAGAGATCTGCGTTGCGTCCATGCGAAACAGGGCCATGTGAATGGGTTTGCAGAGTAGGTTGGCTAGGCACACAAACGCATCTGACGGCTCCATATTCAGGATGAAGACGGCTGCCAGGAAGGACATACCTTGCACCTATATTGTAACGCGGTGATGACATACACACATACACATACACATACACACACACACACACACACACACACACACACACACACACACACACATGACGGACATGTTAGGAAAAACTTTGTGCATGTGCCGGTATTCAAACAAAGAATCATCGAATGGCTTCAGACTAGCAGTAAATCGGTGCCCACAGCGCAGCCAAGGCACCGGCATCAGCAAAATAAGCAGATATGTTCAGAACTCATAACTCACGTATCCCATGTCTGGCCGATAACACGAGTAGGCACACAGCACATCGTGTAGGTCTTTGTGAAGCGGACCACCCTGTCAACAAGAACAATCAGACCCACACACGCACGCACGCACGCACGCACACACACACACACACACACACACACACACACACACACACACACAACAGAGCGATGATTAGGACTCCAGACCAGGTGCCGTCACCGTCCCACATCGCACTGCACAAATGGTGTGATGCCCATGTGCTAAGTACCACATTTTGTGAAGGTGGTTTCCGAAATAAAAGGAAAATAGAAACAATTCGTAGGGTAGTCTTGCTCCAGGATGGCTGCCTGTCGGACCCAAAAGAAGAGAATCTCTACACCGATTTTTGACAGAGCTAGCTATGACGACGGGAAGGAATGGTAAGAAAAATGAATGTTCTGTTCAGGTAACCTTCTTGAAAATGCGATATTCGTGTTCTACTGGAAAACTCTGCACGCATCATCTCGCTTCAAGCATTCTTAGTTTGCCTTACAGCCAACCTTCAGCAGTGGTAACAGTACAAGAACGTACCTCCTGAAATATCCCCAGCAGTGGAAAAGTCCGCCGCACATCCAAATGAATCAGCTGGACGCTGGCTTCCCGGCTTTTCGCCGACACCAAGTAAGCTGATCCGGATTCTTTTCACAGAACGACAAGAAAGAAACAATCGTACTTTGCACTTCAAAGCCAAACAAAGTCACACAACACAATACACTCAGACAACTCAATGTCAAGACGAATTTCAGTGATTGCTTCACAGGCTTTTAACCCATTCTTATCAGTGGATATATAACACATGTTGCCACGTTCATCAACTTGTCATTGCGCTGTGTCCCTATCGTGCAACGACAAGATTATGAGCGTGGTAACATGTGTCAGCTAAGAAGTGCGCATGGAGAGCAGGAGTGTTGGCGAAGTGAGCCGAGACAAAGGGAGGGAAAGATATGTAGAGCTGTGTTTGTATGTGTGTATAATTATGTGAAATAGAATTCAAGTATCGGCAAACGTCATTAGACTGATTGGAACGGTCTGAAGATAGTGTTGTTATTAGCAAGTTGTTGATATGCCCAAGGTTGACTGTATTACTATCACACGGCATGCACATAGTAGACTTCTCCATTATCCAGCAATCTCCTTACTAGTATCCGAGCACTTTATGTAGCTGTCCAGAACGGTTCGGACAATCAATGCTCAACTGTACATCTTGAGTCTACACTAGTCATGCATCCACTCACAGACAAACCAGCACATATTGAACAGTTGCTGACTTCGGACTTACCTCCAGAGTTTGTGGAACTTGATGTCTCCTTGTCGTCCGACTTCGTCTTCACGCCGAGTTTAATCATTTCTGTAGCACGTGCACGAGATATCTCAAACAGATCTGAACCACGCACACGCACAACACACACACACAACACGCATACACAAAACGATGGGTACAACAAAATCATGACCATGACCATGTACTTGTCACAAAGAATACAAGGGAGATAGAGTACATTATCAGTCACTGGCATGCATCTAAAACAACTTTTAACACGGCTGCAGCAAGCCAGCTGCACATGGATTACACAGGAAGTATTTATTGAAATTGTAGGCGGCGAAAGCTATCCATGACACATACCATGTGTGATTTGAAGGTCATTTCCAAGTGCACGCTTCCAGACCTGGCCCCGAACTCTTGTTGGTAGGCCACACCACCAAAGGTCCTTTGTCTTGCGTACACCATGCCTGCAGCACATAGGAAGGCATAGCAGACATTTTAAAAACTGAGTGTAATGAAACAAGCAGTTTTGTTACTTCAAGTAAAAATGTACGTACATTGTTTCCCAATGAGGTAAGACATCCTTCAGCCAGTACGAGAGACGAGACGACTCTTCCTCCTCTCGCTTGATGCGATCGTTGGCCTCACGCACCATCTGTCCCTCCTCCTTCTTTTCTACAAGACACAATGACAGTATGCACACAAACACACATACGCAAACACACACACACACACACACACACACATACACACACATACGCAAACACACACACACACACACACACACACAAACACACACACAAACACACAAACACACACACACACACAAACACATACACACACTCGGAAATTAGTACCACACTGTGTTGGCGTGATTTGCCATGTGATCTTCATATTTTGAAGTACAGTAAAACCTGTAACTAACGACCACCCCTTGGTGCCAGCAAAAGCGGTCTTTAGTGGCAGGTGGTCTTTAGTTAGAGGTTTGCACTGCGCGACCATATATGGATCCCGTATATGATATGTATGTCAAAATGCAGCTAATACGATTCCCCAGGACTTGCGCAATGCCATTCTTATTTCAGGTCGAACAACACTTGGAGAGAGAGAGACGGAGAGAGACCGAGGAAGAAGACTACTTTTTGCAGACATCAAATTCAGCTGCTACCTCTGAAACCAGGAGTCAAACGGTCCCTGTAGAAGTTTCGTTTTACGCTGGGCTTCAAATTTGTTCATGTGATCAATCGTACCGACTGTCCTTGTTGTAACTTCTCGATTGCTTGAACGCGATCCTTCAGCATCAGGACCTTGCGGTGCTGCTTTGTTTCTGGATTCTTTGATGCCATCGTCGATTCGTCTGTATGACTGGGGTGGCAGAGCCGCTCTGTCTTCGTTTCTCCTCCGAGTAGTAACATCGATCAGAGGGCGCTTTCGGTGCGCTCTCCAAGACGGTTCCTATCGTGTTTATTCTTGACAGAGAGTGAAATTTGGACAGGTGTAGTGCAGTCCACACCGATTCCACAGTCAAAATGACCTGTGTTCATTTGTTCAGCTGTAGTATCGAAAGAGTCCTTTCAGGACCATGGAAAATCAGCAAATTTTCAAGAAGGAGCTTCGAGCAACATTTGACTTCAAACATCGCGGTCGCTAGTTACGGGTCAATAATCGTCTTTGGGGCAAGAAAAGGCGGTCGCTGGTTGTGTTCAGCAGGTAGTCGCTAGTCACAGTGCATTTTGAGTATGAGACCGTCCATGCCTGGCGAAGTGGTCGGTAGAACCAGGCTGGTCGCTAGTCACGGTGGTCTTTAGTTACAGGTTTTTACTGTATCAAAAGTCAATCAGGTCGACAGACTCGACACCAACATGTCATCTAGGTCCACGGGCAAACCACAACTAAAATCCCCCGGCGGCGTACATGAAGAATGTACACAGGCATTAAACTAACAGTCAGGGAGACACACATGTCATGCACTAGACAAACACCAAAACTAACTACTGTAGTTACTCCATGCAATACAGATTGGCAGAGTAAAAGAGTGATGGATCTATCCATGCAATACAGATTGGCAGAGTAAAAGAGTGATGGATCTATCCATGCAATACAGATTGGCAGGTAAGTGAGTAAAAGAGTGACGGATCTATCCATGCAATACAGATTGGCAGAGTAAAAGAGTGATGGATCTATCCATGCAATACAGATTGGCAGGTAAGTGAGTAAAAGAGTGACGGATCTATCCATGCAATACAGATTGGCAGAGTAAAAGAGTGATGGATCTATCCATGCAATACAGATTGGCAGAGTAAAAGAGTGACGGATCTATCCATGCAATACAGATTGGCAGAGTAAAAGAGTGATGGATCTATCCATCATGACTGTGCAGTGCAGACGGAAGACACTCCGATCCATAACTCGGCTTTCCTTGGACCGAATTGAGCAATCGAAAGGTCTAGTCGCATTAAAAAGTTCTCAGTTGTCGGCTCAAGCAAGTCCGAAGTTGATCCGAGGTCGAATAGTAGAGTTACGGCACTCGACAGGTATTTTACGCCCTGCAGCAAACTTTTACTTCAGCGCATAGTGTCATTCAAGGGATTTCCCTCCGTTGAATTACAATCCAGGAAGCCACAGACCAGTGTGACGTCAGGCTCGGATCTTTAGCTGTCAGCTACAATACAAGCAGCGCTCTATGGAAAACATTACGATGATACCAGGGGTTTTAGCAAATTGGCTCAGTCCCGTGTTTCATATGTACTCCCATGGCAATCACCAGTGTCGCTGAACTGAGGCTGGTGGAATTTACACTGTGTGCTCCTCTTGCCAAGAGCTTTCCAGGAAGCCCAAGATTGTCAAAATTCATGAAAGGAAACCAAGGTCATGATCCAAACAGGAAACATAAGTAGTGCATGCATTTGCCAGAATCAAGTCAGTAGTGAAAGGGTCAACTGGCCGGTTAATCTTGGATTTCCAGCGACCCAGCAAATTCTCGGAATAAGGAAAAGCCAGTGTTAGAATGGTGCACATAGCTAAAGCTGAGAGGGGGGGGGGGGGGGGGGGGGGGGGGAAGAGCGAGAGGGAGCGCTCGCACATGAGAGAGAGAGAGAGAAAAAGAAGAGAGAGAATAATAACAAACTATCCAAGAAGTAAGAGATCAATGCCAAAACATGTCACTCACTTTTTTGTCCAGCTGCCGCCAGCATTGCCTCATACTGCCTTCGATGCTTTTTTTCTTCAGCTTCAGATTTCGCTGGGAGGTTTCTATGTGCATCGAAACACAATACATACAGACACACGGTAGACATGAGGACACGATGCAGAGCACGGAAAGAGACAGTGCCCGACAGAAAGAGGGTGGGGGGAAGCTTAGCAAATATTGGCAAAACACAATCCCGCCAAGCCTGCCAGCAGCCACAGAGTGAAAACACAAATGCAGGCATAAACACTGTAACTACTTACGAAGGACGGTTCTCAAAAATGAGGCCAGTAGTCGATGATGGAGAGCCAGCAGACTTTGTGGCAACAGGCGCTCCTCGCAACCTATCCACATGCGCATGCACAGGCACACACACACACACACACACACATACACACACTTGTTTAGCCTTATAATGTTATAAGTATCAGCAAGAGTACATAACCCCAAGAGACTCCATCTATGGGGTCTGCGACGCGAAGGCAGAACTTCACATCACGGTTTTTTATAACTATGTCATGTGATGTGAATTTCTGCCGTCGCAGCAGTGTATAGAGGCTATGCAGGGAAATGCACACTCTTGGTAGCAGACATCATGATCAGGGGAAGGGCGTGCCACAACTTTCCTGCAAAAAAATACATGTCTTCAGCCCTTCCATGCCCATGTTTTATCCGCAAAGATGCTTAGATATGCCATCGATCCGTGATGTGTACGGGCAGAGAAAGTAAAAGAAACAGAAGCGCCCACCACAGTAGACACTGAAGATCGAACATGAATGGTAGACTTCTAACTAGTGATGCGCCAAATCCTTGGTGCTACTTTCTCCACAAGTATCACACTCTCCATCGCACTCAAAGTCGGATGTCTTGACCCATTTTCTCTTCGTCTTGCACGATAGTACAGCAAAGGCAGTGTTGATCACCTACTAATTTTTCCCTGAAGAACCATACGCTGCTCTTCAACTTTTACTTCTCGGCTACTGCTATTAGTGTACGTGCACTTGGAAGACATGAAGGGAACTTCTTTAGTTCGCTTTCAGATTATGAAAACACGTGGATAAACTGGGAAATTAGTGGGAATATCGTGGATAGCTACACGGTGCGTTCTGCAGAGTCACACATGTGGCCAGCGGTCTTTCTTGAACCAAGATCAAACAATTTGAGGGGGTGGTTTGGATGCCCCTGAGTATGGAGTAGAATGTCCCCACCTCATATTCAGCCACATTGTTGACCATTCAAGGTACATTGGATAGATGCAGACTATTCGTCCGTACCCACACAAGTATACCCAGGATTAGAGCCTACAATCGTGCATCCAAAGTAACACGGAGCTCTCTAAGCATGTGTGGAAGTTGAAGAGGGCAGGCAAGCCGCACCCAATTGCATGGTCGACCGCACGGTCTGCAAGGGCTTACTCCAGCTCAAGCAAGAAGTGTTATCTCTGCCCCATGGAGAAGCTTTTCATCGCCCAAGCAGACAAGGCAAGATGCCTCAACAAGCAATCCGAGCTTGTGTCGAAGTGCCGCCATGAGAACAAAATGTAATACTACTTGTCAAATTTTGTCACCTGATTCTAGCAGAATATCGCTTAGTTAAATTATACACAGAAAATAACACTTTCTCTCTGCAGCTAGGCGAAATAACAACTCTTGCCAAGCGTTGCCACCTGATTCCACGAGAATATCCCGTAACAATGCACAGACAACTAACGCTTTCTCACACACTCCATATCGCGCTACATGTCACATACTAGTAGTAATTGTTATGCTGGGCTTGCCACATTCATGGTATATAGCAGTACTCTCAGGGCAGGGTCAGCATCAATTTTCGTCTGATGATCGATTCAGTTCGTGAAAGTCAGAGTTACGACACCGCAACTGCTCGTTCTTCTGTCTGTGCATGCAAAGTACGTACTTAGTACTATACTGAGGAACATACAGAATTCTTTCTGCAGAGGAATAGTCCACAAATAATTTTGAAACTCACAAGGAACTGTGCTAGAAAAGGCATCAGCAACAACAATTGACTACTTGTACCTGCCTACACTGTAGATGTACATACCTGCCAAGCAAATTGGAGAGGGTACCAGCAGTTTTCTTGCCCGAGTCAGTGCTGTTCTGAGTTGAGAGTGATTTATTTGGGGATGGTCCACGTGTAGCATCACTGTCTTGGCTGTTGGACTGTTGCAATGGATCTGCACCATTGGATTGGACGTCCATAGATTTACGCGACGTGAAGACAACATCTGTCAGCATTAGCTCGCTGGCCTCTTCAGCCACACTTTCAGCTGCCTGTAGAAGCTGGTTTCGTGGTTCTGGTGGCTGAACGTGTGGCTGAACGTTAGGTTTGGGGTCATCTGGTTTACTCTGCTCAACATCAACATGCATACTTGGCTCACCACCTGCTGGGACATTCGGCGTTTCGTCGTTTGAGATGTCGACAGTTGGTTCCTCATCACCTGGAACATTCGGCTCAGCATCACTTTGACTCCCAGAATTCACCGCACAGGTCTCGTCATTTTCAATCTCCATGGTTCAAAATCCGAATTCAGAGGGTGGACAGGAGGCGGAAATCCTCAGTCGTCACCGTATCCGAAAACTACCTTCAGAGCTTCACACACCTCTCGATGTTGCTTTCCCCAAGTCGAGACGTGATGAGTGAGGATATTCTGAATGTTACTAACTGCTACCATTTATTTAGTACAGTAGTAAACATAATCAATAACAAGAGTACATTGATTTTGCAGTTGAATAATTATCAGTGCAGCAAAAGCGACTTCTCCAAACCAGCTGTCGTAGCTACCTTCGAAAGACATAAGTGCACTACCGTAGTCGTAGATCCACAATTGTCTTTTCGAAGTAAAGGCCAAGGGTGTGGGCGAGATGCTCGAGAGCCAAGGAATCGGACACACATGTACCGGTACTCACATGGCCTGCTCTGTAAACGGCGTTTGCACAGCAACACACAAAGTCAAGGTCCAAAAGAGCTCTCTGCCTTTGGCCGTTTTGGGGTGCTTGGCTTGATCCAAGAAGTAACGTCGTAAATAAAACACTTTGTCTAGATAAAAATTACAGGTAGTAGTATGCGCGAGCCAAGCTAGCTGTCTGGTTTTATTTGGACAGTACGGAGCCTAGCATGCAGGTCAGCCGGCCACTGTGTACTTTTTACTTGTTGTAGTCCAGTTTCTTCACCCAAGCCAACGAAAATCGACAGGCGATCATCGCGCGATATCGACATCGACAAGCCTTGGTGTTGTTTTGTGCCACTGATGTTTTTCATTTTTCTGTTTTCATGATCTGTGCATATTATAATTATGCATGATATACATGTGCAGCGCAGATCGTTGTAGATCGCGATCGCGATAATATCGGCTCAGATCATAATCAGGGATAGGAGTCGTAAAAATTGGCCTGCATATCTGTGCATAGACATTGATAATGATAGAGCCAAGAGATCTACTACCCACCGTGTACCGCCTCACCGACTTGAATTCGCACGCATGCTGAAAACGACGTGATCTTCTATTTTTTCGTTTTCCCCGCGAAACCAATCAATGCAATGCAACATGTGACTTCAAATTCAAAACCGAACTCAAAATTATTGTGTAAAGACATACGTTGCAGTTTACTTTCTGTTCCTTTGATAATCACAGCAGCTGCAGGAGCACCCTTGCCTTTTAGTCTGCCTACTGCTTGCAAGGAACTTTCATACAGGAGGGGATCGCGTCATAACATGCTGTGGATGGCAGACCAAAGAAGTGTGTTGAGCGTCAGTTATTTTTTGCCTGCTCGACATCGAGATGGAGGCCAAGGCAAAACCAAAGCAACGGTCTAAAACCAGCATTCTTAGGGACCTCAACAAACAAGTGTCCCTTCGAGCTGCTGCCGCTAGAAAGCTTCAAGAACAAACCTTGTTATCTTCTGTTGAACAAGGTAAGCGCTGATATCCATGACGCCACACACATGACTGTATTCATGGAATCGTTGATTGACTGAGTATCAAAGATGAACGCCGTAGGCTAGGTGAGTTCCTGCAGTACATGTACTTGAAAATTAATAAGACTTAAGAGAGCCAGTGACGTATCCAGGATTGTGGTGAGGGGGGGGGGGGGGGGGGGTGCGGCTCTACATGCATTTTTGCTGTCAAATGCCAGATACATGCATTTTTAGCAAGCGAAACTTCCCATCACAAGCCAAGATATAACTTTCAATTTCCAGCATGTTTATTGACATTGTCTGCAGCTTTTTATTCTAATATTAATACTAAGATTTCATATGAGATTTCATTGTGTAGTACCGCCTAGAGCACATGTACATGCACATGAGACGGGGAGATCTTCACCAATACCCCGTACCATTCTTGAAGTGAGTACTGACCAGTACAGACTAGCAAATGTCTGCAGGAACGAACACCGGTGGCAGTTTTGTGGTGCAGGCATCCTGCTGCAAGAATATTGCAAATGCCGCTGTTATTCACAATGTGAGGAGGGCATGTGCCCGGTAATCTCATCAGTGTCATGGAGGCACCATCCATCAATTCAGCCCGAAATGCATAACTTTCTGCAAAGACATGGCCAAAGTGCAATGTTCCTTGGTCGCCGCTCCGTTGCTGGCGAGTTTTGATTGTGAATCTTATGCTGTCCACGAAGAGCTTGATGGTGTTGCCTACCTTCCATGATTGACCCAAATCTTTTCCTAAGTTAGCAGATCAACACAGTTCCTGTGGCTTAACCAATCCTCAGAACTGTTTACTTGACACCAAATCTTATCCAGACCTGTAGGTACTTCCGAGATCTGCCAGTCCGATCAGGATGGGACTTTGTGCATCCGAGATCCAAACAATGCCCGGTCGATATGTATTACAGCATGTATTGCGGGCTACACTGTTTTTTCCTTATCCATATGCTATGTAAGTACATGAGAGGTCCGGGTACGGGAGTTTCTCTGCAAGACCTTACAGTTTTCTGTGTACTGTCTCTTGTCTCATTGCGGTACAGTGTCCGGTACGAATAGCATCAAGCAAGGGCAAAGCTCACGAATTCCACGGTATGTATGGTGGTGAACTTCCACTTGCCCACTTTTACGCTAGTATTCTTGTTTGTGTATGATGCCGTGGGCATGTGATCATGGACCGAAATTAATACTCACCCACATGCTTTGTCCATCTACACCAGGGGTGAATATTGCTCAATATTTATCAATAGGGAGGTTCCGGAGTACGATTTTTCGTGCCAAAATCCGTGGAGGCGCTACGGATATTTTATACGTCGTTTTCGAGCAGTGAAAAGTTCCGGGATACGAAACTTATGTGTTTGCCGTCATTGCCTAGGTTACGATCGCAAACACGTCACATTCCCGCGCTATGCCTTTTTATTTTGAAAATTTGTACCGAAATCAAAACTTCCCGCGGAAAATCGATGTTTGTCGTACCAAATTTGTACGCGAAAAATCTTTCTGCACCCGATGACGCAAAATCTCCATACGAAACATGGTTCGTATGAAAGCCAGTCCACACGGATTCTCCGTGCCGAAAAATCGTATGGAGCACGCCTGGAAAAAATCCGTAGCGCCCATACGGATTTTGGCACGGAAAATCGTACCCCGGAACCTCTCTATTGTTATTCACCACTGTTAGTTGCCCGTACTTCGAAGTAGAAACTGGATCTATTGTTATCCTAATTTGATGTAATGCATCAATACTTACTCCTGTTTAGAGGACAAGTGAAATATCATGTAAGAACTGCGAATTACTAGCAGAGGACTCTCTCCTGATTGGTTAATTAAATCTCCATGGAAATGCCCTTGCATGGCTCTAGGTAAAGCGTGTTCTCAAGGATTGTCACCCTTGCTTACAAGTTACAATTGTACTTGACATCTGGATAAAATACATTTGATTGTGTTTTGCTGCTGGCGCTGGACATACTGTTTTCTCTGCACTGCTGTATATGTGCATTCTGGTTCATGAAACATCCACTCATGGCCCTTTTTTCTGTGTCTTCCCAAAATTATGTTTAGACCAGTTCGGTTAGGACCATCGGTATCGGCCACTCGTGAACCCACAGGCACATCAATACGGTAAAGCCTAATGATGCTACTTGTACAAGTCTACTTCACTTCTCCATTTACCTCGACCATCGTTGGTGTTGCTGTCAGGGAACACTCATTTTGTCCACGTCAGGTGTGACACATGTAAAAATGATGTTACTTTAGTACAGTGGCATATGTGAGCTGTGTTCCTCCATCTGTGTTTACTGAACTGGATTTGCTTTCTTTGTTGTTATGTTGCACTGCCAGAAACTCCCGACAAGATCAGCTATGGAGGAAGTATGGGCAGAGGTGGCTGAAACGTGTCTTCGGGCGTGTGTCACCGGCTCATGCAAGGTTAGATTACAATGGGTGTGTGCAAGTGATTATATAGTCAGTGGCTCAGATTAGTAATGTGTTGGTCTGCTTTGCTTGGGGCCTTTCTGCCTTTTCACTCACTGTGCCTTTTCTTTTGGTGGTACGTTGTGCAGGTATTTCTATCGTCGACAACTGTTGAAACGTAGCATTGAACACCGGAAGGATGTGTGGTGGGAGAGTCGCAGAGAGTGGCGATTGATCGTGCGCGCCGAATGCCACAACAGGTATAGTATTTGCACATGCGGCTAGCGTAGAGTCCTGTGCTTGAACTCGCCTGGTAGGGTAGAGTTATGTTATGTGTGTAAGCTCAGCTGGTTGAGTAGAGTCCTGTGTGTAAACTCAGTTGGTAGAGTTGATGCATTTACTGCCGGTAGTGTGTCTGACACTACCTCGGTACTGTGTGCCTTGCTGCCAACCAGTTTGCATTTGGTAGGTTCATTTACGGTAGTTGTAAATGACTAAATTTTCCGTGCTTGACCTGTAGTTCGAAGGTACGGATATGTCTAATGCCATGGGACTACCCACTCTCGAAGGTACGGATATGTCTAATGCCATGGGACTACCCACTCATACGCACTGTAGGGGCTACTTTTCAACTGCTATTTCACTGGTGCCCACTGTGGGAATCCTTGCTTCCCATGATTGCCATGGGTTGTAATGTTGAACATTTAAAAATGTGTGAAGGGTAGCAATGCCATTTGAGACGTGGCCATTAGCCCCTAGCTCCCTAGTTGTGACTTACAGTCAACTTCGCTAATAACGACTGCGGATATAACGACAATTCGCGAATAACGACAGAATTTCCATGCCCAGAGCAAAGTCCCATCCCACTGTAATACATAAATGAGACTTCGGGTATAACGACACTTCGCGAATAAGGACACCTTTTTGATGCCCCGCCGAGTGTCGTTATCAGCGAAGTTGACTGTATGCATCTTGCCCTAGGTGTACTGAGAACTTGAGATCCAACATAGCTACATGCTGTGCTTCGCTGTACGGCGCATGCTCTTGTTTTGTTCGTGTTTGCTGCTATCGTAGGTATCGTCTCTGGCGGTCTGTGTGGCTTGCATGGAGAGAGTATGTTGCCTTACAGCGAGCGGAACAATCCCGACTGGAACTAGCCACAGAACACGGTACGGATCAATTTTTAATGATGCTTCTGATACCTTGGCACGGATCTCTAGATTGTTTGTAGTTTGTAACTTTGTACCCAGTTCTTGTCGGTACGTAGGGGCTTCAGCAACTACGTTTGTATTAACTTGCCATTCCATCCTTGTTTGTTTTGTTTGACTGTTGTGCAGCCAATGCTAGTTTGATGAAGATGTGTTGGAAAGGTTGGAGGCAATTTGCAGCTATTCGAAACACAAAGAAGTCCATTCACCAGTTTTGCACTGCCCAAGCTGACAGAGCCAGCCTGTCTCGTTCCTTTCTCGCTTGGCGTACGGCGTATCAGCGGCGTCTCTCTCACAAACACGTTCAAGATCAAGCTGGTATTCACCACGGAATGGTTCTGAAGCGACGGGTAAGCATGGTCTCCCCCTGTCCATGAATCTTTATTACATGTGTCACTAGTCACCTGGAGACACCCGGACTTTACTGTTGCAAGTGCATGTAGAGGAATGTTAGTACTGTACTGGCATTGTACAGCGGAGATCGGTTACAACCTATTACGCCGCCGCTCCTTTCAAGAGATAAAAGAGTCAAATTTACAATCTGTCACTAAGCCTGATCGTAAAGCACTTGCTGTCAGACTTGGGCAACAGGAATTATAATTGTAGTCGCAAAACTCTGTTGTTGCATGCAAGGCCTGCGTCACCTGATCATGCTGTGACTGTGCACCTTATTACTTGGTACTTTTTCTTTTTTTTTACTGTGTCTTGTAGTTTTGTTGTTGTTCAGATATAGACTGCTTGGACCGTGCAGAACAGTACTCAGGCTTTCTTATTTGTGTGTATTGCAGGGCTGGACACGATGGCTGCATACTCACGATGCTCTGCAGAAGTGCCGAGGGAAGGCACTGGTGGTTAGCAACCATCATGTCACGGTGCTAGTCGCTGCTACCTTGTCTGCATGGCAGCAGTATGTCTTGCATCGTCGCCAGCGGCAAGAGGAGAAAGGTAAGCTGAGCAGCTGCTGTTGCTTTTGATTTGTTGATGAGCACAGCTGTGAATACCTGCATGGAGTGGTGAAAGCATGGAGTGGTGAAAGCATGGAGTGGTGAAAGTTTATGCATACAATCATAAGCGTGGAAATAGTGTACACAACCCTGATTTGTTCACAGATTTGAGGGAAAGACACAAACGGGAAAAGTCTGAAGAAAAAATTGACTGTCACCCACCAAACCCTGATTTGTATGCATACAGCAAGAAAAGTTACAATACTCGCCCTCTTTGAGTAAGATTTTGCCTTCAGCTAATGCACCCGCTGTATTCATTTATTTCTTTGTGTCCCCTTTTATTTCTACCCTATGAGGTCATTTGCTATTTTTGGACACTCAAATTAAATAGCACCCCATTAGTAATAATAATATGTTGGTTTGCAAAATAAATTAATTTTTTTTCTTGCCCTTCTATTGGCACACTTATGCTTTACCATCACCACACACACCTGAAGGCCTAGAGTTGAAGTGTGCGGCCACAACTTGACCTGATCGAAGTGTCTTTTTCTACTGCTTTTCAATGCGTGCCATTATTGGACAACTAAATTAAATAGCATCTAGCAGCAGTCTGCAATGGTGTGGACAAGTAAAACTTGCACAGGACATGAAAATGGGGTAAGGCTATGCCTATGAGACCAGCTGATATGAGTTCTAATGACAGGCCATCCGTACCAAGCTCATCAAGGCTTTTAGACACAATTTAACCCTTTACCTTCTGACCATAATTCCCAGGCAGTTCCAAATGCGATATTTCTCACCTCATTCTGAGAATATCTTTGGTTATAATTAACCGATTTTCACACTCTTGGGCATTCTGGAAAGCTCTCCACGAGCTGCGTACAATGAGCTCAAACTGGACACTACTGAGATCACATATCCAACGGCAGGGTGCTTCAAATACTCCCCATCGCTGGGGATCCGAGAAAATTCTCTCCTCTTCAGCCATTTCTCACTCCTTCATCGTAAACATTTCAAATTTGTTGTCCTGGGTTTCTTTTTATGCTGCCCACGCGCACATGCACAGGTGACTCAGCATGTCAGGAGAGGGAAAATCCCCAGCTCAAGGCCAGTCACTCAGAAAAAAATCGACTTTTGCCGTGGCTGAAATGTCGAGCGCGATATCTTTGGAATACGGCATCGCAGCTCTTCGCCGATTGTTGCAACGAACAGCTGGGCTCTTCGGCTTCTTCATACATATTTAGGTTTTGAGATTCTGTCAAGAATTGATCGAGTTACAAATGTTTTAGTGCATGCATGTCCATCGACCAAATTCGGTCGATTCATGTACACACAGAAGATAAAGGGTTAAAGGGTCACTCAAGGGTTTTCATGGACGTCATATTCACATAAACACCACATTGGCACAATCTTAGCAAAAAAAAGGTCAATTTTTTGACTGCAATACCACATGCAATCATCCCTTCCATGACTACGTCATACCATTCCTTGAAATCCGTTGCTGTTGACCAACGTGCTCGATCCATCTCGAGGCGGGTTTGGTTACGCACCTTAATACCCCACCTCTTACGGAAAGAGCAGTAACATCCGTACCTGACCTCTTGGTGGGCAAACCTCTCGGCAATTTCGGTGTCACTGATCAGGAAATTTGCTGATCCAATCAGAAGACTTTTGCCGGCTTTCAACTTGAGGCTACGCAGTGCCTGCACATACTCAGCAAGCTTCAATTCATAGCGGTACGGAATTAGTGAAGTGGTACCACATCGAACTGGGGACAGAACAGTACTGGCAAGGTCATTGCCAACTTGCTGCTCATACTCACGAGCTTGCTATGGAGAGTGGATTTGCCTACATCAACACCAATAGCTGTCAGCAGTTTCGAAGCACGTCGTCCGTCCCGTGGCAATTGCTTCTTGAACATCTGACTGACTGCCCATTTTACTCCCTCTCGAAACATGCCAATAGTGCCATGCTTGCCATACCTGGAGCTGTCACCAAGTCTGGAGCAGCGGGACTCCAGCAGCACTTTGATTTACTCCATTTCCTCCACACTTTTCTCAGTTGAATTAAGTGGGAAGAGTCCATCAGGGAGATCAGGAGCAGGAATCGTCTCATCAAGAACAGAGGAGAGCACTCCAGTCTGGCGCATCTCCTTCTCATATTTCGCAAAGAGTAGAGGGCTAACGCCGTAACTAGCCGCTGTGTCCTTCTTGGTTAGAAAGAGTTTACAGGTGCCAGGTGAGTGAATGCTCGCACTGCTAAAATAGATTTCTCCTGACCAGAACCCCTCGACAAACGCACAGGCTGAGAAGGCGAGGAGACTCTTCCAGGCAGATTCGAGGTGGAAGACGTAGTTCTTGGGGTTGATGGAAGGGATACAACGTCGCCCATATCGACATTCTCTCCGTCATGCGACGTAGAGTCAACAGAATCCTCCATCATTTATTATTCCCGTAGCTATGCAGAAGACGTTACTTCAGTAACGTCTGGCGCTAGCCAGGGTCCACACAGCTTTAATTTGGTATTTGTTTGTTTGTTTGTGTCACGCCTGGCGCTATCCCGTATCTGTCCCGTACCGTACCATCAAACACAGCTGGCCACAAACAGCTGGCCACAATATTCAAATAGGGCTTTCAAATGCAAGATCATAAAACGTGAAGCAAAGTGAATGAGTATGAATGCGAAGTGTACAAATGTATTGGGGAATGCATGTAGGGCGATAGTGCGGATTCGAATCCCAGGTTATGCCTTAAAAAAAGGAGAATTGAAAAATTTATAACACCCCTATGCTTTTTTTGCCTAGGTCATCAAGGTGGTAGACGGTGTCGTATTACCCTCGATCGTATCTGTCCCGTACCGTACTATCAAAGACGGCTGGCCACAAACAGCTGGCCACGATATTCAAATAGGGCTTTCAAATGCAAGATCATAACGTGAAGCAACTTGGAAGAATTAGTATCACTGTATGTATGCGAAGTGTATCGGGGGATGCATGCAAGGCGATAGTGCGGGTTCGAATCCCAGGTTATGCCTTGAAAAAAAATAGGAGAAATGAAAAATATATAACATCCCTATGCTTTTTTTTGCCTAGGTCATCAAGGCAAAAAAGCATAGCGTAGGGCCCTGAGCTTCCAAGCTCTCTCGTTTAATCGAAATTTTCGAAATTACTTCTTCTCTACCCATTACATTACCGAAGAATAGTAAAGAAAACGCCCAGAAAGAAACGGCTTTTGCCTAAAAAAATAGGTACGAAGAAACTTGAGGACCACACAAAGACACTCTTGTCAAAAGCTTGTCCACCAAGGAAAGGACAACAACTCGGGAGGACTCTACTTCCATATTTAACTGATTTGTCTAAAAATTGCGACATGTCCAAAAATCGCGAATCACCTCATACTACTTCGTAGTATTCAGTCGCACATCCCAGGTCCATAATAATTCCACGCTTTAATATGTCTACGAAGTATATGTACGTCACTGTTTCACCACTATGCGCTATTCTCGCCCGCTGCTAGAAACGTCACTTTTAGTATTAGATTCGCACTTTATGATGCAGTGTAGTCTGTGTTGTTGGAGAATGAATGTAATGACAATTATTCCGCTGATGAATGTCACTAAAAAACGTTTGTTCTGGAACAAACCCTGCAAGCCAATACCGTTGCGGTTTTAGTGTGTCTTGAGTGCGCTGTTCATACTGCTATAAAACCTGTCAAGGCAACCACTTCTGATACCACTCTGATACGGTGACACCCTGGCCTGGAGGACCACTACAACTAGGACCACAGGTGCTATTTCCAGTCAAATGTCCCTGGATAAGGAGACCACTTGTTCACGGAGGCCATATTTGGATCAAAGGAAGCATAAGGTCGCTTGAGCGGTTGGCTTAGACAGGTTTCTCTGTATGTATTTCAGTTTTACTAGTTGTAATACGATTTCTTTTAATTCCTGTCTTGATGTCGGATATTTAGTGCATTGTTCTGTATTCCTTTTTTTGTGTATGCTGGCCAGTGTTTGCAATGACAGTGTGGAGAAATCAGGTTGTGAGCCGAGCATTGAATACCTGGTTCCTTGCGTGGCGTCAGAGACAGGTGGTGGCGGAGCACGAAGAGCAAATTTGCGCGCTGGGAGAGCGAGCCATCAAGCGTCGGTGGTTTCTTCAATGGCAGTATGGTATCCGTACTGAGCATTTCTTGGGCTTTGGGCTTGGCTTGGCGCACAAGTTGTAGTTCATATGAACGTAGTATTGACTGTGCGAACACAGGGCACACCTACACTGCACTGTGTGGTCATCACCCCAATAGAGGCAATGCAAGAAGAACTACACACCACTTACTCAACTCTACTATAGGTGTCTTCTTCTACGTTGGAGTAGTTGTTTGCATTGTACTTGACCAACTGTGCATGAACGTCCTTGACTGGTTATCTAGCTGTGGCTTACAGGGAGCACAAGCGGCAGCTGGTTGACCGTGCCACCGATGTCTTCCTGGTGACGCTGAAGGTATGTTGGTACTGGTTTGCGTGGCCGCTTGGGTGTCGAATCTGACTTTACGTTGCAAGCAGCATGCCGTAGGGTGGCGTCTGAGGCTAGCTGTAGGACTCCTGGCTGGCAATTTTTTAAAATAAATGACATTAGGAGAGAATCGAAGGCTGTCTTGGAGTATGGAAGGGGAAGGGGGGGGGGGGGGGACGAGGGGCATGCTTTCCACAACAGAAAAAGGGCGCTTGCAGAAAGCATGGGTAGAAATATTCTGGTTTTTGATTGTTCACCTTGGGGCTTCATCAGGATGTTGGTGGTGGTGGTGGTAGTTATAGAAGAATGATTGTGGATTTTCTGCCAAGGGTCCTCCGCACGCTTAATCACTACGTTCTTTCCCGTACTATGAAGTATAAACCGGGCTAAACCTGAAGAAATGCTGTTCATACTCTGTCTGAGGTTTTGAAGTATGTTTGAAAAAGGTTTGGAAAGGATATGGGATTTTCGGTGCAACCCTGCGTGCCGTAAAACGTTTGTTTGCCTGTTAAGGCCACACGTTTTTATTTCTATGTTTCTCGTCACCCGCGCGCATACGATTCAGGAGTCTGGAAGAAAAAAAGAAAAAACTGTACTGCACTGACTGTGCATGTGGGGACCAGTACACTCAAGCACATGTACATTAAATGTGGCCTGGCCTGCGCGACACATGATGCGAGGTCGGCATTTTTGTGCGCAATCTAGCTGCACATGCACAGATTGCGACAGAAGCTCCTACCACATACTAGTTGCTAACTGTGGATGATATTTTGCATGGTGTATTGGTGGATTTTAGTGTGAACAAAGGTCTAATATTTATTTTTCGGTCATTTTTTATTTTTTTCCACCTCTCACATATGTTTTTAGATTTTTAGGTGTAGAGAAACATAGAAATAAAAACGTGTGGCCTAATAGGTGCGACGAATGTGAGTTCAGGCACCTAGAACGAACCAGTACTGAGCCCTTTGGTGTGCATGTATTCGTTGCATTCATCAGGAAAGGCCATGCTTATGACTGTGATATGAATGCAGCATCCAAACAGAGTACAGTACAGTATGTTGTGTTTCTGCTGTCTGCTCCAGAGGACTGCTCTTAATCATTGGGTATACTACTATCGCAGACAAGAGGCGCAGAGAGCAGCGATTGACAAGGCCACTGCTTTTTCCAACAGACAGGTTTGTTCATGATGATCTTAAGTGTGTGCAGGTGTGGGTGTGGATGGGAGTGAGGTGTAGGGTGTGGGGGTGGTTGCAAATCTACACGTACACGTTTTGTGTGGATGTATTGGCAGCTCAGCAGCTTCTACACAGACGAGATACGGGGAACACGTCTTGTGTTGTGATGTCATCCTCTGTTGTACTGAGTCTGCAGTGACTACACCATAGGGTTGCATGTTCCTTTGCTGCCTTGTATGCGTATGGCGGTGTCTATCCCCTGATTGAATATCATAGACACATAGAGAGTGCTAGTGGTTGTCATGTCGAGGCAGGTGAATGATAGACTGACGTGCTATGTTATTGCCTTCGTCTTACTTGTAGGTGCTTTCTGCACTTGTACCAAATAGCTGGCGATTGCACTAACATGAGCACTACGTGGAACTTCTCCTACAATGTTGAATTTTCCTTCGCTCTTTTCTACATTTCCCTTTCAGATGTTACACCGATTTTGGCTGAAGTGGTTGTGTCGATGTGAGTCAGAGGAGGAGACACGTCTGGTAGCGGCTACACATCGAGCACGCACTCATCGCAGGTAAGGGCTAGCAGGTGGCTGACAGCACTTGTTCCACTGCAACAGATACCGATTGGACTGCAACACGTCGAGTGAAAGGCTCGCGCTGGACCTAGTCGCACGCGTATGTAGCCATTCACAACACATGTCATGTGTGATGTCTCTGTTTAGTGTTGACTCCTATTCAGTATCTTACTTTCTACATTCTCATGGTCGCAACATATTTTCCAATGGGCTCAAGACAGCACCATGGTTTTCACGCACTTTGGAGGACGTGTCCTCAAAACGATTATTTCCATAGCCGCCATTCGAAATCAACTGCTCAAACCGTACAGTGCATGTAAAAATTACCCAGGAGTTTTACTACTCCCTGGGCCAAAGATTGGTGATTGTGAATGTTGAATGTCATGGAGCCACTTTACTCTGTGCGACGGTTGACATGTTGGTACAGTATACTGTAGTACATGTACCAGACACGCTGTTGCACCAAAACTGTCTTCGGTACGCCGGACAGACCAACTACGCGTCCGATGTCATTGACAGATGTTGTGTCACACTGCGGCATCGTGGCTTCTGAAACACGTTGCCATTGATCATGGTGATTGTAGAAAAGAAGTGCCATCTTGATGTCTGTTATGTGGAGGTTCACGTACACACTTCAGGGATGAATTTACTGTCACGTTTTTGCATAGCAGTTTTTGCTATGCAAAATCTAATTTGTGGCGTAAGCTACGAAAAGCATGGATCGCCTGTACATGTATGTATCGCAGCTTTCTGCGTGTCACTGTGATTTTTGAGTAGCAGTAGATCGATTTTGCGTAGCAAACTGCGATGCGATACAGGATAAATTCATCCCTGCACTTGCATATGCCTACACAAGCATGCACAGCATAGTCTAGAATCAGGTTGTCCAGTCCTTGAATGCAGTGTACACTCTTCTAAAATGATTGTTAACTCCTGTGTGTTACTTGTGTGTCCGTTGTGCCCGTCGATATGCAGCAAGGTCATGCTGCGGCGTTGTTTCCGCCAGCTATCAGACTATGCAGTGTACCGGCGCCGGCGTAAGGTAAATGGAGGCGGTGTAGAATGTCCTGCTCCAGTTTTCGTCGCAAGCACTAGACATTGCAAAAGATCGCCAAGTGCTTCTCTTGCAGCCGCTGCTTTCACATGCACTTCAGGTGTTCATGGATGCAATGCATGTGTCAAATGCCTTTAGAAACATTTTGGAAGTTGTTGACTGTTTTCGAGTGGCAAGAGCATGCATGCATGCATGCATCATGTACCATTCACACCTATGCTTTCACGTCATGTCCCGTCGTAATCACTAGCCTGCTGCTACACACCATGCTTGTCATCACTGTCTTCACCTTGCTTACTTGTCATGTGTGTGAAGGCTGCGTATGCCACTGCCGACAGCCACTTTGCCAAGAGAGTACTGCCAAAGTAAGCCACACACTGCACTGCACTGCTTGACGTGTGTGTGTGTGTCTGTGTGCCTGTGTCTGTTTGCGTGCGTGCGTGTATCAGTGTGTGAGTGTGTGTGTGTGTGGTGTGTGTGTGCGTGTGTGTCTGTGTGTGTGTGCGCACGCGCGTGTGTGTGTGTGTGCGCACGCGCGCGTGTGTAGAAATGTGTGAATGTATGTACATCCATATCCATGAACATCAAATTTGCTACAAAAGTAGTTGTCCTGTTGATACCCAGTAATGACCAGTTTTCTGTATCTTTGTACACTGAATTGCACAGGTATTTTCACCAGTTTCAAATCTATGTGCATATCCAGAAGCAGCAGGCACACAGATTACTCCAGGCTGAAGACTTTCGCCGGTAAGTCAATATTCGAATTTGTGATTGCTCTAGTTGTGTTGTCGGGGTTACAATGTCAGATATTCGAGTGTTTTATTTCCAACATGTGGGTGTGGGTGTGTTCTGTCTGGTCTTCTAATCATTGGCGTATTGAGTATACCGCCAGTCTGAAGGCATGTTTATCGGTAGTCTCTGTAAATAAACCCGAGTACTAGTAGGGGAACGAGAGAGAGAGAGAGAGAGAGAGAGAGAGAGAGAGAGAGAGAGAGAGAGAGAGAGAGAGAGAGAGAGAGAGAGAGAGAGAGAGAGAGAGAGAGGGAGGGAGGGAGGGAGGGAGAGAGAGAGAGGGAGGGAGGGGGGGGGGGGGGGATACAGCGGATAAATTTCCACGCAGCGAAGCTGGGTGGAGTCACCCCGCGATGACAGTTCTGAACATAGTGGAGAACATGGATCAGCTTTAACTTCCCTCAAATAGAAGGGAGAAAATATTCACGTTCTTCATTGAAAACGCCTGGGGACGCAGCTGCCTTGTGCCAAAATAGTCATTCATCGTTGCCATGTGCTCTCTGTTCTCTCTTTGTCTCGGCTTGTTAGGGAAAACCTCCTTGCTTGCTTCTTCTACCTGTGGGTGTCAAGAGCTGAGCAGGTGTCTGAATGCCAACACACAGACCATCAAGTGAGCAGTGCAGTTTTGCTGTTCTTGAGTTCTTATCTCACAGACTAGAACAACAAATATGACCGGAACATTGACAGTGATTGCTGTAGGGGGAGCCACAGCAAGACAACCATCATCTTGCATGCTCAGCAGAATTATCCCGCAAGAGCGAAAAAAATACCGTGTCTTCGAAAGCAGTGAAAAATGGTGCAGAAAGAACGCCCGGCGCCCATCCACGTGTCCACGATCGATCAATCCAAAATCGGACTGCAGGGTGCATGCAGCCTGCAATGCAAGCGCTTGCGCGCTGTACTGTGTACTACGGTACCAACCTGCCGCCGTAACGGGTGTGTGCAGTCCTGAATGGGTCACCCTACTGCACAAACTGCCCTGACTGCCGCCCTTTTCAGAGCTTGTATTATAATGTATATGTAGAGCGTTAAGCCTGATTCATACTTCCATCTCGCGTATGGGAAACCCGTCGCGCGATGGGTTTCCCGTACGCGAAATAGTTGAGCTCAGATCAACTTTTTTGCGACGTGACACGTTTCCCGTCGTGACATGAAGTATGAATCGGCCTTAAGAGCTTGCAGGTCGTCATTTTCGATCGAGCATTTTGCTTCGTGTTCAATGTCAGAATATTAACCATCGTAAAATCTAATTTCAACAGTGTGTGTATGTACGTGACCCCCGTGCTTCACGAACTTTTGCCGTCGCAAACTCGCTGGTTCTAAGAAAGCGCGAAAATTTAGTGACGCGAATATTGGGCGGTTTACAGTAAGCATGGATTCTGACAAGGAACCTAGGCGAGAAGCTGATCCTCCTGGATTGAAGAAAAAGCCGAAAAAGCTGCCCTAGCTTCAAAGAGTCGTGGTCGCTACCGTCAGGAATAACGTAGAGCAAGAAGGGTTGTAAAAAGTTGTTCAGTATCGGGGGTTTTTTCTCTTCCAAATTACACTCAGAATCAGTCAGAATGTTGACCTGAAAAAACGAGTACGCAAAACTCTCTCTGAAAATTTTCAAAATGGCACTGGGCAGTACGCATGGGGGTAGAGGGCACTTGGTAGCACTGCAGACCGTGCCAGTACCCACTCTGGACTAGAACTTGCAGCATTGCTGCAGCCCTGTAGTGTTGCGGTGTGTGTTTGCGCAAGTGCTTGGAACGTCGGTGTTGGAAATATCCTAGTAGTGTGTGGGTGTCTGCCCTACACTGGGTACACTGGGCTGGTGCATAGGGATTTGAGACCTACTGCAACGGAGTGGCGTTTGTTCTGTGCATGGGATGCAGATACACAGAGCACGAGTATTTATTGTGCTTTACGTTCTGATAATGATGAACTAAACTAGAGTTAAGACATAGCAAAAGCTGTAGCTTGTTCAAAGCAGCGAACAAGAAGACCGACGAACGGACTCTTGACTGCAACGCCATGCATATTCCTATCGTAACTAGACGAAGACAGTTTGGGGATTATCATCACAATGACCAGCACCGGGTAGTTCTACAGCTCCATCAAGAAGCTCTTTGTATTTTACAGGCACGTGAGCTACTCATGTGTTCTCTCTCACTCTCTCTGTCTCTGTCTCTCTCTCTCTCGCGTGCGCGCGCGCGCGTGCACTTGCTTGCTTGCTTGCCCTCTCTCCCTCTCTCTCGCTCTCTCTCTCTCGCTCTCTCTCTCTCTCTCTCTCTCTCTCGCTCCCTCTCTCTCTCTCTCTCTCTCTCTCTCTCTCTCTCTCTCTCTCTCTCTCTCTCGCGCTTGCTCTCGCTCTCTCTCTCTCTCTCTCTCACTCTCCAACTGTCATCCGTCCATTCATTTGCCCGTCTACATTTCCCTAGCTACAAGTGTATCAGTGTATCACTCTTACGTATTTTTCTCACCAGGCTGCTGAGCACCATTCATCTGTTCTGTGTGTCAAGTACTTTGGTGTATGGCGAGATCGCTATTGCAAGGCTCGGCAGCTTCTTGTTCTTCATGTAAGTTGGCTACTTTACCCAAACCACTCTTGGCATCTCACTACCGCTATTGAGGATAGAAGATTCTTCCTTGGCGTTCTTGAGGGACATGTTTATTATTTAGCATTTCACCTTTCAACTGCGAATCTAATGTTAGTTTTGCTAGCATTGTTTTTCTTTCTTTCATGACTTCATACTCTCCCTTTTGCCTTTGCTTCTCTTGTTCCGTAGGAGCGTGCAGTTGATGAAGATGAGCAGCGACTGTGTATGTGGGTGCTGAGCACATGGAGACACGCTCTGGCTGAGCGTAATCACATGTAAGAGGCTTGCATGGCGGTGAGCCTTGTTGAAGCGGCCCATGTCGAATGATTCGTGTTCAATTAGGTAGTACTGTGTGCTGAGAACCAGTGATGCAAACTGATAGTCTAATGTTCGAATGTGTTCAACACACCCCTGAAAAGAATGTGTTCAACACACCCCTGAAAAGAATGCAGCCAACTGTTTATTGAATAGATTCATATCTCCTCGCCAAGCAGAGCACATACATGTGCAGGAACTGTCGCTAGCACAGGCAATCAACTGAAAAGTTCATAAGTTACGCAACCGACAGCTGGGTCAATGGTGCTTGCATTCCAACTGACATCCTATGTAGAGTCCTGGCGTGCCTACTAGGGCTGGAAATAGTCAGCTGAGCAATGACAGTCGTAGAGGTTTGAACATGCGTGCGCAAATCTGGTATTCACGTTCTTTGCATCACTGCTAAACGAAGGGTTGCCGCACTGAGATACTCTGGAGCCTTTGCTCGAGCACTATCAGTGACAGGGAATTCCGATCATGCACTGCAGCCATGTAGTATTCAATGGCTGCTTTCTCTCTCTCTCTCTCTCTCTCTCTCTCTCTCTCTCTCTCTCTCTCTCTCTCTCTCTCTCTCTCTCTCTCTCTCTCTCTCTCTCTAGCCAAGAATGTACCCAGAAGGCCGACATGCACCACCGAAGGTCTACCCTCTCCCGCCCATTCCAGCTTTGGAGACAGGTATGTGTGACTTGATCCTGTTCTAGTATCTAGATCAAGAAGACCATGGCACAGGCAATGATACAAATACATATACTCACTTACTTCGGTCGGGGGAGGCTGTGATCCAAAACGACTAGTTCTGAAATCAAAATCAGTGATAGAAAGGAATATTTTAGAATACCGACACAAGAAGAATATTCCAATGCAGGCAATCACATTCCCATACTCTATTAATACTCGAAAAATGTGTGCTGCGTTGCTGTTTTATGCAGTTCCGACCATGATCTCTGTAGCATTGGACATGATAGGGAAGAAATTATGTTCTGAGAACTGTGAAGCTTGTTCTTTGGTCAAATTTGCTCTTTCACCAGTGGATATTTGACTATCAACGTAATCTGTAGACAGCATGACTGTTGGGTCTGATTGAGTGAAGTGACTGAGCCACTTCAGAAGAACATGGAATAGTCGTTCGCTCGCCAAAGTAATATTCGAGGGACTTCGTTCGAATAAAACACCATTTCTTGCATCACTGATTAAAATCAGTCGCCAGATGATGCAATGTATCTTCGTAGAGAGCAACATGACCGGATATGCTGTAAATTCCTAAAATATGTTTGCATCTGTTTCTGTTTGATCTGTGATGCTTCAGTTTATTGCCACAAAGCGAGGTTCGTACAACCGGCGTCAGCATGCCTTTCAGTGCTGGTCACTGAGGAAGCAGAGGAAAGCTTTTGAGGCGTGGAAGGTATGCACTGCTGATGGCTGCGTTCCAGCTGGTGCTGGTGGTGGGTGGTCATCTTGAGCCACTTCATGTACATAATTATAGCTCTGCTAGCTTTTGCGATGATGTCTGTGTAGTTGCGCATACCCTGGATTACTGTAAGTCAACACATATTCGGCACATACCGGTATTTATTTTTGACTGTTTTCGGCCTAGTCACATTTGGCCGAAGATATGTTACTGCCGAAAAATTGTTTTGCAAGGTTCAGTGTAACAGTGTATACAGGCAGCAGCAGTACAGGCCGAAAATGTAATGAGGCTGAAATGTGTTTTTAGCCCTGGGAGGCCGAAATTTGAATGGGCCGAAAATTTGTAGACTTGCAGTACCATTACGCTGCACTCATCGGGCATGTCATGTCAAATCTTCCTTCGCAGGTACGATACTGTATTTATACCTGCCAGAAGATTGTGTACAGCGGAGCTGGGTCATGCCAAACAATGTGGCATAGACGGGCCTGGACTGCAATTGTTAATTTCCAAATTCCGGCCAACTGTCTACTGCTCCTTCACCTCCGAAACTCCACATTTTCACCTTTCCTAAAAGAACTCAATGCTACTTGTGACTTTTGGCTTTCTATTTGGCACTTCTCCTTGTCAGTGGTTATGAGACTTGTCCACTCACCCCCGCCGTTAGGCGCTGCATCTGCCGCTAGGGTTCACCGGGTGTTGGCGGCCGCCGTGAGTTCCCTTCGGGAACGGACACGATAATTTACTTTGTTTTTGTACTTGTCACTTGTACAGACATTGTTCCAGGCGCGGGATGCTGCAAATCAACTTGCTCTAGCGTACCGACAGGAGAGAAGCCAGAAGCTGTTACGGTAAGGTGCACAAATATCTCCACTGTACGCATTCAACAAAATCACTCGTCTCTGGTAATTTGTCTTTTTGCACCAAATATACCAGGGTTCTAGCCAAAGGGGGGTAGGGGGGCGCAGTGCCCCCCCCCCCCCCCCCCTACTCCGTTTGCGCGCCCCCTGTGAAAAAGTGCCGCCCCCTACTCATTTTCCGATTTTTGTGTTTTTTCACGCCATTCAACGAAAATACAGTCGACAGTCACTACTAGAGGGTGCATAAAGGCACATTTGTGAGGGGTGAAGTCGGGGGTTCACCCCGTATGTTACATTTAGCATGGCAAGACAATTTTGGACAATGGAAAAAAATGGGTCATGGGGTAACTTTTTCCCATGCCCGCCCCCCTACTATTGACCTGGCTAGAACACTGTATACTGCACATGGATGTTTCGTGTCGTTAGTAAGGCCATCATTTTTTATATCTATGTTTCGCGTCAGTTCAACTTCCAGAATCATATGCGAGAGGTGGAAAAAAATAAAAAATTGCAAAATAATAAAAAAGGCATGGTGTACATTCGAAAGAAAAATCCTACATCCAAGCACAACATCTGGGTTATCAGTGTGAGTAAATATTCACTTTGGACAGAGGAGGCAACCGTTGGTGCCCATGTTTCGCTGGATTATTGTACTCAGACTTCAGCAGCGGTGCAAAGAGGTCCGGAACGACGCATCCTCTCAGCTTGAGGCGATCGATGCGGTCTGGTGTAAGCTCATAGAATACTGCTCGCAGATGCCGAACAAATGATTTACCAACGCTGGCCTCGAGGCCATTTCTGAATCCCAGCTTGGCCGTATGCAACCAGTCGACACTGATGATTCGCACAATCGTACACTCACTGTGCATGTTCGATTTTTTTACTTTTTTCCGAAAAAAAGGCAAAACATATGCGTGCGGACGACGCGAAACATAGATATAAAAAATGATGGCCTAAGTATTGTCACACCACATACTTTCGAGGAAGACCAACTCCCGTTGCGAGATGTGCTAAACTCTGTGTATGCATGTCCATGTGTATGTGAGTGTGCACGTGTGCATGTCTGTGTGTGGGTGTGTGTGTGTGGGTGGGTGGGGTGTGTGGGTGGGGTGTGCACGTGTGCATGTCGGTGTGTGGGTGTGGGTGGGGTGTGCACGTGTGCATGTCTGTGTGTGGGTGTGTGGGTGGGTGTGCACGTGTGCATGTCTGTGGGTGGGTGGGGTGTGCACGTGTGCATGTCTGTGTGTGGGTGTGCACGTGTGCATGTCTGTGTGTGGGTGTGTGGGTGTGGGTGGGGTGTGCGCGCGTGCACATACATGCATATGTGTGTGCATGCTTGCGGGCATGTGTGGTTATGTACGCTGCCCTTCAGGAACATTGTGCAGCTCTGGCATTACTGGTCTCGTCACAAACACAACTGCCATCGAATGCTGAACATTGGTGACAATCATCACACCTCGCAGCTTATAGCAAAGGTTTGTGCTCTGTGTGTGTGTGTGTGTGTGTGTGTGTGTTTAGGTTTTCGTTGCCATTCTTCTCCACTCCTACTTTCATACTTTTGAGGTAGACAGATTTGTTTGGCAACAGTGACAGCAGCACTCGGACAGCTGATCAGCTCCGCGGTTTCGAGGCAGTTGCCAATTTCGGTCACTTATTTTATGCCACACTACTTTCGAACAACACCTTGGGCTTGTTTCAACTTTCAGCAACAAATGTCCGTCACCTTTGCTCAACTTCTTTGAGGCTGTGTTTGTCATGGTCAATAGGTGTTCTCACATTGCCAGTTTGTTGCTTGTCTTTAGGTGTTTGTACATTGGCGGAATGAAACACAGCTGGCTACCAACGCACGTCTAGTTGCCCATCACCGAGCAGAAGAAGCCGCTGAGCTCTTGAAGAAAGGTAGGAGGCTAGCAGCCTAGCAGGCCTGGAGTATTGCTCGTGTGTGTTGTTTGTTGCTTGGTATCTCTGTGACGTTGGTGCAAAGTCATAGCCTGATGCACTACATCTGCATCTACATCTGCATCTGCATCTACATCTACATCTGATGCACTACATCTCCTGCTGTACGCCACACCTGACACTACTACATACCTTAGCCATTACTGTTCCTCACTTGCTTTGAGGTTAAAACATGGAGCAGTGTTTTGTTTTTTTAATTCGTTGTCGTCTGCAAGCGTCGTGTGGTCTCGTCGGGTCAAATGAAAAACCCATTACTGTATTTTTACTCCAGCCTTTCAGTATGAACATACTCAGTATTTGCTAGCTAAGCTTGTTGTCTGTATGATCACTATTGCCGTATTGAGGGCACTTCTCTCTGTTCTGCTCTTCGTTTCAGGCTGCCAGACGCGGGTCTTGCGAGCATGGCATGTGTTGGTGCGATACAGGCAACGGGAACGCTGGAAGCATCGCCTCGCCAAAGACATGTACTGCCATGTACTGCTGAGGAAGTCTCTATCAGCATGGAGACTGTTCACTAAGGAGCAGCTCAGCAGAAAGGTATGCGTGTTCAGTCGTTGAGTTTGGCTGTGGAATCTGTGGAGTGGCGGTGCGCAAGGGCGGTGCTTGTGGTGGTGGTGGTGGTGGTGGTGGTGGCGGCCGCTACGACGGCGGAGGTGTTGCTGGTGGTAGCTAGAATCCCATGAAAAGGTCTCAAATACTAGTATTGTATCTGGGTTGAGCACAATCCCTTCAACAAAGACTCACCGAATGAATATCACCCACAACCCTAGTCATCAGCACCCCACTGTGCAATGCAACAATGCGGTAATGAGCATTGCAACACATGCCATGTATAGTTTGGGGGAGGTGGAGTAAGTGAAGACCCCATCAGCTCACTCCCCCCACATGTACAGTACTGGCTCAAATGGTACACGAATGATCGGTGCTGATGGTCATAAGAGAGCCTGGGTGGTGGACCTCCATTGGCCGATTCAAATTCTTGTGGACCATTTCAAAACTTCAAACTAGTAGATGATACTCGTTATAAGACAACATGTTCGAAACCCCCGGGGTTATCTACTATTGAGGGTAGACCTGTACTGTCGTTATTTGCGAGCTGCGTTATACTCATGCAATGCTGTTATTCACGAGGCTTACTGTATGTGTCCGTGTGTACATGTGTGTGTGCGCGCGTGTGTGTGTGTGTGCGCGCGCGTGTGTGTGCTGTAGCTGAGCTATCAGCAGGCTCTACTGCACTACGCCAGCACACTACAACAACGGTCTTTTAACAGCTGGAGACATCAGGTACTCTCTGTCGGTGGGGTTGTTTCTCTAAACCTGCTGTGGGTCCGGAATTCTTGAGAAATTGCTGTTCATGATTAGACGTGATTTCCTGGAGGCTAATTTCATTATAATTATGTAATCGCTGCCGTGCTACCATCTGTTCCCTCTTTGTTGCTACAGGTCGTTGTACATGATCTGGAGAGACAGAAAACAGTGCAAGCGCTTTTCTTTTGGAGCTGTTGTTTGCGGCTTAAAGTAAGTGGAAGCGCTGTGTGTATAAATCTGTCCGTGTCTTTCATTTGAAACGATTCAGCTTCCAACTGTGGCTTAAACAAATTGATGAACCCTGTGGATTCCTGGTGTGTCTGGTGTGTGATATGCTGGTACAGTAATAGCAGAGTTTTTTTCACTTGGGTTCGAATGTGCTACAAATACAGCACTGCCATGGCAAGGCGGATGCATGGATTCATACTCGTTTGAACTTTTGAAGCAGTTTTCTTTACTGTAGGGTGACGGATAAAAATCACTCCAGACGTGAGCGGCTGGTCGTACGTTCACCACAAAAAGGCCACTGAAGAGTGCATTCAAACGTACTAATCTTACGTGAAATCAATACCTAGTTGTGTTATCACTTTCAGGCCCGGTAGCATTCTGCTACAGAAGCATACAGTATGAAGTGCATGCTGCAGGTTATGTGTACATGTACACGCTTGTGTTTGGTGTGAGTACGGTATCCGGTGTACTGGAGATGTACCAGTATGATTGTATTTTCTGACCTGACCCTTGTACAGGTTCTGCATGCCTGGCGTGGCTATGTGTTGCACCGGCGTGAGCGACGACGGCGCTATCAGCAAGCGCTGGTCCAACACCAGAACCACTTGCTCACCGTTGGCCTTGTGCAGTGGGTTGCTGTGAGTGCTCGTTGGCGATCAGTTTGATCAGCTGCTGAACTTCGATGTACCGCTGGGTACATGTGACGGGGTGCTGTTTCTACCTGTTTAGACTAGTGCTGTGTCCGTTGTGTGTGTGTGTGGGGGGGGGGGGGGGGGGAGCTGTAGTGAGAGCGAAGGTCAAGTGGCTAGGTCACGATCAGTGTTCTAATTGATGTTTTGCTTGCTATGTTTACAAGCCCGGGTATACACTCCTTGTATCTTCTCCTATAGGTCGGTGATGATCTGGCAAGACGACGCCAGGAGCATGTAACTGCAAAACACTCAAAGGTAAGGCAAGCGTGTCCACTACGGTGTTGGCATTCCTGGCAACCCCACCAGTCCCCCCTCCCCCAATTGCATATCATCTAGGTTCAAGTACTGTGTTTTTGCTTCTACGAGTACCGTATTTCCCCGAATACAAGTCGCACCTTTTTACACTAAAATTCAAGGGTAAAAAAGGGGGTGCGACTTACAATCGAGCACGACTTACTACTGAAGTGAATATTATCAAAACATTATGGCTCAAACCTGAAAATGGGGATGCGACTTACAATTGAGTGCGACTAATAATCGGGGAAATACGGTACGTGTACTGAGTATCTGGTTGGACACCATATGAGCAGTAATTCGTACGTTGCCAATTGCCTTGCCTAGGACATTGTGCGGTAAACCCTTATGTAGCTGGTGTGTGTGTATGTGTGTGTGTGTGTGTGTGTGTGTGTGTGTGTGTGTGTGTGTGTGTGTGTGTGTGTGTGTATGTGTGTGTGTGTATATGTGTGTGTGTGTGTGTGTGTGTGTGTATGTGTATGTGTATACTGTAGAGGCAGAATATTTCGTCGGTCAATAATTTCGTCCAACTCCAAAGAAAAGGAGTTCGTCCGGATGAAAATTTCGTCCATAGATCATAAGAGTGTATAGAAACGCTGGACAAATCGATATTCGTCCTACATTAATTTAGTCCAAAAGCTCGTTGGACGAAAACGACGAAATTAAATTCCAGACAAATATTTCTGCTTATACAGTATGTGTTGAAGTGGGTGTGTGTGTGTGTGTATGTGTATGTGTGTTGAAGTGTGTGTGTGTGTGTATGTGTGTGTGTGTGTGTGTGTGTGTGTGTGTGTGTGTGTGTGTGTGTGTGTGTGTGTGTGTGTGTGTGTGTGTGTGTGTGTGTGTGTAGGGGAGGGGAGGGGGGCTGCTTGTGTGTTTGTCTGCATCCTCTGAATGATTGTATGCATCTGTCTAACTACTCTGGTTGTGCTAGACGGCCGTGCTGACGCTGAAGTGTGTGTGGCGCTGCGCACTGCACTGGCGTCAGTGGACCAGGCGACGTATTCAAGAACGCTGCAACACATCACAGCCTCCATCAGTCGCCAGAGGCTTAAATCGCAATCCGCTGGTTAGGCCACACCGAGTGCGATTTAACACCGCACCTTCTCCTCCTCCGCACAGGCACTTGGCGAACATTGACGTTTGCCGAGCTCTTCACTTGGACCAGGATGAACGCAAGGCAATAGATCAACACACTGCCCAGCCTCACGCTGTGGTTGCCGGTATGTAATATACATGGCATGGTGTTGTGTGGCATGTGATGTGTGTGGGCTCGCATCATTCCAGTGGCCACGAAGTTTTTTTTCATCTCTGGTGAAATTGGGATTGTTGTCGGCGGACTCTAATGTTTCATACTTCAGTGCTGGTAAGTGAAAGCTGACCTCATGAATAAAGCAGTGTCACATTCACTGCACCAACCGGCTTTCATTGGTAGCAAGGCTGTGCAGTGTCACATTCACTGCACAAACCGGCTTTCATTGGTAGCAAGGCTGTGCAGTGTCACATTCACTGCACAAACCGGCTTTCATTGGTAGCAAGGCTGTGCAGTGTCACATTCACTGCACCAAGCGGCTTTCATTGGTAGCAAGGCTGTGCAGTGTCACATTCACTGCACAAACCGGGGCAGCTCTATTCATGAGGTTGAATTTTGCTTGCCACCACTGTACTCCTGTGTTCTATATTGTCACCATTGTCCCCCGCCTGACACTCCCCCAGCGCTGCCAGGCTCTTTGAATAGCTTACACATTCCAGGGCAACTTAACACCTTGCTTGTTCATATTATATGTATGATATTATTGTACATTAGAATCAACTCGTAAAAACTCCAAGTCAATCTCCCATTGACACAAACCTCGTTTATTGAACATAATCATATCCTATCCAATAAAAACAGTTCATAAAAACAGTTCATAAAAACAGTTCATAAAAACAGCTTTTTAGGATCGGACCCAATCCGCATAACCAAGAGAGCTAGCTCCCTTGGCTGCTGTTGGAATATGCAAGAATGGGCCTTCCACATAAGGTCTAACAAGGAGCAGTGGCTATAGTTATGAAATGAACACCGGTAACCATGGAGACAGACCACACTCTCATTATAGATACTGGTTATAAATAGACCGAATAAGGAAAATGATCTGATAGCCTATGAAGACTAAAAGAAATTGAACCAATGACAACAAATACTCGTCCAGCACACGGGTTGTCATAGCAACACAAATAACAGCTGTCCGCTAATTTTGTTGTTGGAGATTGAGTAGGAGTTTTTACTGGTTGATTCTAAATACAATAAATGCTCCGGCCTTGGGTTTATGACCAATAAAAACTAATTATAAAAACCTCGGGGGACCTCGGTTTTTATAATAGTTTTTATTGGTCATAAACCCTCGGCCTCCTCATTTATTGTATACGTAAAACGGGTAACTAAAGACCACCGTGACTAGCGACCAGCCTGGTACTACATACTACTGTGCCAGGCACGGACGGTCTGACATTCATTATATGGTTGTGCGGTGCAAATCTCTAACTAAGAACCACCTGCCACTAAAGACCGCTTTCTCTGGCCCCAGGGGGTGGTCATTTGTTACAGGTTTTACTGTACATGCTGTGTGCTATGTGTCTCCAGGCCTCACCACACATCCTAGCATGCCCAGTGGTCGATCAGCCGTTGAAATCTTCAAGCAGTAAGTGTTGTATGATTTTATGAAGTAGTGCTTACATGTACTGTTAAGTGGGAAACTTTCACTACAATATAGGGATTTCTGTGTTTCCGTGGCCATGACACATTTATTATTGTAGTTTTATAGATCACACATTTTGTGAATTTAAATCACCACAGACTGCTCTGTGCTTCGATTGTGGGCAATAGAAAAGACGCAAAAAAATTCATCGCAGGCCATTGTAAGTCTTGAAAACGCCCAGTTTTCACGCAGTGAAAGTTTCTTGCTGTGCAGTACTTTATATCGAAACCTTTCCCTTGTTTAACTCAGCACGGTGCGTGTACTGTGTGTCGAAACTGTATATACAGCTGAAGAACGCTGGGTAGCTGACATATTGGTGCCAATATGGGAACGGGCAACAGAGTGGTACATGTAACTGTAGCAGTCACACTCCTATCCTTCTCCAAATGGCAGCAATCGAGCTGCACTTTCTGTAAACTGGGTAATGGCTTGCGGTGTATCGTAAAGCTCGTTGTGTTTATTACAGTCAGAGCTCTCTGACTTTGATTCTTTGAGCCAGTTACAAAAAGTACTTTGCTGTCAATTAGACTTCATTCGAAATCAGTTCGGCCAGTCACTCTGAGCTCCGCTGACGAGATCTAACAAGGTGGAAACAGCTAGCTGTCCGGAGATTTAGGGTCAACTGGCCATAATTTTGTGGGTCCATTCGTGCTCGAAACCTTCTCTTCCTTTCTCTTGTTGAGCAATTACTACAGGAAATTTTAATCTCGCTGCGTCTGCTTTGCTTGTCTTCGTGCCCAGGTTGGTTGAGAGGCGCAGTTCAGGCAGTGGTCTGCGAACAGTGCCACGCCAAGCTGTGCTCGCCAGTACGAGAATGCCTGGTGTTTCCGCTGCTGCAAATAGTGAGAAGGGTGATGAGTCTGTACAGACCAAATCCACCACCAGCAGGGTGACGAGTCACTCTGTTATGCTGAGCACTGCGGCGAGTCCTGCAATAGAGCAGGAGCTGTTATTACTTCGGCCACTCGCACGTCATGACGATCTAGCTCAGCCATCTAACGTCGTTGCTAAAGATATGCCAGGCCCAGCCGCCTCGAGTGTGCACACTGTGCATGCGTTGCGTGACCCAAGACCAAGCCATGTAGCCTGCCCTGGTGCAAGGTCTATTCCTGCCAGTTCACTCTATCTGCCACCTCCAAGTGCATTCGTTCTGGATACGACTGCAGCACTGCCAGTCTCGAGTCCAGCTGCTCATGTCAGTGTGCAGACAAGCACCAGGCTAACGCCAGCTGTGATTGACTGCATCACAGTCACACCAAGTACTACTGGTGCCAGCTCAGCGCTCCTTCCACCTTCAGCATTCACTTAGCCTGCAGAGGAATGATTACTTGAGGTAATCAGGAACTGCTGTTAGCCTGTACTTGTACGTGCGTGTTCCCATGCTACTACAGTTGTGGTAAGTGTCATTCAGACGTGTGCCTACTTTCAGAGCCGGAGGCAAACTTGACAACCTCTGATCAACCTGTGCTACTGTGGCGAGAGCGCTCAGGACATGCAGGCCGAGTGGCCGTTGTTGCGCTGTAAGTGTCCATTGGTCCATTGCGGAATTGACTTACCGCAGCTGGTACTAACAGTGCCAGCACAGTAAAAACAGTGCATACAATCCCTACATTGTTAGGTTTGTGCTATTATCTCCAATAGCCAGCTTTGTGTCAAGATCCACACTAACCAGAGCGTACTGTCATTCACAGGCTGTGAACATAGATTATTTATCTTGAATATTATTTGAAGCCTTGAATCCCTATTGCTCCGTATTTATCAGTTGTCCACAGATCTATTCAGCTCCCATAATTATTCCAACGATTAACAAACAGCCGAGTCTACCCATAATCGTAATATTATTCTCTTGGTTTCCACCATGGACTACTTCGAATTCACGTTGAGTTTTTTCCCTCTCTTTAAGTCGACCGCTACATGCACAGTAGAGTCGCCCACCAAGGAACATGGAGCCCAAGACCGTCCAGGCTGAAATTCTAAGATCAAGAATGTCGATGTTCGTGTTCTGGCAGCTTCTGTACCGTGCTACGGTATGTATGTAACGTTAGTAGTGTGTGCATACGATCCGGTATGAATTGTTTCTAAGAATGTAATAAGAGTAGTTCTGCTTTGCGAGAAATCATGTGGAGAACAGGTGTATGGGTTACTCTACGGCTCCGAGTGTTTACAAAAAGGTCTGGCAGGGTCCAGGAGTACCATATTTGACGACTCCCTGGTCCAGATTTCCACGCGGAGATGAGGTTCTCTACACTGTGGCGCTCACAAAATAAATACGTAGACTACGGATCTGCTGGTTATCATTCAGATCAGGCTGAAAACTGCCAAATTCGAAACGGGAAATTCTCAACACAAATTGCACGAACGTAGAGCAGAACAGGTTTGGTCTACGTAACCAGGTAACGCGAAGAGTGTTCCCGGGATTCTTCGCTTTGCGTTCCCGTAACGTTACGTAGAGCATCACTGAGAACGCAGACGTTGATAAGAGGCTTCTTGGGCGCTCGCAACTCTACTGATTAATTATCAAGAGTAAAATAAGCCCCGCTAGCTTCATGTACTGAAATCATGTACTTCAGATGTCGATCAGTGAAATATTAGTAGTATCCCTGCCATTCAGACAGAATCGTGTATTGGCAAGTATATGTACATCAGGGAGTCATACCCAAACCATTGTTGGGTATGACTCCCTGATGGACAGTGATATGAACGACTATTAATTGTACCTGAGAACCAAATTCCAGTGTACATGAAATGGCATTAGCCAATGGTTTCGCACACAGGCATCACACTGGCCGTTGTATCTACATGTACTTCCACAGGAGGAAGCAACAACAACACACCCCAAAGACACACACACCAACTGAAATCCATATTCGCACAACAGCCGTTGTATTTCCCAATGATGGTGATGAGAGAGAAGAGAATAAAAGCCTTGCGGTGATGTTTAGTATGAACTCTCTATTCTAGAGCAGGGAACTCAAAGGTAACATCCTTGCCAGTGAGCCTCTTGTAGACGCCGGTGAAGGTCTCCAGCTGCACACAACACACAGCAACAACATAAAACACATGTTACATTCTCATGACAAGCAAGTGGATATAATTTAAACACTGGCCCCCAAACATCATCTCAAAGCTATTCCGCATCGCAAGGGGCAAAGCTGTGCAGGAAGGGTATTATCTGCACGTTTCGAGTATGTAACAATAGAGGACAGTACTCTAGAAAACTAACTCACCCAATGCAGGAAACAGCCATAGAAAACTCCTTCTATATTAACTACAAAACATGTATTTTCAAAGGGAAATCCTTAGACTTCCAAATCTATACTTGGCTCCCTGAATGCAAGTTTTAGATCCTTAGAAGTACCAGAGGCTCAAGTCAGCCGTACGTGTAACGTTACAGTGAATATCAAACTCGAGAACTGAGAATCAAAACGTTGACCCCTTCCGCGAAATACCAACACCGGGATACCAATCCCCACTACAAGCCAACACAACTGACCTTGTGCTCGATGTTGGTCTGCTGGGCCTTGTCAAGGTGACTGCATGTAGGCAAAAAAGAGAGTTTTCACCATATCACCAAGCACAATAACATCAAATGGGCCAAGAAATTCACACAGAGGTTTAAATAACTGTTCACCGAGATGTTATCTTCTACTATCTTCCGCTATACATTGCGTAAAATCCACAACAGCCAATATGACTGTCAGGGGTTTACTTGAGGCCGTTAAGCGAACGCTTCTATCGCTCAGAAACAGACAAGTACACTCCTGTTTTCAAGCAAGGATTATCTCTGATACAGCTCAACCATAGCAGAAGACAGGTGGCAGTACAGTATCCCACCCATTCATGTTCAATGATCTACGGGTAGAGTATCCAAGCCACATCATCTGGAACAGTCTAACGGGTAGAGTATCCCACACATATCATCTGGAACAGACTACCCTTCATCTAGGTTCCAGGAGCATACCTTCAGTGATGGGCACCAACACACACACACGCACGCACACATACACACAGAGTAAAGTAACTCTTACACTTTGATAAGATGGCTACCATCCAGCTTGACACGAGTGCGGCGTCCGACAATCTCAGCGGGGTACACCAGATCCTCCAGGATGGAGTCGTGGACATGGGTCAGGGTGCGGCTAAAGGAAGGAGTCAAACCCACAGCAATGCATAGACGTTACTTGCCAACTACAGAATGTGACGGGAAGCATAACCAGTTGCCCAATTCTTTCGTGTGTGGACTAATATACAAGGCAACTTCCTTGCATTTCCTTTCACCAGGCAGTCGTACCAACTTTTAGGACTCCCTGCTTACACACACGCATGCAAGGTAGAACTTTGCCTGTATGTTGCATGGAAAATGTAGTCTGAATGCAGTCTTGGGAAAAGCTGTATTTTTAACACCATGGCTCAGTGGTTAGAGCATCGCTGGCCTCAAGCGAGGGTCCCTGGTTCGAGTCCTGTTCGTGACAGTCAATTTTTTCTTCAGACTTTTCCCGTTCGCGTCTTTCCCTTAAACCAGTGAATATCTTATGACTTGGGGCTCCCCGCGTGCTAGTTAGTACGTGAAGTGTGTGGGTTACAGTGAGGGCTGTGTCCCACCCGCCTATGTGGATTCACAGGAAGTGAGTTACGAAGTCTGGGGAGAATGCTGAACAGTCTCTGCTGGGATAACGACTACACCATGGCTCAGTGGTTAGAGCATCGCTGGCCTCAAGCGAGGGTCCCTGGTTCGAGTCCTGGTGGTGAAAGTCAATTTTTTCCTTCAGAGTCTTCCCGTTCGCGTTTAAGTATCTTGTACAGGGTACTAGATGTTCATAGTCTGAAGAGCATCGAAACATTAAAGAGCTCTCACCTGCGTGGCCGGAGCTGCTTCTGACGGGATCGGCGGGTAGGCTTAGCCAAAATCCTCCGCTGGAAAAGGGCAACGACAACGACACAAACATGGAGGCATACACTCAGGCATTGGCAAAATGGTTGCAACAGGAAAAATCGGCAGTCACCAACAATATGTAATCCAGCGAACTGCATACACAGTTCCTTATTTTGCGTTAATAATGCACATAAACCAAACAAATTTACCTGGGCAAGGAAGATGACATGGCGGCTGAATTTCTTTTCCAACTCGCGGACCAGTCTGGTCTATGGGAGCATTAAGCAGAAGCAAACAAAACCACAACAAAATCACTTGATTTACTCCCTCTGGCAACTTAATATGATAGCGAAAGTAATTGCACATGTGATAAATACATGTACGACGAAATACTTCAAATAGTAACTATGGCTGTCTTCATAAAAATGAATAAAAATTGACGCAATGCCTGATTTCAAAAGAGCTAAAGCCAAAAATTAATAATCATTCTTGAGGTTGAGAAACAAACTTTAATCCCCTCAACCCCGTCGACCAGAATTATAACATTGGGAGTGACCCAGGAGTGCAACGATGCCATCACAATCCTGACTTGGGGCTCGGGGCCAATGATTTTCATGAACGAGTGAATGTTTGATCATGCCATTGTGAGGCGATAATTCTCAATCTCATTGATCTGATAATTCCCACATAGTGTGAACACACGGGCGCAAAAGCCACAAGGACAGACAGTCAGTATAGGTAGTCTTTACTATACACTGGTCAAGAAATAATATACAATACCTCTACTTATGACGAAAAAATTGAGGCTCCGTTGAGAAAAATGCAGACAAAATACTTACATGAACACGTTGAAGAGTTCTCCACAAAGGCACGGGAACGAAGATCACCAGAGGCTTTCTACTACCGAGCTCGAATTCCTGAACAAGGAATGGATTCCAAGAAGGATCGCATTGGCTGACTCTGTTCGGTTGACTCGATGTGATCAAGGAGACCAAAACTTACCCTAGCTCCGGTGATAGTAATCTCACGGAGAGATCCTTTCAAGTCGGACTTACTGTCCAGCTCGATGAGAGCCTACATAACACACACACTAATGATTAATTTCCCTGCATCTGGATGGATTCTATCACCAAAAAGGTCCACAAACCTCGTTCACAGAGGACAACATATCAGCCATGGCTGGTCTTGAGAAGGAGTTCAAAGCGAAAGGATTTCTTGTTGGTCGCCATTTTTTATTTATGTTTACTTTTCTTGATAAAAACGTTGATCGAAAAGTGATCGATCAAGGACAAGGAGAATCATAAAAAAGTGCTGCTACGTGTAGTGTGTGGTGGTTGCTTTGTTCAGATCATTATCAATATCAGGCCAGGATCTTTTCATCACTCTTGTCGAGTCTTGACTCACTTCATCGGCAGTCTTCAGCTGCTTGGCAGCTTGCGAGCTAGCTCGATCCGTGGCATTGGCGTTGTACATGTACTTGTAGATCTACGCCAGTGGGGCCCCATTGTGATGACGTGCAGTCATCATGTATGTACATAATTTATTATGTGCGAGGCCAGTGGTGGAAGGAAGAACGTGCATGCATGGTGCAGGTCACTGCAGAGTCTAGACTAATAGACGTAGTGTAGACTCTAGTCTAGTACTGTACAAGGCAGATCAGAGTAGTAGTGCAGTGCCAGTGGATCATGGAGATGTCTTCATTTATAATAAGCTGTACAGAGGAATCTTCAAAATGTGTCTTCGTCAAAGTTTTACTTTTAGACGGAGTCTCCAAAAGCAGCAGTTATTTGAATAATTAATTTCTATCTTCAATTTTAGGCTACATCATGTAGTGACATGTCTGTCGAGTCCCTCGCAAGTGACGTTGAAGCCCCATCATCATCATGATCATGGGAGGATATACATGTACTCGTGTGTACATCAACTCCTATAGCTAAGTACTTACTTGTCCTTTGTACAAGTAAACATATAAATATTGTTCACTTCAACTAGACATTGTTGCCTCTAAAATATTGTTCACTTCAACTACAATGTATAGTAGTATACACGTACATGATGTACTAAGGCGAGGACGGGTAGGATATCACAATAGTACGCACGATACATGATCCTGTCCCTTTGGAAAAACGCGGCCAAGAATTCAAAATTCTGCGGCAAATTCCGCGGGGTAAAGAGGGGTTTTCTGCGGCATTTTCTGCTGTAAAATCAAAAATCTGCGGCACTTTCTGCAAGTTTTTCACCCTCCTCGTAGAGGATATGACATCTCCTCGTAGAGGATATGACAACTAGTCGCATGAAAGAGCACTTTTCATACTATCCTTTGCAGTCACAAACTGAATAAGAGTGAAGAATCTTGGAGAGACCTGCACTGGCAAGAGAAATGTGCTCAAACAGATCGCAAAGTAGTTTTTCTGCTGCTTTCTGAGTGATAATTTTAGTAATTTACCCTAAAAAATTCAGATTCCGCGGGCAAAAGTGTGGATTCCGTGATTTCCGCGGATAATGGCAACTTCTGCGAAATTTGCCGCGGCCGCGGAATCGCGTTTTTCCAAGGGGACAGATGATCAATAACTGTACCACCAAGGGCATGTTCGATTGGTAGGATCGGGATCCCGATCCACCGGATCCACTGGATTCGCACCCTTTCGATTGGTCGAATCCGGATCCGGATCCTTCGGATTTGGATCTGGTCAACCCTCCTCGGGGAGCAGGGTTGATCGGATCCAAATGTGACCTTTGTGCGTATATGGCGGGTAAAAATCATTTTTGTACACATTGTGGTACGCACACGTGGATGGAGATAGAGCTTGTTGACTTTTTGTACGACGCACGCGATGAGTACGACGTTCACCCTTTAGGGTGCCTTGTGAGCGCCATTTTCAACATGGCAACAGTCAAGGTCCAAAATAAAGTGTTCAGTTGAATCTGAAGGATCCGAGGGATCTGAGATCTGGATCCCGATCCCGATCCTTACCAATCGAACATGCCCCAAGACTTGCCAAAAGTATTAAACCCCCCCCCCCCCCCCTGGTTGGTTATGTTCATGACTTGTACTCAGCTGTCCCCGGGGAAAATTGCGGAAAAAAATCGCAAAAAAACGCGGCATAATATGGCATAATTTGCGGTGAATTTGCGGTAAATATGCGGTGAATATTATTATCAAGAGTACATAACCCCAAGAGTGTGCAACTCCAGCTATGGGGTCTGCGACGGCAGAACTTCACATCACGTGATGAACCCGTGCAATCTGTGCATGATAGATACTGGGTTGTACGCAGCCCAGCTTTGGGTACAACTCTCTTGTGGTCACTTTGCACTGTTTGCCAGCATAACCTTTTGAACCATGTCACGTGATGTGAAGTTCTGCCGTCGTAGCACAGCATAGAGGTTGTGCAGGCAGTTGCACACTCTTGGGGTTATGTACTCTTGATATTATTGATATCATCTCGCGGCGGCAAGTTTGCAGTTGATATGAGGCAATTTTCAGTGAGTATGTAGTGAAATCAATCAGTTACAAGTCTCTGGTGTAAGCACTCGTCATATTTGAGTACAAAGCCGCCACGATGAGACGTTGCTGACCGAACAGTACACTGTGTGTACGTGTAGTGCAACAGAAAAGTTCAAAAACGCGGGAAAATCGCGGAAAACGCGGTCTTTAAAAAAATCGCAAAAACCGCGGCCGCGGAATCGCAATTTTCCCTGGGGACAGACTCAGTCTTGGTACCACTACACTGTACATCATCATTCATGGCACCAAGAGTGCATAAACATGGACTCTTGATGGCACATGAAAGCTGTGTTTCCAATATTTGAATTACCAGCGAGTACTGTACACTAGAACTACAGTAGACGTTAGTGTAGGAGAAAACTCAACAATACTATACAGTATTGTTTCTACTCCCTGGTCAACCAACTTAGTCACGGTGTACTGACTGTCGCTGTCAGTTTCAATTTTCTTCTGGATGACCTTTATTAAATATAATTATGGTCCTTTTTGCTCCTTTGATCCAACGAAATAATTTACTACAGTCAAATCTGCCGTTAGCAACCTCTGCTGTAGGCGACCATCTACCGTTAGCGACCGATTTTCCGTGCACCGACGGTTTCACATACAAACTGATCTGTCCAGAGCGACCATCTGCTGTGCGCGACCAGCGACCGCGATTTCATGCACGGTGGCTGCATTCAAATCTGCTGTAAGCGACCGCGACCCAGGTTCAGGTGCGAAACTGTACTTGCCAGTGCGCTGTCAACTGCAAAGTGTGAAAATGCGTTGTCTTGCAAGTGCGATCGACTGGCGCCTGGCCTGTACTGGCTGTAGGCTGTACTGAGGCTGTGCTGTAGCTCTCAAGTCCAGGCGCTAGGCAGTGTCGATCTACTGCCGTGTCGCATACGCGTAATACGGGTATGGTCGTCGTTGAATATCCAATAAAATGATATTAAAAATCACATTATTCTCGTCGATTTGAGTACAGTGGTCCCTCTATAATCCGGCACCATTTGTGCCACGAAAATCTGCTGGATTAGGGAGGGTGCTGGATTAACAAATCTGATTTACTGCTGCAATGTGCATGAAGAGGACATTTTGGCTACTGAAAATTGTGCTGGTTTATCGAGGGTGCTGGATTATAAAGTGCCGGATTAGAGAGGGACGACTGTACATGGAAGCATATACCTGGTATGCCGGATTTACCATACATCTGCCGTAAGCGACCGCTTTTTCTTGCACCAAGGGGCGGTCGCTTACGACAGATTTGACTGTACTACCGTAAAGTACCGTTGATCCGCCCCCTCTCTAATTCCCGCCCCCTGTCGATTTTCTCCTTGTGAAGCGACTTCGGCGTATACAACGAAATACGATGTTGAACCGACGCATGCACTGCTGTACACAATACTTGCCAATCCAGGATCAAAATGTGCACAATCCAGCACATTGAGTCTGATCCTCTACGTTGTTGTACATCGTACTGCACTTGACAGCCTTGATCTAATTCCCGCCCCCTGCCGAAAACCCAGCTGGGAAGCGACATGGCGTGGGGGCGGATCAACGGTACTTTACGGTAATACTAGTACCCTGATATCATGATTTAATGGGCATGTCTATCACTCAATATTATTTAGATTTTTTACTCAACAATTTCAATTTACACAAGGTAATATTTGGGGGGGGGGGGGGGGGTTAAAAGAAAATGCTTTTTGTACTTCAATTCAAAGCTCTTTTGTAGAACGAGACTGTGAATACCACAACTATACTCGTGACAAGAGCACATGCGCAGTGTACATAACACGTACTCTTGACGATAAGTAGTCGTACAGGGTATTACCCAGTGCGAGGCGAGGGTGATAACTACTTACTTGCCTACATGATTGTACTGGATATCAATCTACTACAAGGGGTTATGTACTCTTGATTGTAGCCTAGGTAAATCTATGGATTCTTGGAGATCCTCTTGGGAGCCCTGGATGATAGTGGATGCATTCACCAACTACAGCCTAGTACAAGTACAACACAATTCTACAATCATGCTGCGCCTTTGTTTACAAGTGATTCACGGCTGTTGTAAATATCCCAGTTCAAAGAGCTCCGATTTGCTGGGAACAGACCTTCCGACCTCCATGCCGTACCATGAAATAATATTGGATATGTATGGTGTCATGCAAGAGGTATTATTTGAGGGGCTGAGGAGAAGAAATTTCAACCTTTCATACTTCAAATTAGAGGTTTGCACCGCACAACCATAATGTGAGACCGTACGTGCCTGGCGAAGTGGTCTGTAGTACCAGGCTGGCCGCTAGTCACGGTGGTCTTTAGTTACAGGTTGTACTGTATATGAACTGAAACAGACCAATGAAAGTTGGGTACATACCAAGGATACGTAAAAGGTGTATGCACTCTTGCTCGTACCTTCTGCCAGGAAGTCCTGTAGCCGTCCCTGCCCTCTACTCAAAACAAGGATAGCACCGACTCATCCACGCAGAGAGAATAATAGCCTCAAGTAGTCACTGTGACTTAGAATGTCAAAAAAAAGATTGTTTATTATGCACACCATTTTCTATACACTATACTGCAAGCGTCATGTAACTTGTTACAGCAGACTAAAGTAAGCATTAGGATAATGAGATTGAAGCTCAAAAGTATATACAAAATGTACAAGTTAAACTGAGTATCTTCATACACTTGAAGAGGAAACATTAAAAAGGTATTTGTACAACTCCTTAACTTTGTACAGGTAAAAGTATGTACAAGGAATCAGGCTACTACTAGCCAATCCAAATCAAAAAAGCAAAAATGGTACGACTCCTTAACTTCGTACAGGTAAAAAGTATGTACAAGGAACCAGAATACTAGCCAAGCCCAGATTTAAAAATGTACATGTACTGGCTGGTAAGAAGGGGTTCAAAATGGAATGAGAATAATACAAGCACTCATGACACAGACAATCAGTTGTGAGCAGCTTTCTCCAATTTCGAGAGCATAGCTTCGATCTGCTCCATTGTCATCTGACTTGCCGCATCCAAGCTGTTACAAAGAGCAATTGTCTGACCAATCGAAGGGGACTTCACCCATACGCGACCGTTTGTCCCCACTGTTATCTCAAAGCGGAAGCGCTTGCCGAACGCAGCCAGAATCGGAGAGTTGGTAACTAGAAGCCTGCAACAAGACACAGACAAAGATATTTCTGTATGGTTCTAGACAGTTGTCTAAAGTCCCTAGGCTGCTTACTGTATGGTTCTATGTGGTCAACAAGGCGTAACTGCAGCAATAAAAAACAGAGCCCCACTGTAGAAGGGACCTCTATTTGAAAAAAAGTGGTGACACTTTGGAAATTCATTTGATTCAATATGATTTCACCAATATATGGGGCACAAATCAAGTGAAAACCTTCGCCTACGCAAAGCCCCAACCACAATGACCAGAGTGGAGCCGTGTCACTTTCAGTCAGAACAATAGTCCAGGTACCGTATTTCCGCAAATAAAAGGCCGTCCTCGTATACAACGCCTTCCTCGTATACAAGGCCGGGGCAGGGGGCAATTGAAAAAATAAAAGACTGCCTCCGATTAGAAGACCGGGCCTACTAAATGAGTCTTTGTTCTTGTGTTAAAAATAGAAGACCGTGCTCAAACTGTGGGAAAAAATAGAAGACCGTGCTCAAACTGTGTAGAAGAAAATGGAAGAACAGGGGTAAAGCTGTGTGGCGAGAAATAGAAGACCGGGGTCAAACTGGGATGAAAGAATAAAAGACCGTCCTCGAATACAAGACCGTCCTCGATTATAAGGCCGGGTTAGGACGAGGTTGAAAAAATAGTAGACCGGCTTACTATTTGTGGAAATACGGTAACTAGTACATCATTGTTGCTATTCTGACTTCCCTGAGTAAGCAACCAGCAAGCAACCGTAGTGGAAATCATCTAGCTCTGAACGAACACCGCCACTAGCACAGCGGGACATTGCAGCAAATGTACTACATTACACAGGTGGCTCAAGAGGATTTTACGCTATGGATAGGTTAGGTTTCTGTCCAGGCTACAGCCATGTTGCAGTGCACATTACACCTACTGACACACATTCCTCATTATGGGAGTCCAGCCACTTGGTTTAGTGAAGAAGTACACATCCTATTACAACTACTTCATTCCGGAACTGCGTACCAGGGAGGTCAAGAACCACCGTTGCACCTCCGTGGAACGTCACCACCCCACAAATACTAAGTCAACTTACTTGCGACTTAAGCCAAGCGAGCACTGGAACATGAGACCACCTTCCAGGACACCCATTCCATTGGCTTTTCCTGCCACGCTGACACATGTCATCTCGGGCTCCATATCCTTGCTGGCAACGATCAACTGACCGTAGATGGTGTCACCAACCTATAGCCAACACAGCCAGTTAAAGTATAGTGCATAGGATAAACATGTGCTGGCTCTAAACTAAATCATCTCTCTCTCTCTCTCCCACTCTTACTGCAAGAATCAAAAGCTTCCTGAAGCTGAGGCAATAATTAAAAAAAAGACGGTTTTGAATGAATGAAATGGAACTTTTGATTCTGGTACAGTGTCCCACCTTGATTCATAACCAAAGAACCGGCCCAGTGTAAATGAATACGGTGTTAACATGAATCATGGTCTCGCTTCACCGGTCTGGTTTGGAGATCACTACTGCTCAGAAGTGGAACAAGCACAGATAGACGGCAGCATGTGAACTGTGCGTACACTGCTTCTGTTGCAGGACCTAGACCGGAGGATGTACCCAGCGTGCTGGCAGTGCTCAACACCGCGGAGGCAGAGCGTAATACAGAACAACAAGGCCAATCAGGCCTAGATTGTCCTTGTTGTTCTGCATGACCTAGACCTACAATCAGGATGCGTTCATCTGCTCAGCTCCAAAACAGGACCAAGAAGGGGTCAAGTTGTTGGGGCGCTCTTGCCCTACTTCACAGTACATGTCGTAACATAACAATTACAAGAGTACAATCAAACAATTGCAGCACTGTACCTGTACAGCGGGCCGATTGCGTTTCGTCGCACCTTCAAAGTTCAGGTATGACAATGAGGCGGGCATGCTGCCGCCAATATCAACTCGATAAACGTCCATGGATGGCTTTCCAGTCACCACACCGATCACGAATTCATCCACAACTGGTACATACTGGACAGCGGCACATGAGCAAGAAAAGGGCGACAACACAAAAGCACTTATGAGAGAACTTTTCCCCACAGGCCCTCACGTTGGTGGCTGTACATGAAATCTCTATGGAATCTGCACAATGTTTCTCGGCATAATTACAATGGATATTGATGACCAGTGTGATCTTTTTTTTTTGGTCACATGGTATGAGCAAACATCACTAGCATGCACAAACGTTGTTTATTTGGTTGTGCAGCAGCACCCTCCCTTTGCCTGACGTACTATATCTAGCAAATCTTGGGAATAAAGCAATCAGTGCCCAAAACTACGACAGGCACTGGGTTTGCAGGCATTCGTATGTTATAATCCCTCCCACATGTAGAAGACTTCCACCAGTTCACAATGAGGTGTTCCATTTGCAGCTGTACTTCAACATGCCAGTCTTTACTGTAAAGTGAGAAACTTTCGCGAGAGATTAAATTTCGCTATTTTCGCGACCACCACACATTCGCGAATATAAATCGCCGCAAACCTCTCCGTACATTGATTGTAGACAGTACAAGATCCGACTGGAGATAGAATCGCAAAAGTTTCTCATCGTGAACCAGCCCGATTGATGAAAACGCTAAATTTGCGCGCCGCGAAAGTTTGTCGCTTTACAGTAATTCCCACGCTCCCACCAGCTGAGCTTTTTCTACCACAGCAACATGCTATAGTATAGGCATCATGAACAGGATAAGCATTGAGTCTATGAACATCTGGCATGCATAATGAGCAAGCTATATCCCCGTGGTGTTCTGGGGCACATGATGACATGGTTTGTTCAGTCACTTCCCTGTACAAGTGCTTCTGTCCCCGGGGAAAATTGCGGAAAAAAATCGCAAAAAACGCGGGGGGAAACGCGGCATATTATGGCATAATTTGCGGTGAATTTGCGGTAAATATGCGGTGAATATGCGGTGAATATTATTGATGTGCGGCAATTTTCAGTGAGTATGTAGTGAAATCAATCAGTTACAAGTCTCTGGTGTAAGAACTCGTCATATTTGAGTAAAAAGCCGCCACGATGAGACGTTGCTGACCGAACAGTGCACTGTGTGTACGTGTAGTGCAACAAAAAAGTTCAAAAAACGCGGGAAAATCGCGGAAAACGCGGTCTTTTAAAAAATCGCAAAAAACGCGGAAAAAAACGCGGCCGCGGAATCGCAATTTTCCCCGGGGACAGGTGCTTGCTATCCGAGACTGAAGACCCAAGAAGCATTCCTCCATCATGGCCAAGACATGGACCAGGCTAAGCTTCGCCTTGCTACACACATAAGAGATGTGTACCTAGACACCTTGCAGGTATAAACCTGCATTCGACTCTAGAAAGTCTTCCTTTTCATGTCCGTCAACTACTGTAAGACATGTAATTATAACGAGGAAGTAAATCTAACGTTTTAACAGGTGCGATTTTTTCGTTATAATAAGTTCTGTTGAGGCTCTAATGCCTCATATGTGTTGTGTGCAGATATGTCTGAAGACTGCAAGATCGTTAACGTATCTTCTTGTGAACCTATGAATTTTGGACAATCGTTAAATTTGCGACTCGTTATAATAACATGTCTTACAGTAAACCATTTCAGCACATATCAAAGGTCAGAACCCGCAGATCCTATTGTGAAGGCATGTGGATTGTATCAATAGTCGTTGAGTGAGTCTATTTGAAGAGGCTGATGTGTCAAATCCATCGTGGCGGTAGTGTTTTCTGAGGTACAGACGATTCTGAGATACGGGTACCCTTCGAGGCGCCTGGATAAGACTTTCAAAAGAGCAGTTCTAAAGTACATCATCAACACTTCTGCAGCACATTGTATTTGTACGTGTTTTTGAAGCCAACAGTAATAGCTGATCGTATCACTGTGAAAGAATAACTTCCACTTGAGTGACCCTACATTCAGTCTCGTTTCAATTATAATTCCATCTACATTCTGATTTGTAGAATTGTATGTCTCCTTACCAGTTTCGTGTTGCATTTATACTGTTTATTTTGCCCGTAAAAAGAGTTTTTTTTCGTTATACACTCTTTCTTGTAGCATGTATTCTCCCTAATAACGTACTGTTATATTGTACTTACTCGTCGTTGGTTGTTGTCAATCCAATATGTCACGGGTCGTCGGTGACGAAGTATTCCACTTTTCGTAGCAATTATCTCATCACCTCCACGGCGAATTCCAGGACCAAATCGCAATTTTACCTTTTCAGTCACTTCACCAAGAACATCTCCAGGTAATATTACCCTGTTGACTTTCTGAGAATCCATTCTTAGCTTTGCTGCACCATTACACTACAGACAACAAAAACTAGAACAAGAATCCAAGATTGATAGCAAGAGTGCATAAACACGAGTACTAATAGTAATGCTACAATTTTTTTTTTTTGTAGTCTATGCAACTGACTGTGATGTGCATGACGTCGATGTAGTCTACGTAGATCGTAGACTCTACGTGCGCGGATGTGTGTGGAATCTGTGGATGGATATGATATGCGCGTCAGATCAGCAGACGTCACTGACGACACTAGTGCACTATACTAGTGGCACTACAATGACTATGTAGTGCACTGCCGTAGATCTACCAACTGCAGTACTGTAGTACTAGTATTTTCGATTTTGACAGCATGTTACAAGGCGAGGACGCGTAGTGCTCCTGACTACAACCGGCATAAACCGGTTGGCAGAGTCCCGGTCTTGCGACCATTTGAACCGTATTGGGAAAACCCAGGTTCGGACCCTCGTTACTCTACCCGGTTTATGGTTGTAGTCAGGAGCACTACGCGTCCTCGCCTTGTAACATGCTGTCAAAATCGAAAAACATGTTAACTACCAAGCAAGGCTTCTGTATATACCTGTAGTACTAGTAGTAGTATGCCAGCAATGATGTAACAATAACAATAATTGTTGGCGACTCATATCATGCAGTTACGACAGTAGCTTACAAGTTTACATGTATTTTCGATTTTGACAGCATGTTACAAGGCGAGGACGCGTAGTGCTCCTGACTACATAACAACGCTTGGCAGAGTCCAAGGCTTCTGTAAGCATGGTAAGGGACCATCGCAAAAGTTCGCAGAAGCCCCCGAAACGAAGACCGTGAGTTTCGGGCCTGACCCCCCTCCCTCCCCCCTCAAACGAAACGACAGTCACAATATGGGCTTCATTTTTTCACTTCGATGCTCACACATACTGTATATCACCTTATTTTCGGTGTTGTAAAATTTCGGTAAAAGCCAACCCCTGACCTTTCGGTGTAAGGATAAATTCAGTATGCATGGCACCAAAAAAAAAAAAAAAAAAACGCTCTTGCACTACTATCTCCGCCAAGGCCAAAAGGCTCCACATAATACCGGTACATGTTATGTATGTACAATGTACTACCGGTATACCAGTACATATACAAGTTGATTTTTTTAAATTTGACACTGATTTTCATGATTTTTACATATTTTTGGTATTTCGGAAAATTTAGGTGTAATGTTAAATTAGGTGATCCAGGACCGAAGTTAGTTACCGAAATTTAAATTACACCGAAATAAAGGTGTTATACAGTAATAATTATTATAATATACTACACAAGCATTGTTGTATCAGTGTGTTACAATGTACAGCACTTTATAAATGCAACGATGATATCACCTTGCAGTGGGTGATCTAAGAACGAGAACAGCTAGAGCTATGCAGTTGTATCCTTTGACAGGCGCGTGCTCGGCGATGGGCACGGGGAGCACGTGCACCCCCCAAAAATTTTCAATCTGGGTAATTGCAATTGTAATGTATGCAAATATGCTCTAAAATTCAAGAAAGGTTGCAAACAAGTTGCCGAAAATTGCCGGGGGGGGGGCTCCCCTCGGCTCCCGTGCACCCCCTAGTTGGGGGGCCGAGCACGCCCCTGTTTGAGCATTACAATGAACGTTGATTGGTGTATATTGCTTTCACATTCAAGCGATCTACGCCGGCTGTGATGGCATGCTAATCCTACAGCTCCTATAATTATGTCGTCAATACTTTTTTGAATTGAAGCCCGGTTTGCGATTTTCGCACCGACTCCCTCCCCCCCCCCCCCCCCCCCCCCAAACGTATGCTCTTCGTTTCAGGGGCTTCTGCGAACTTTTGCGATGGTCCCTAAACAAAATAATTACTTATTAATTAGTTACATGTACCAAGACTGAGTACATGAAAACCTGATCCTTCGCCTGACCTACATTGTAATACCATGATGTCGAGCTGAGTGATGACCAGGGAGGTGACAATGCACAGAAATCCGTGTCACAGGGCCTAGGGGTTGACTCGCACCCGTGACCCCTCGTTGTTATTTTTGGAATAGTTCAGCCCAGTCCAGTCCGATCCCCTGCTCGTCTCTATGTCGACGGAGAAAGTATTCTATCGTGTGAAGGCACCACCCAGGGTGACCCCATTGCCATGCCTACGTATGCCTTGGGTGTCACCCCGCTTATCGCTGATGTTGCTTCTGCCGACGTGGTACAGGAATGGTACGCGGATGATTCTTCAGCTGGCGGCCGCCTACGCCCGCTACGGCGATGGTGGGATGACCTGAATGCAAAAGGGTCGGATTATGGGTACTTCCTGAATGCAACAAAGTCGATCCTGCTCGTGAAACCCGAGGCGTACGAGGAAGCCACTGTGATTTTTGCTGGTACTGGTGTGCGTATTGAGAAGGATGGTTGTCGTCATCTAGGAGCAGCCCTTGGCACGCCGTCCTTTGTGGAAGAGTACGTTGCTAATAAGGTCACCGACTGGGTCCAGCAGATTCGTCGTCTAGCTGAATTTGCATCGACTCAACCTCAGGCAGCCTACAGTGCCTTCATTCAGGGACTACAGCCGCGGTGGTCCTTTCTCTCAAGAACCCTTGAGGATGCTCCTGCACTGTTTGGTCGTCTTGAAGACGTGATTCGGGACATCCTGATCCCAGCTCTGACAGGCCACGCGCCACCGTCTTCTCAGGAGCGTGCACTGCTGGCCTTCCCATGTCGCCATGGTGGTCTTGGCATCACCGACCCGACATCTATGGGCGGCAACTACCGCAATTCACGCAAGATCACGACATCCCTGTGGGAGAAACTAATCGCCCAAGATTCCTCCCTAGATGGCACCGCGGCGCAAGTTCTCCGCATGAAGGCAGAGGTACGTACGACTTTGCGAACCAACCTCCTGGCAGCCGTGAAGTCTTTCAAGGATGGTGCTGGAGCAGAGCTTGAGCTGCAATTGACCCTAGCTTCGGAGAAGGGGGCCTCCAGCTGGCTGACTTGCCGCCCTCTAGCCATCCATGGATTTCGTTTGTCCAAGGCGGAGTTTCGCGATGCCCTCTGTCTCCGGTACGGGTGGACACCAGCACGCCTGCCATCAGGATGCGTCTGTGGCCACGGTAACTTTGACGTCACCCATGCCTTGTCCTGCAGTACTGGGGGATTCCCCAGTATTCGACACAATGAAATTCGAGACCTCACGGCTGATGTTCTGCGTCAGGTCACGCATGGTGTGTGCACAGAACCGATGCTGCAGCCAGTCACCGGAGAGAAATTCCGGCTTCTGTCCACAACGACCGCTGATCAGGCTCGTCTTGATGTTGCCGCCAACGGAATCTGGGGTGGCCGATTTGAGCGCACCTTTCTTGATATAAGGGTTTTCAACCCCTACGCTGCCTCAAATCGCGCTGCCTCAGTTTCCTCAGTGTATGCACGTCATGAAAAGGAGAAACGCCGGAGATATGAGCAGCGTCTGCTTGAGGTTGACCGCGCCACGTTCGTGCCAGTAGTGCTGTCAGCCACTGGTGGCACTAGCAAGTGTGCATCGGCCCTGTTCAAGCGTCTTGCCAGCATGCTATCTGACAAGCTGAAGGAGCCGTACTCCGTGACGATGGCATGGCTTCGCTGCAAGCTAAGCTTTGCATTAGTCCGAGCTAGCGTGATGTGCCTTCGTGGGGCAAGATCATCCGCACACCGTGTCACCAGGGACCCCGCGTCTGTAGTGGTAGCCGAGGCACGTGTTTCCTTGCAGGACTGTTGAACTAAAGAGTAAAGTCAGACATGTACATTTTTGTCTAGAGGTCTAGTCATGTACTTGTCATGATTCTTTTCTATTTTATTCTTTTTACCAGGCGTGGGCCATCCCCTGGATTATCAAAATGGGTGCCTGTAATAGTTTTACCTTGACACTTCTTGCTTGTCTTATGGTAACACCTTGTGTTCCTACTATTCTCACTCCTGCGGTTCTCACCTTTCTTTTGCTTTATAACCTCTGGTTTGAACATCATTCGACGAATTCTCCAATCAATCAAGTCTATACTGTTAAAAAAAAAAAAAAAAAAAAAAAAAAAGGTCATACAGTACTCGGATCGACTCGCCTTCTGTACTTCACCTCCAAGCGTGCAACGCAAGACCCGCAACGCAAAGTATGATTTTTCTGTGGGGAACGATTTTGCCATTGATCAAGTTTTTATTGGAGTGCTCAGGCATACTACGATTGCTGAGACGTCCCGAGCACGCTTGTTCACGTTCTCTATTTTTGACGAGCCGGTCCTACAGCCCCCTACATTGTATCTAACGACATAGGAGCTGACAATGTAAGAGGATTTCCCTGGAAATAATGACGATGGTGGTGTGACTGCTGCAGGAAAAATGCTGGCTGTTTATGACAGTATGACTAGATGTACAATGTAGCTCCCTTGTATGGTACTTAATTAACCCCTGCTATAAATGTGTTATTTAGGAAGACTGGTGTATTGTGCAAGTCATAAAGAAGAAATGGGGCAGATACACGACTTTCAATTTTCAAAACCTGGCTTCGTGTTATGTGTAATTTGTGTCAAAATTGTAGTATTTCAACATGACAATATCACTGGCTGTACTTCTCTAATATGGTACATAACCACTGCTATAAATGTGTTGTTTAGGCAGACTGGACCATTGTGCAAGTCATAAAGAAGAAATTGGGCAGATACACGACTTACAATTTTCAAAACCTGGCTTCGTGTTATGTGTAATTTGTGTCAAAATTGTAGTATTTCAACATGACAATATCACTGGCTGTACTTCTCTTATATGGTACTTAACCCCTGCTATAAATGTGTTGTTTAGGAAGACTGGTGTATTGTGCAAGTCATAAAGAAGAAATGGGGCAGATACACGACTTACAATTGTCAAAAACCAGCTTCGTGTTATGTGCAATTTGGGTCAATTTTTAGTATTCGGATTAACCTCGGATACGACTCTGAAAAGTTCTGAACAGTTACCGCAACACTACACGCCGTTTCATAACTGCTGCTATTGCCATCACTGCTATCAAGTAGTTCGGACATGGCAGGAGCTAACAAAATT